AAGCACCAGCAGGAGAACGGTGGTAAGCTCCTACAGTAGCTTACCGTATAAACCCCGTGCCCTCACTTTCAAACCTCAATACTGGACCTCCAATATTATTCGCAAACCATCACAGTTCCAATGCAACCAAATACGTCATCTCCCGTCCCACCTGTTCCACGAACCACGTCGGCCAAGTATCACCTGCGAATAGTCAGAATGATGACACTCCACAAGGTATGAAGAAAGCTGCCGAACTTGCTCAAACGATCCTATTACGAATACCCCAGTTCCGACAGAAGAGCGGAAGCAGAGGAAAAAGAAGACGCCAAGCTCCCAGCGAAGCGAGCCAACCCTCCACTTAACACACGTTGACTTCGAAATTGCAAAACCTAAACCCTAAATATAAGCCACATGATTCATTCGATTCTATTCACCATTATCCTGTATTAGTAGACAAGTTGAACTAGTACTGGAAACGGAGACGACCCAGGGGGCATATGAATTATTGAAGGCAGTAAGTTAGGACAGTGGTACACTGCCGCTGGCCGACTGGCTCGAGTCGAGTCCAGCTACAGTAGCCAGCTGGATCGTCACCCTCGTTCCAAGTGTCATTGCTGCATTGCTGCTGTTCCATTGTGTTGGCAGACACCGTTTCTCCTTGTTGCAGAGATGGTGCGATAGTGCCGACCCCGAAGGTTGTGACTGCGCTGATAGGGTTACCTTGCCATACAGTAGGTTGATCACTTTTGCACTGTTCCGTTGGATGTCTCTGCTTTAAAGGGGTCCATCTTGTGGAATATCTTGCATATGAGTCTGACATTTATTTGGTCTTTATCCCTGAATTTGAACATCATCGAAGTGTTGTTGGCTGGTTGACTTGTAGTTTGAAGTTCCGTTGGGTTGTGCCAATGTATTCTATACCGGAGTTTATGCATTTGATGCAGTATAGTACCACTTTGTTTCTGCAAAGGTTGCCATATACCCGTGGGGATTCACCATTCTTTCCTTTCTTACATGGTTGGCAGTTGCATGATTTGTTAACGAAGTCCTTTGAGACGAAGTCCTTTGGTAAGTTTCCTTGAAAGGTCGCCGTGGAAATATTTCTCAATACCGTACCTAGTAGGTTGGTCTTTGTCTCTACTAGCTAGTAACAGGCTATCTCCTTTTGCTTGACTCACAGAAAGCACATTTGAATTTTGGCTTTTTCTCAGAGAGGTGCAGGACAAATGTTGCTGGATAGCTCGATCCCTTTCAAGCTGCACGGTGGCTAGCTAGCTAGCGAGCGCAACAAAGACTAAAAAACTGTCCTTCGTACTAGCTAGACGAGCTTGAGGTTTTATTTCAACGTGCATATTATGTATTTGTTGCTGACGCATTCATTGGCTGGTACGGTTACCAGTTGGGTATCATTACATGGCGAAGGTACCCCAAACCAAAACTTCGCAGTCATTTCCTCCCGCAACCTGGTTCGATGGAACCAGTGGCAAATGAACTGAAAACGAAACTGTGTTGTCTTCCCTTCAGCGACTGTTGGTACTTTCTCGAAGTTCTCGATGCCGCTTGGAGTATGCTTTGATGTCCTTGATCCGTTGTTTCTTTTGACATGCACGAGCCACATTCAACCATTCGTCCCGTGAGAGTGACCCATTCCCATCAATGTCGGCATGTTGCAGCATCATTTCACTTTCTCTTTCTGTAATATTGACTCCCACTTCTCGCAACCCCAGGAGTAGCTCATGTTTGTCAAGTTCTCCATTGTTGTCCAGATCTAATTTGTCAAAAATTTGCTTGAGTTTGTCCTCTTCTGTCAAAGAGTTGACAAAGCTTCCTGACTGATCCAAGCTCATGTGAAGTTTGCTGATGGCTCTTTTCCAATGCCATGACCCCATCATGGCTTCTCGCAGAGAGATGCCCAACTCATAGACCAAGTATGCAATGAGAGATCCTCCAACGAGCAGAAACAGGCCAGCATTAATGAGCAAGGCATAGACCTGAAACTGCTTTGCCCACCAAAAAGCAATCAAGCCTCCTGTCCAGAATGCTGCCAGCAAGGAGACCAGAACCAGCATTCGCCCTGTGTTTTTGGTGTTGCCACGGCAGATCTGCGCAATGAAAAGACTGATATCGGTAGTGGCTCCACTGTGTCCTGTGGACCGGATCAAGTTTTCACTGTAGATTGAACTGACACCATTCTGAATCCCATTGGCAGCGGCCGCAAAGTAAAAAACAAAATCTTCATTGATTTCAAAGGCAGCAATGATACTGGATATCACCAAAAAGACAGCTCCAATGAGGAAACTCGGCCCGTACATGGGCTCAATCCGAAAGGGAGTAGGATTTGGCGATAATACTCCCGAAATAAAGCTCCCAAACATGAAACTGAGAAACATGCAGAGCAGAAACCGAAATTGATTGTAATTTCCGTCGGCGAGCTCCAGGCAGGACATGGTAATGGTTTGAGTAAAGCTGGAAACAGCAAATTTTCTGTCTGGCACCACAAACCCCGATATGCAGCTGCCATTGACAAAGCCACTGTTGAACGCCATAAAGACCCCAGCACACAAAACGAATGCGTATTCGTGTCTTGGAGTACCTTCATCGGCGGCGTCGGTATCCTGCTTGACTGGTGGTTCGGGTTTGCTTCGTCCCAAGTGATACCCGAGTCGTCGTCGTGGGGGAGGCTTGCCTTCTTTCTCATTTGCACTATCGTTCAAGTTTCCAAAGGAAACCTTCTTTTCCGGCTTGGGCCGATCTGATTCTGTTGGTACTAGTAGTGGTTCCCCATTGGTAGCAATGGTGGTGGCAGTGGTTGTGCTTCTGGCAACATCTCCAGGAGGTTGCTCTGGGTTCCCGCTGGCACTGTTGTCACACAACTCTCTATCCGTGGGCAACGGAGCCTCTTCTCCAGACATCTCTCCAGCAGCCTGTTGAGTATCCTCTGCGCTTCTTGATACAGCGCTCATCCTTCTTCTCTTTTGTCTCCGTAGTAGTGATCCTCACCCTACCGGTACTGCATGGCAAGGGAAATAAGGGAACGATAAAGAAGGAGCTGAACCGGTACAGTATGGCAACAGAGAAGGAACTTTGCAAATGGATTATTAAATTTTGCTGGCATTTGGACAATGTGGCGTGGTCATTTTCCGGTTGCCGGAAAAAGATCTGCTGTCACACTTCAAGCCCACCAAGATCGCTGGGGAACAGTTTCGGAATTTGGTGTCTTATGAGAATGCCATTTTCTAAAGGGTGGATGTGGTAGAATTAAGTATGAAGTGCTCCTCGCTTCAAAGAGGATCATTTTGGATCAGAAGAGGGATAGCTTACCACTGGAAAGCTAACTAACTTTCAGCTGCAGCTGGAGAGTCCACAGACGACCGAAACAAAGATGTGTTGAATGCAGCTCTTACATTTTCCCGGTAGACGGGATGGTTTCTTGATGGCAACGATTGTGTGTTACAGTAGGATCCTCTGGAACGAAGTCCTACCGTACCAGGTACATGAATCATCTTCTGAGGTACTAGTACTGGTGCCATACCATTATTGAACCAACGCAAACGTCGAGGTCCGAACTTTCCTCTCAGGGCTTCAGCCCCGCCCATCCCGGCCCTTTCCTCGCTTTTCTTTTAAAATGAAACTTCTAGTGATTCGATTCCACTGTTGCACCACACAACTGCTGAGTAGTACTGAGTACTGTACCCTGCTACCGATACCGGTACGGTACCCTATTTTTAGCTTTCCCTCCTATCCTGACAGAGAGGCCCGATCGCACATTGGCTGTTGTGCCATACCGGCACAAGCTAAGGTGGCTACTACCAGTACCAGTACTACCAGGAAGAAGAGCTAGCTCTTTGGAGCAGATCTTGGTGCAGAAATAATCAGAACCCAAAGGTAAGACACTGTACAAGAAGGATTATTTATTCAATCAATTATTCCCTGCTAGTTCACTCCCTGATGAGATTTGTTAGTTGGAGACAACCCACCTTGTGCCGGTTCATTGTCAGAAATGACTTCGTTGTAACAATTCCTTCATTGAGTATTTAAGGAAGGGTAGCGAACGCTTATGAATCTGCCAGCAAAATGGGTTTCCAGAGACATAACAAGCGCACTATTTGCTCCAGCTTCTGTGACCCCCTCTTTCATCAACAACTGACCACGGCAAGCAACAGCAGCAGAAACTTCGAATTTATTTATTTGACCTCTGACAAGAGTCAAAAACGTGAAGGAAGCTATTGAAGAAGTAAGTCCATTGGAACGCTTGTTTTAGGTGCTGCACCACCCATGCCATAGCGATGGTGGTAGTGCCGCAGACGGCAGTGGCACGACAGGAGGTGATCGAGGTCGTTGAGTACATTGATGAAACTGACTTTAGTGGAGATGAAAATGATTGGGAAGAAGAGGTGTTTGAGATTGTAGAAGAGGTGTTCCCGAGACAGCGGTCGCACTGGACCGTGGCAGCCCACGAAGTAGGGATAGGAGTGCCTCCTCTTCCTTCTTCTTCTTCTTCCTCCTCCTCCTCCTCTTTGATCTCTTTCAGGTCAGACGTCAGATCCGTGGAAAACGACGAGATCGAAAAGCCAAGTCAACAACAGCAAGAGAGCCTCAGTTTCCGAGGCGAAGGCATTCCATTTAGCAGCCAAACGGATTCCGAAGACTTCGAAGACAGACTGCAACGACAATCAGATCTCATAGAAAGCACCTTCAAACCCAGGCGAGCGTCATTGATAAAGTCCCGAAGTGCCGGTCCGTATATGCTGCGCAGCAACAGTATGGACGACTCCACAGCTCATGTAACACCACCAAACCGAAAATCCTTACTGAAAGAACGCAGTTTTGTTCGTCGTCCCAAATCCTATTGGTACTCCGACTCGGACGATGATGGGGACGAATCCACGTCGTTTGCTTTCACGGGAGACGAAACCTTTCAAGCCCATCTCAAAATTGCATTGGGCGGCGAAGAAACTTTGGCAAAGCCACCGGAAAGCGATGACGATCAGAGTTCTCTCTTCTCCACGAGAAGCGGCGACACCAACCCATTGGGAGCTCCCTACACACGTCGTGAGTACATGTACGCCATTTGCACAGGAGTGCTCCTCTCCTTCAATGCGGGATACGTCAATGGAACATGTCTGACGGGCCTGTTGACCGAGTCAAAACGAAAAGTCAATGTCACCAGCCACGCAGGGACACTCACACTCTCCGCGACCAGTCTGTCCGCCGGCGATATCCCCGAATTTAGTTTCTACACCAGCATGATGTTTTGCTTCATGCTCGGATCCTACATTGCAGGATTGCTCACACCCAATGCCAAGAAATTCCGAATTGAACCGACATACGGACCCACCTTTTTGATTGGAGCGGCACTCTTGGGTGCATCCAGTATTCTCGCGGCCATTGAAGCAAACGACAATGTCATATTTTATCTGGCATCCGCGGCCAATGGAATTCAGAATGGAATGTCGTCGCTCTACAGTGCAAACCTGATTCGATCCACGGGAGTGACCGGAACCGTCACCGACATTGGAATCTTTTTAGGGCAAATGTTACGGGGCAACAAAAAGAATACATGGAATCTGGTGGTCCTTCTTTGTCTCTTCATGTCGTTCTGGACCGGTGGTTTCGTTTCCTTTTATGCGACAAACAAATTTACACAATTCTCGTTGCTCGTCAATGCTGGATTGTACTTTCTCATTGGCGCCAGTCTGATCTTCTTCTTGACACTCGAGCTCGATGTTTCGGTCGGGGCCGCGATTTTCGGAAGTTGGCAATGGAGACGGGCCCTCGAACAGTTGCGAAAGGATGCCTTTAGCGAATCCCAACGCAGCGGCCTAAAAGGAGATCACTGTTCCAGCAGAGAAGCACAAATGGATATGCTCTTTGATCGCATGGACTCCAATCGAAGTGGGACCATTGATATCCATGAACTGCATTCGGCCTTGAAATTGGCCGGGGTCCGTATTACCAAACGAGAAACCATGCAAATGATCAAGAAAGCAGACAAGAACGGAGACGGAGAACTTTCGCGAGAGGAGTGGCGAAGTATTGCACTACTGTGCCACGAGCGCCATGAACGCGAACGGGCGTCTCGGTCGCTGATTGGAGGAATAGATATGTTATCGTCAGATAATGACAGCAGCAGCAGAAGCGGCTCGTCGGGCGATCAAGACAACCATGTCTACGAGGATGATGATGCCAGGACGGAGAACACCAGTGAAGACCGATTCGACAACGAGACCAACAGCAATTGCCAACTCAAGGAGACCCACAGCGAAGACATGTTTGAAAACGAAAACGACAGTAATAGTCAGCTCAAAACGAGCAGCAGTGAAGATCGATTCGACAACGAATGCATCAGTGCACTTCGACTCCAAACAAGTAGCAGTGAAGACGGATTCGACAATGAAAACAACAGTAAACACCATCTCAAAACGAGAAGCAGCAAAGACGGATGCGACAACGAGATTATCAAGGAGAACCAACTCGTCCAGAGGAGTATCGTTGATGACAGATTGAATGAAAAATCAATTGAAAAGACCAGCAGCGTAGATCGATTTTCCAATGAAAGCGGCAGTGCTGACCCATCCTTTAACGAGACCAACGGGAGCAACTTAGTTGACATTGCTCATCTCCGTGAAGGACAACTGGAGCTGGCTATCAGCGAAGACCGAAGCGACATCGAGAAGAAGGACGACCGTGGAAACGAACTCAACAAGAGCAGCTGCGACGACCAATTCGACGACAATAACAGCAAAGGCGACAACGGTGCTGTTCCTTTCTACGAGCTGCCAAACTTTGCTTTGGATTTGAATCTGAGCCAACAAGGAGCCAAGCCGACAATATCATTCCAAACACGTCTCCTACAGCTGAAGGAGTACAAAGTGAAACATGGAGATTTTGAGGTGACTCCCAACAACGAGTTTGATGAAGGGTTCTTCGTATGGTTCATGTTCGTGACGTCGGAGTTCAGCAAGAAGAAACATGGGGAGGGGGACATGAGCGACGATCTTTTCGGAGAGCTGCAAAAGATTGGCTTTCGATGAATAGGTTCTTCTTGAGGGCAAATCTAGAAGAAAGGTGTCCAAACGAACGTGCAATGATGCGTCGCTCTTGCAGCGCCCTTTGTCCGCTTTGCGGACGAACACTGCCCCGAGGGACACATTTCGATAGCTGTCTTCGGCCGCTGTTTTTCACTCACGAATTCCCAGCTGGCCAGGAAGCGTCTGGATGCGTTGGGCCCAACTTCACGAAGCGTCGAAGCGAACGGCTGGAGTGATTCGGTTCGTCGATCGACCGGCCACAGAGTACTGGTAAAGGACTACTGATTGCAATAAGGCTGCTCAACACGTGGATTCGCGCCTTCCAACGTGTCACGTTGGTTTTTGGCGTGTCACACATCGACTCCATTCATCTCTTGTCCGACCTTTCAGGGATGACAGGTCTTCGGATCCCAGTCTTGACAGATGCTCAGTGCCACTCTGTAAGTTTCGAGTCGCTACTTATTGCTTTGAGGCCCAATTCGATGGAGCAACACAATCACTGGGCCAGTGCAATTAGTTGTGACGATTGCAATTGGATATTCGCTCGCCTTCGCGGTTGTGGCTTGCTTGGTCTCGAATCCGAGTAGCCTTCTACATTCCTTCGTTTTCCTTCCCTTCATTTCGAGCGTCTGAAGATACCGAAAAAGCCAGAAGAAAGGACTCCGCATGACGTTCTTCACCCTACACCGGCTTGCCTGTTACAACCCACCTCTATTAATGCCAACACCAAGATTCGATTCCCCCAATCCGCATCCGCATCGTTAGTAGGCGACCAGCTTCCAGCCGTCTGGTCGTGACAGAGCTTTGCCGTTGGACCAAAATCTGCGACGATACTCTTTGACCCACAAAAGCTTGGAGGCAGGAGGTGGAGAACGCTACGGCAGCCCCCCAAGATAGACGAAACCGAGAGCAAAAGTATGATTCAATCCACCTCGAAGACGGTGACACGTCCAGCCTCTCCCTTTCGTCTAACACAGCACTGATAGCAAACAAACACCAAGCCAAACTCGACAACTGAACCGCTTCTCCACATCGTCAAAACTGCCCCATCGAAGGTACCTTGCCCTGGGAGAGCTGTCTTGCTGCGTATTTACAAAGCTGCTTGGCATCCAGCAGTCTCGCTTCGATTCCGATTTCCTAGAATGCTAGTTCAGTCTGTCTTTCTACCGTCGACTTGGTGGCTGCGAAGCTTTACCTGGGTAATTGGGAATGATTTTTATGCTACCGGTACGAGATTGGCGTACAACAAAGCACTGCCTATAGTTAATTGGGGTTAATTTATGCACGGTAGCGTGACGCCATAATAGAAGGAAAGACTACGCGTGTACCGGATTGTCTTCTGCATTCTCCTTCTCCTCCAATCAGTCATATGTGTCCTACTACCAGCTGGTAGCTAGCTAGCTAGTACTTCATCAGAGGGACCTGGTCTCTCTATCCGGCTGCCAGTGCATATTATTAATAGTAGGACCTGGCCATGCTTCAGCAACAACCCAAATGGCAGGAAAATGCATTCTAAACACATTCGTGAAATTTCCTAGAACCTCCTTCCGGTGGTGCACCTGTCTCCAATCGTCGATGTTGCGGTAGGTGTGAGTTTGATGCTTCCAGCTCCTGAGACGCCGCGAGGCGTCACGGGAGTTTTAAAGTTCAAATTCTAGCAATGATGTGTGGTTCGAACGAGACTATTCTCGACGGCCGAACCTCCAAGCCCTTACCGGGGTACGACAATTCGGCTTAAAACCTTCTGAGCACTAACACCTACCTTCAGATAACATGAAGTTAAGAGTCACCAGGGTAGCTCCGGTATCCAGCCACACAGAGATTGAGAAAAGAATTATGTGCTCTAGCTACCGGCATGGCCTTCTATGTTTGAGCAGTTTCGATTTGACTTGCAGAATTTGGACGGACCCAATGGCAACCATTCTCATGAGCATTTTTCAAGGCCACCCCCATACGGTAGCGCGACATCATGTGACTTCATCTATGGATACTTGCTTTCCCGGGGTACCGTACTTCATAGCTTCCAAAGACTATCCCTTGGCAACACATTCACATGGCCTTCTGCACCATGGAGAGCCGTTGCCAGCCATTACATGTAGTTTCAGCGGCAAGATGGAAAGTTGGAAAGATTCCGGAGCGAGTGTAGTCACCTGGCCACCCAGGTGAGTTTATGCCAACTTAACGGGCTTATTTTGGATCCATGGATCTTTCATTTTCCGATGCCAATGTTTTGACCCTTGCCGCCACAAGTACTGCCTTTGGAATATTGTCAGTACTGGCTAGATGCAACCTCTGGATTCGAGTAGTAGGTAGTTGTAAAGACAACATGAGACCCCGTTTTGTCCGTCGTAAAATGCATGTTTGGTTGTGGCTTGTATCAGCCATACTGAACTTAGTGGCTACAACCAGCTTTCAAGGCCATCATCAGTTGCATCGGATAGTCTCTTGGGGGACAACTCATCACGTGGGACCTCAGATTTTGGCAGCAACATCAAGTCCATCAGAAACAAGAGATGTCAATGTCAAAACAAAAACAACAGCAAAAAAGGGTGTTAAGAAAGAAGTTTCATCGTCATCATCCACTAGCAGAATCAAAGGTGTGACAAAGAAGAATGGAAAAGTAAAGGCGACACTGTCAAAGACGAAGAAACCCAAAAAGGCCAGCAGCAAGTCTGGAGAGAGCAAAGAAACAACGTCTAAGAAGAGGAAAAAGAAGAAGAAGGCTGAAGTGATGCACTGGAGTGTGGATTCTGATGTAGCTACTCTGCACCTGGATGAACCAAGAAATGTCCACTTTGTAGTCCATGGCAATCCACTACCTCTACGACGCCACAGAACCGCACGAGGTTTCATGTACAACCCTTCTGCCAAATCTCAGGAATCCTTTCGTAATGTGACCTTGCATATTCTCAATACAACAATGGATGTGCCAACTGCCAACCCAACCACTCCACTGTTTCCCGCGGAAACCCCCGTGATCATGTCCATTCTGTTTCGAATGAAACGACCCAAGAGCCACTTTGTGGGAGGCAAACCAGGACCGGGCAGGCTACGCGACACGGCACCACCACAGATTACTGCCTTGACGCGTACGGATGTCGACAACTTGGCCAAGTTTGTATTGGATTCTCTCAATGGCGTCATGTACGAAGACGATCGACAAGTGTGCTCGTTGCATGTGACAAGACTCTTGGATGACACGGACCAGTGCTTAGGGTCAACCGAGATTCATTGTCGCCAATTCACGCCCTCGGATATCCATCACAGCAACACACTTTCGAAGTGATGGACTGACTTGTGAGAGGTCGACTTCTTCTCAAGGCAAGGCACAGGCAGCGACATCAAAAGTATACATTGGCCAAAAGCGACTGAGCACTGGAACTATTCTTGGTGAGGATGTAAAAGAAACAATCTACTGTACTAGTACACCAATGCTACCTCAAGATAGCTCCCGATATTGCTCAATCAAACAAAGGAACGACGGGCATGGTGCTCCCGGGTTCTTCGGTCTCTGGGAATGAGCAATCGAAGTTCTCACAACTTTTTGACTTCGTACCCATGGAACTGCAAATATTCATCGAATAGGCCTAATAATGGTGTGTATATCATAATATGCAGCGTTTCTATAGTAATACTAGTATATATCTTCAAAGGTTGTTGACGTGTTTGAGGAAAACAGAATAGTTAGGGCAATGATGGTCCTTACAATCCTTCAGCGTCGTGTGGTGTTTCTTCTCTTTCGCTTTGGCACAGGAGCCTTCAAAGTCGCAATGAAAGTTCCTCGGCGACGGCGGCCAGGTTTCTTGCCTGGCTGATCGGATTCGGTTGATGTCAAGGAAGATGCCAATGGATCTTCACCCTCAGCTTTGGTGTCATTCGTGTTGATTGGCTTTGCTGCTTCCTTTTGAGCGTTTGACTTTGGAACTGCAAGGGGCAATGCCTTGGCATTCTCCGCGGCGCCAGAGTTGTTGTCGATCGTTTTTGTCACTTTCTCAGTGGAGTCGACCTCGGCAACAGGCTCTAGTTCTGCTTTGGGGTCAACATCATCTGCCGAATCCAGCACAACAGTCTTGTCAATTGGAAGGGTCCCTCGAGCGTCCTCCTTTTGATGACTGAATCCTAACTTTGGGGAGCTAGTAGTCTCGCCAATGACACTGGAAACAGGCTCCTCGGATTCTTTTATCTTTCTTGCGCGACTCCGGGTGACACGAGCTGGTGCCGCTGACGCTCCTTTGGCAGTCTTCCTCGACTTTGTTTTCTTGTTCGCGGCAACTGGGGCGTTCTCCGGTACGGCAACAGCAGAATGATTTGTCGAGGTCTTGCTCGAGACTGCGGAGTTGTCGATTCTGTCGCTTTGGTCAGCTAATGACCGCTTTTTGTCTTCAACAACTTCTGGAGAGGGTTGCGTTTCGACCTTTGCCGGCTCTGCATGGGCCGTAGTTGTTTTCGTTGCTGAGGTGTTTGGCTTTTCTTTAGCATCAACCTGGGCGGCCTTGGCAGGCGACATTTCAGTATCGGTTGAGTCGCCTGATGTTGTGCCCACGGACTCTCTCTTCTTTGCGGAAAAGACATGATCGTCGTCTAGTTTGGTTCGTTTCGTGGATGTCTCCCCGTCGCCTTTCGTAGCTGGAGAGGGTTTGCTATTGACGACATCTTCAGAGGTTTGTTCTTGGACGGCAATAGCCTTTGCGAAGTCCTCGTCGTTGGCAAACAAATCTTCGTTGTTAATTAAAACTTCACGACGTGCATGCTCCTTCTTCGACCCGATGAAGGGACTCGGAGAGGTAGTTGTGATTGCTGATACATCCAACGCTGTCAAGGAGTTCTCGAATTCTTCATCAACCATCACCTCAATTGTTTCATTTTGCAGAACGTCACTGCTGTCGGATTGTTCTCCATGAACAACACGCGCAACGGGTTCACTCGAAGGGGGTGTAAATTGGATATCTAATGTTTCCGTGATGGTTGTGTCGTGTACAGAGGTCAAGATCGATGAACGCCGTCCATCTGTGTTCGCCACACCTTCGTCATTAAGTGCATGATCCTGCTGAGTTGCGACGTGTTCAAACGAGAGTCTTCGTCGTTTTGGAGAGGATTGCTCTGACATCTCTGAGCAATCTGCTTGGGCCAAAGTACCCAAAAATGGCACCAGCACGCTGTCATCCCCCATGTGATTGCTCTCGTTCTCTGGTACTCCGAGTCGAGCGAGAATCGGAAGGGCGCTGTCGTTGCTTGTGTCATACGATGGACTTGCCGTGCGTTTGCGTCCTCTGCTGCCTCTTTGAAGATTGATAAACGATGCTTTGTCGTCAGTTTTAGTGCATTCGCTGATGCTTTCGTTCATGGATGGAATATCTTGGCTGCAGTCAGCTGCTTTGTTGAGGGAGTTTCCGCCGCTGCCCATAGGAGAGGCCTTGCCTTGGACTTCATCCATATCCTCTCCACTAGTGCTTTCCTCGGTTGCCTTTTGTTGTTGGTTTGCATCGTCGTTTGCCTCTTCCACTTCATCCATATCATCTCCACCAATGGTCTCCTCAGTTGCCATTTGTTGTTGATTTGCATCGTCGTTTACCTTCTCCAGTTCAGCCATGAGACTTGTCGTTTCTTTCACGTTGCCATCTGCGGTTTCCTCGACCACGTCTACTTGCCCGCTGCAAGGGTTCGAAGCATTCCGACTAATAAGATCCTCCTCCCCGTTAACAGTGACACTAGGACGTTTTCCTTTGGCGCTGCTGTCCTGGGCTGAAACGTCCGTGTCGTTTCTGCCGGTCCTGGCAGCATCCTCGCCATCCTTTTCACTTGCAGCAGTCGGACTTCTGCCCTTCGAAGAGTTCGTGATTTCGGTGCTCTCGCTGATGCTCTTGTCGAATGGTTGAGAAGGAGATTCATTCTCGTTGCTCGGAATACTCTCGCCAGAAGGAACACAGACCTCAGCGTCGTTGCTGTTTCTGTTATCATCTTGGCTCAAGCTGGAGTTGACCGATATTTTGAGACTCCCAGCATGGCTCTTGACACTACTGTTGTCAGACTGTTGACATGTGTTACTGCTGGTGCCTTGCTTTTCGTTTCCACTTGAAGACGGATCAAGTTCGATAGCGTTCTCTTTGGGGATACGACTGGTTGCCAAGGAATGCGCAGTGGAGGGCATATCACTGGGCTCTGTTGGTGCTGGCTGTTGTTGAAGCTGAGCCTCACTACTATCCTTTGAATCGGAACTTGCTGGACCCAGCCTTTCTTCGTCAGGAGATTTGGCCGTGATTTCAAGCTCGCTGTCAGCCGGTACTACTTCTTCCTTCCCTGATCCATCCACATCCACACAAGCACCGCCCTGCAATGCTGTAGGAGTTTCTTCTATACGACGTCGCTTTCTCGCTGCTGTCTTCAGAGAAAGGTGTTCTGCTTGTTGATTGATCATTTGAATTCTTAGTTGTCTGTTTTCTTCCATAACATGGAGCGTTCGCTTGCGAGCATCCAGTCTTGCAAGCTCTGATAGCATGCAGCGTCTTCGCCAAGAGTGTTCCTCGTTGTCGGATGATCGAAATGTGACAATGGATCGACCACCATTCCATGCGCTGTATTCTTCGAGTAACAGGGGTGACACAACACCGTCCTTCATGTTGCGTTGGTCTATCATGGGTTCAAATGGTGTGGCTCGAATGGCACGAGGAGCACTGAAGGAAGTTGTATCCATCTGTACCTGTTGACTGCCTTTGGGTACTTTCAAATCTGAGTGCAAAGATGGGTCTTCCCCACGCGTGGCCACAACCTTTGAGGGAACCGATTGACATTCCCGTTCCTTCCAGACTTGATATTCTTCCTCTGGAAGTGGGGATATGACCCCATCTTTCATTCCTCGATCTAGAATGAGTGGCTCGAAAGGTGAGTAGGATCTCAGAGCTACCCCGCCTACAGCCGCATCAGTGTTAGCCAGTCCACCTACTCGTCTCGTTTTCCACAAGAACCCCAATCTATCATTATCTCCTTCTGAACTGTTGTGATTTTCGCTATTATCCATTGTTGGCGGTGCCTGGTTGTCGGATCGTTGCACTGACTGCACCAAAAGGGACGACCGGTTTCTGGTGCTCCTGTCACTGCTGCTTGGACTGCTTGGAAACTGGGAAAAGGCACTGCTTGCCTGAGGACGCAGCGTGAAAGACGACTTGACACTCATGTTTGCATTACGAGTAGTCAAATGAACTTTCCTCTAGGCAAAGGCAAGTTACATGTAGTTGATCATCCACTTCATCGACGCAAGCTTCGACTTCATTTTGATTTCAAAAATGTGTTCAAGAGCCATTTTGTGGGCGGGTTCGTTTGAAAAACGTCCCCCTAATTCTTTCGTTTGAAACTCCTCCTAAATCTTTCAAAAATTGAATCCAAAAAGAGGCGCGGCCGCTTTGCTGGCTGATTGTTTCCGATGACAGGAACTGAAAACCCAGCCAGCGCCGCACCGATGGCCATCGCGATGTCGCAATCAGCCCTGACTTCGTGATCTGCATGTACTAGTAGTACCATACTAGTACTCGTGCTGGTGCAGGTGCAGGTGCAGGTGCAGGTGCAGGGCTGGCTAGAGGCAGGACCCATCTGTCGTTCACTTGCCACCAAAAGCAGCCTGTCTTTCATGAAACGAGAACTTTATTATTAAAGAGATTACTGTAGGCAAAAACATGTCTTGGATTGATTGGTGTCACCTGTGTTTCGACTGAATAACTGACCAACGCAACCCAGAAAGGAGTCACTACCTCTCCACACTCACGAAACAGAAGTCCCTGGTTGCTGCTTGCATACCCTAACTCCTCAGTTGACGGTCGTCACTGCTGTCATCACTGGATCCTTTACTCTGCTTCTGCTTGGCAGGTTGGTAAATGGATGGTGGCCATGTAAAGTTTGTCATGGTGCTTTCTCTATTGCAGGCAGGGTGGTAGCATTCGGTAGGCGTCACACCTAGTTGCACTCCACATTGGCGGTTGTACGTGGAGAGTGCCGAGGATACAATTTCAGAACCACTGTCCAACCGTTTCCCAAAATGCAGCGCCACGTTGCCTCTGCTTTTGAGGGCTGGCAGCACTGTTTCTTTGATGAACTTGTCCAATTGATCCCCACTTCCCTTTGGTGCTTGAATATCAATGGAAGCAACTGGAACAGACCAGCATGCCTTGTTTGAAAGAGGGGTAATCTTTTTGGCAAGAACTCCAAAGTAGAGTGGGACCTTATCTTTCGTAAAGAGGCCATCTTCCATGGCAGAAACCAGAGTGTCCCATTCCGTATCAATCTGAACATCCTCAACAATCACATCGGGGGCAGTAATGGGGACAGGAACTTGTCCCGTTGACAAGGAACCAGTGACAAAGTACCGAAAGATTCCAGTGGCTCCCAGAATAGGTATGTATTGGAAGATAAAACTTGGGACGATCCCGGCAAAGAAGGTTGTTACTGACCACAATATGGTTCCAAAGAAGGGACCGACGTTTGATGGTTTGTGGTACTCTGCCACCACGGAGTATCGACTTGCATAGATAATGTTGGCATTAGCATATTTCTTTGACTTGGCACCCGAAGGAAGCCAAATGTCATGAGTGATTGCATAGAGTTCTGCTGGTCTTGTGAAGGATTTGTCAAGGCAAATACCATTGATCATGCCCCGACTAGCCACAAACACATCATCTGCCATGCCAGGTCCAGCTGGGACATTGCTGCTGCGGCCAACAGAATAGCTAGTGACATAGTCATAGAGGAAGTGGGCCTCTGTTCCAAGAATGACATTGGCACTCGCCGTGATTAGGTGACCTGTTATAGAGATTGATTTGGCTGCTGGTTGTCGGATGGGTGTGCCGAATGCCTCTGCCAACTGCTCATAGTTGACCCTCCCATCAATACAGATTTCTCCATCATCCATAACAGTAATGGTCCCGTCACAAAGTGCCTCTACTTCCAAATCATTGGGGAAATCATCTTGCCACAAGGCCTTCATGTGTGGGATTTTTGAGCCGCCCTTTTTACATGTGGTCTGTGACAGCACCTGCTCAACACTGAGGCATGCCACTGCAATCAGCAGAGCCCGCATCATTGTCGTAATCCAACTTGGTCGTAAATGAAGGCCGGTACCGAGGGTTGCTTCACCCTTCCAAATCCAGAGTCGAGTCAGATTCAGAGGGCAGAGTAATTGTTGGAGAGTTGTGGGGTTGTGTCGGTCCAACAGTACAATCTAAATACCCAAGTTTGTTTACATCCATCTCAACGGCTTTTGTTCTAAGTGGCGGTGGTACTCGATCTCTCTTCTAATAATCGTCGCTTCGCCAACTCGCCCAAGGCGTGGGGACCTTCGAAGTTCCGATTTTTCGGTCACGGAAGGCGATATATCTTAATGTTGCCATTCGCCTTCTCAATTTAAAATAATTTTAGTGCTTTCGACGGTCGTTCTGCCGAGTCGATAGTCGAGTGACGAGTCGAGTGTCAATCTTCTCTTTACAGAGTGGAGAAGTTAATTGCAGTCATATCTCTCCTCTGTGTATGTCTTGCTAACAAAATGGCGTCCTCTTTGACTGCGTACGATCCTAATTTGCACAAGAATGCTCTTTCCTCGCCGCCTAAACTTGTACCATTTGACGAAGTACTGGGGATAATAACAAAGATACTGTCGACGGAAGAAGGCGTCAAGAGCATTCTCGATAATCAGCTGGAAGCCTTTCAAATGTCGTCATCCTCCTCTTCTTCCAAATGTGCCAGCCTTCCGATTCAAACAGCTGGGCAGCCGCCCTACGCAACACTTGCTGCTGGTCCTCAGGCTCAAGGTGGGTGTTTGGTGGATGCATTCATTATTTGTTCTTTCGCGTGAATACTGTTGAACGCTGCTAAAATTACCCCTTGTGCGTTGTTGCTCATCCTTGCAGTCTGCATCAAGACGGGATATGCATCCGGTGACACAGTCATGGTTTCCAAGTGTGCTGCTGGAGGGGGGAAGCATAGTGGTAACACCGGGTCCGTGTCGGTGTACGATCAGAAGGTACCTGCTTTTCCCCCTTGGATTGCGATTGGGCTTGAGCATGAATTTGGGACGGCTCATTAAATTCTTGCTTTCCATCCATTTTTTTCATGCGTTCTTTCAGACCCTTCGTCTCAAGGCAGTTCTGTGTGACGAGGGGCTCCTTACCGAGATTCGGACTGCCGCGGCCGCAGCGGTGGCAACACGAGCAGCCATTTTGGCGGCTGGCACAAGGGTGCAAAAAATGGGCGTGATTGGAGGAGGCGTGCAAGCCATTTGGCAGCTGCGATTGTTGGCAGCTTCCAAGATTATTAACCCCAATGAATCTAGAGTCGTGATCAAGACGTCGTCGCGAGCGTCCGCGGAAAAGTTTATTCAAACCATGAAGGAATCACCCCACGAACCGGATCGGCAATGGACACTGATGGAACCATACGACGACAATTCAAAGTTTCACGGGTGCCAAGTGATTCATTCGGTGACTCCGGCACGGTCTCCCGTTCTGGACGTTGGCGACGTGGATTTGCCAAAGGCCGGGAACAACCCGTTCCTGCACATTTCAGCCATTGGATCCGACTCGCCGGGGAAATGTGAGCTTGCATTGGATTTGCTAAAGCTAGCGGATGTCAGCTTGGTAGATTCCTTGTTGCAAACTGTGGAACGAGGCGAGTTTCAGAATTCTAGGTGTGAGGGATTCAAATTCCCACTCAAAGAATTGGGCGAACCTGGTGTGGTGGATTCGGCAACGGGCAAGCTAGCCGTAGACCGCGGTGCTGCCGCCAAGAGCCAAGCTTTGTTTACCATATTCGATTCATCGGGCATGGCAATGCAGGATGTTCAAATGGCCAAACTAGTTGCGCAGAATCTATAGACAATTGCTGAATGCAATTATTTGCATAAGTTGTGCGCTGGATATTGTGACTAGCAAGGTAGCAGCACAATTGCGATGCTAATAGCACAGAACAAAGCTTTGAACTCAATAAGAAGACTATCTATCCACAGCGAAGATTGCCGGCTTCATACACAGTTTCCACTCCTGCAGCGGCATGGTTTACATTTTTAAAGAGTTACCTATTATAGATCTCTTAGTGTTGCGCTACACGTGCTTGTTGCCGGCTTCAGAAACAGACTGGTGACCTACTGAAGATATGGCTGGTAAAGGCCAAAATGTATCGTTTGAAGCAACTGCTCAATGCCTGCTCATGTAGCCTTATACTGACATTTCAAACTTCACCAGGGGTTCCATTCTCTTCAACCCATTTGATGACATCCCTGCGCCCATGTCTCAGTGCAGCTCCCATGACCGAAGAATGATCCCAAGGACACCCATTTTCACGGGCATACTTCAAAACTTCCAAATGATCTCCTGCCGCAGCAAAGTAACATGTATATTCATTCCATGGGCAACCGTTCTGATGAGCATACTTCAGGACATCCATATGTCCATTATTGGCAGCTTTGTGACATGTGTTCATGTCCCATGGGCAGCCATTTTCGTGGGCATACTTCAAGGTGTCCAAATGACCCCCCTCAGCAGCCATGTCACATGTTTTGCTGTCCCATGGGCAGCCATTTTCATGGGCATACTTCAATACATCCAGATGTCCAAACCCGGCAGCACCTTTGCATGTCAATTTGTCCCATGGGCAGCCATTTTCATGGGCATACTTCAATACATCCAGATGTCCAAACCGGGCAGCACTGACACATGTCCATTTGTTCCATGGGCAGCCCTGTTGATGAAGATACTTGAGAATATCCAAACTCCCATTTTGTGCTGCAGCCTCGCATGTCTCTGAATTCCATGGAAATCCCTTTTCTCTGGCCCATCGCATCACTGGAAGAGACCTTGTTTTGGCAATTGTGGTGCAAACATCTTCATGAATGGGATTTTTCCCTGAGCCTTGATCGTTGTTCCAGTATTCTGCACATGACTCATTGCAGAAGGCAGCCGAATAGTAAGTATCTTTGTAAGTTGCTAGGCGCTCATCATAGTTTTCATCGGTGATGAGAGGAGGATCCTTGACAGAGTTACAGTATTCTTGATAGAGCTGCTTCCACTGCTTGTTGACACTACCAACAAAGGCAAACTGTCCCATGCCCAGACACGGAAGGATCTGGCCAATCCAAATATCCTTGTTGCGATCTACCAATGACTGAAGATTGGTGACCGCAGCAGTCTCTTTGGTAGGAGAAGAGGCCAACTTTTGTTTCTTTTGGCAAGGTTCGGTGGACGACATTGTAGCTTGTTGATTTTCTAGTGTTCGACTATGAGCTGGGACAAGGTCTTTGCTGTGATGGTGTGGTCGACGGGGAAGGAGACGATGTCTTGGTCGTCAATTATTGTAATTGTGATTTTGTTGTTGTTGCTGCTGCTGCATGTTATGGTCCGCCAAAATTGTTTCGTGGATTGATCGACTCGATTCACTGGACTCAAATTTGAAAGATCCAAGATCCGTCGAAAAATCGTTTTTGTTGAAAAATATGTCTATCCAACAGCCTGCAAGATGACGATGAAGAGCGGACGATGGCTTGTTCGATTCCAGGCATCGGTAGGAGCCACCAACAACATCAAGCCATGGAGAGCTCTGAGTGTGTCTGCGAATAGCTTCGCGTCCTTTGGCCGGTTGCCAAGTAGTAACGAAACTTGTTCTTCTCGATGGTTTTCATCTTCTTCTAAGTCACGTCGAGGCGGTGGTGGCTTCAAGCTGGATGCCCTGCCTTTTTCCATCTCACCCGAAGAGGCTTTGGAAAAGTTTCGGAAATGGAGTGTCGACGATCAAGGGCTCAAGTACGTGCAACAGTATAGCTACTAGCTAGTTTGGCGGATGTTGTTACGATGCTACCCCTCCTTGGACCTCACCAACTCTTATGTTTTCTTGTGTTTCTTCTGTTTTTTACACCATGCACATTACATGTATGCAGCTACCTGATGAGCTGGGATTCTGTACGGATAGGCGCTGCCTATGTTCCAGTGTGGTCGTTTGATTTGAATATGAGATATACAGTGACAGATGCCAATGGCAAAAAGCGCTATGATTGGAAACCGGCGCTCTTTTCCAGCATTTACAGCAGTCAGCAATCTGTCATTCACTTGCCGGGGTTGGGTGCTTATGCCGGCTACGGCTTTCGACGAAGTTTGGTGCATCCCATTGTCAATACCACGTTGGTATTCATGGGCGATCAAACGGTTCCGTTTGAAAAGTACATGCTGCGAGACATGCAACTGGCCGAATCGGGTGATCGCATAGAAGTCTATCCGGATCCTTGGAATGCCACGCGGAATGCGGCATTTACGTCCCTCGTGGAAGATCTCGAAAACATTGCGGCCGATGCCGATGGCACGGTACAACTACAAACTGAAATTGTATCCTCGCGTCGAGTATACATACCCATCTACTTTATTGATTACACACTACTGGGTGGCATCCAATACAGAGCATTTACTTCCGGATGCGACAAGGCCACGGGAGTTTCCGGAGTCGACCACAGAGTCTTTGGGAACTACCAACCCGATCAGCAAGCCATGAATCAAGCCTCTCAAAACTTCTTGTCGGGGACATGGATTGCCGCGCAACAGGTTGTTCAGACGGGACTACGAACCAATCCGAGAGGATTGTTGGCCATTTTGGCCATTGCACTACAATTCACTGCCGGTATTGTGGGTCGCATCCTTGCTCGCATTCCCGCACTGGCGTTTCTGGGAGGACTCTTTGTGGGATTTCGCAAAATCATACAACCGTGGTATGAGACGCGATCGTCATCGGCGGAATGGGAACGACAACGAGAATACGAAAAGAGTGCGCAAGAGGCGTCTCATTCCTATGGAACGGACTTTGTGGACAATGGATCGGCGCAACGATACTTTTTCAGGAATCGAGACAAGATTCTCCAGTTTCTAGGAGGAACCGAAACCCAGCATGGACCATCCGACTTTGATTGGTACAAGGATTGGGAAGAGTGGGCCAGGAAACAGTGGGAGCAGCAGCAACAACAACAACAACAACAGAGCACATACAGTCGCCAGCAACAACAGCAAGGGTATTCCCAACGGCAGCAACAGCAACAACAAGGACGAAGGAAAACTCAACAACAGACAAAAAAGAAAGAGTACGTGTGGGACTTTGATCCTAATGATCCATACTCGGTGCTGGGCATTCGCCGTGGAGCGACCAAATCAGAAGTCTCGGCCGCCTTTCGCAAGGAGATGCTGAAACATCACCCTGGTAAGTCAATGCTTGAAGTATTATATGACCAGAGTCTTTCATAAGAGGCTTTTGATTAATTAAATGTATTCTCACATTATGTGCTTACCTTCCTACCTGCACAGACACACAGGCAGGGGCAACTGAAGCTGAGAAGCTAAGAGCTGTGGAGAGATCAAAGCTGATCACCGAAGCGTACAGAACGATCAAAACAAGCATGAAGAGATAGCGTCCTATCTAGCGGTACCGGTAGGGCAACAACATGTAAACTAGCTACAGTAGTTTGTCTAGAAATTTCCTTCTAACGAACGATGACACAGTGAATTTTTTATCTTCACACTATACACGTTGTAGTATCTCCACACTGCATTGTATCTTATTTATTTCCAAAGAACCAACTGTCCCTTCTTTTGTCCCTTGTTGTTTGAAAATGCTGCCAGGATTCCTTTTTGGGGGTGATGCACGAGTTGAGTAATCTCGGCTCTTACGCCGCCGTCCTTGGACTTGCTAGTCGTTTCCTCCCCGAAACTTCGTATGGACTTTTCGAGTTTTCCAGAAGCAATGTCAAAGACACAACAGATGCCTTCTTCGGTGACACAGTACAACCAGTGATTGGAGGGACTGACCGTGGCAGCGACAAAGACTTTGCCCGTGTCATCGTCAAATGTTCGCAAGACAGTTCCCTGAAAATTGACCAGGAAGGCCCTCTTGCCACGTGGGACAATAATCATGGTATCGGCAGGAGTGTGCAGGTACAAGACGGAATGAATGGCGGGAGACCCTCCCGATGTCAAGTCAGATTGTTGATTGACCGTGACGGACGTTTTCACGGCACTCAAGACATCTCCGAGGGAGACTGGTCTTAGCGCCCGTATCACTTGCAACGTTTTGGCACTCCAAATTCGAACCGTTCCATCGGCGGAACTGGTCACGACATTCAATTGCTGTCCTCCTTTGCGCAAAACGTATTGACAAGTGTAAATGTACGACGAATGTCCCCGAAACTCTTTGAGCATTCGTGACGTTCGCAGTCCAAATTCGCGACAATTGGCATCGTGACCGGCGGTCAAAATGTGCGCCATGTCCGGTGCAAATGCCAGACACGTAATGGGTGCGTCATGTGCCGGAATGGTGCGCAAACACTTGCCAGTGGCAATGTTCCATATTTTGGCCACTCCTTTGGTATTTCCCGTGGCCAACATGGTTCCATCGGCCGTAACTGCCATTGCCAGAACACTTGTTCCTAGATCATGTCCCATGAGTTCATCCTCTTGTTGATATTTGAGATCCATTCGCAAGGAGTTGTACTTGTCGTGTGCATCGTAGAGTTCGACCAATCCATCGGATGATCCGGTGACGAGTGAAAATGTAGTGGTGGCGGGAGCATCGGCCACTACTTGATCGGGACAAAAGAGTGCAGATTCTGCCGTTGCTTTTTTTCCAAATTTGATGGTGGTGTAGGGCTTGCTGGGAATGGGATCCAATGGGACGGCATCTTCGAGTGGAGTGTCTCCCACCATGACCGCATCCATCTCTACCTCTCCGAGTACCAAATCAAAGACTTTTCGTTTTCTCTTTTTGGGTCGTTTCTTATTGATGTTGTTGTCGTTTGTATTGCTTGTGATATCATCATTGGCAGTAGCCATAGTAACAATATCTTCCTCTTCTTGGTGACTCCAATGATTTCGTATTCTCGGCAAGAGACCCGTGTAAGCTTGCCATTTGAGAGCTTGTTGCAATAAACTGGTGAGGCGTGACTTTGGGACCATGGGAATGGTTTCTGTCAATCGAGTGCCAATATCGTCTCGTCGTTCTTGTTTGGTCCTGTTGGAACTTCCATAAAAATTGGGTGGCAAGTCATTGTTGTTATTGTCGGCAGTAGCAGCAGCACTCCGTAGTGATACCAGAGCGGCGAGCCGTTGTTCCAAATCCCGTTTGCGCGACAGGTTGTACTCGTTGGTTTTCTTATTATTATTAGTATTGCTGTTGTTGTCATGACTGCTGGCAGCTGGCAATTTGTCCAAGTCATCTTCTACCAGTCGCAGAGTCGCATAGGCGAGTGCCATGTCCCCTGCGGCGGCCAATTCCAGAATGGCCATTTCGTGGACATCGGCCAACAAGTGTTCCAATATCGACTCGGCTGTAGTGTTGTTGTTGTTAGTAGTAGTATGATTGGTCGTCATGACAATCGTCTTGCAACACTTGGCCTTATCCAAAGTCGCCAGTGACTCGAGAATGGTCCCCCATTCGCCTCGTAGCGCCCACGCTTTGAGATTGGAGTGGACGGCCCGGATGCATCCCGCCGCACCAATCCCCGATTCTTGTTGCAGGACTCGACTGGTGTGGGACAAACCACATTCCGTCAAATGAGCGGCAATCAAACGCAAAATTTCGGCCGCTTCCAATGTCATTTCACCCTGTTGCGGTTTTACTTCGGGGAGAAAGTGGGTAGTGCTGGTATTAATGGATGCCATTGTATTGTATTGTATAATATTGAATTGACTTGACTTGAGTTGACTTGACGGGGTGGTGTTAGATACCGTAGATACTAGAGTACCGTTGGCAGTGAAAGATCGTCGAATGGAGTGATAGTGGACGCGTTTGCGGTGATGTCAAGCAATAAGCCAGCTGGATTTGGTAAGAAAGGGAAAAACATCGAATTACGGTAAGGTTAAGGCAACACCAAACGGAACCCTGGATGAAGTGGCGGCGTCATCTGTCTGAGCTGTTCGTTCCGAACACTTTTCGATGTGCCTCCATTGCATGGCAACGCATTCGCTTTGCATGCTTCGTTGACGATGACTACTTCGTAGAGAAGGAATAATAAACTTGTCTATACTAGCTAGTACCTGGCAGGCAAAGCAAAGCACAATCCACAATGTGTTACGCTTCGGTTTGATTCGATTGAAGATCCACGCATTCAATCAATTTGCTTATCTTTATCTATCTTGACGACGACAGAAATGGTGGAATACTTTTGGAAGACGCAAAAGGAATACGAACGGATTCCGGATGTTCCCACATGTGATACCCTAGAAAGTGCGGCTGATAATGATCCTGAAGCTGTCTTTGGAGAGAAAAAGACAGTACTGGTAGCGTGTCGAAAATGGATACCTTTTATAGTGGGATTCCTAATAATTGGGGCTTTTTGCGTGTTTCTACCCCACTTATTGTGGTCTTCTCCTGCCTTGAGAGCTCCTCAAACACCACCACCACAAGCACAATCACATCGAGCTCTTGTGGAATTGCAATGGGAGCAACATCATCATCTGCAAGATCAAGGAAATAATGAGATCATCTACGTGGCGCATGTAGAGTTCTGTCAAGAAGGAAACTCATCAACCTTTGGATACCGACAGCTAACAACACATTATCCTCCAAAAGAAGAATCCAATCCTTCTTCGTGTGGCCCCGCTGGACTTGTCATTCGCTTGACACCGGGACAATCCTATCGATTGGTTCTTCACAATAATGCCAATGCCAACAATCAAGTCACCAATCTGCATACCCATGGCCTTCATATTGCGGGAGATGGCAATGCCGATGATATCACGCGTACCGTGCAACCGGGAAATTGTCTCGTCTATCACTGGGATTTGCCGCGTAATGCCATGGGAGGAACCTTTTGGATTCATCCGCATGGACAGGGGAATGCCCAAGAACAACTCACGGGGGGAGCGTACGGTATGCTGATTGTAGAAGATTCGTTGTCGTTGTTCTTGGCAAAGGACAAAAGTGAACAGGAGGTTGCTCATCCACCATTACAAACACAATACCAGAACATTCAACAATGGCTACAAAATGAACTTCTCATGGTCGTTTACACCAAAGGGACCAAACGAACGGCACTGTACACGCCAACAACTACAACAAGTTCTACTAGTAGCCAATTATCGGCATTGGAATTGGAACAGGACGTGTGGTACCGATTGAGGCTCTTGACGGTGGACCCAAAGGGAGAGCGAGTACCAGTGACATTTCCAAATGGTTGTCAAGTACACTTGGCGGCAACCGATGGGATGTGGCTCACCCAAACACCACAAATGCAATCGCAACAAACCTTCAACTCTACTGGAGCCGGTCGTCTCGATTTGGCCATTCGATGTAACGCACTGGGTATCCATGACGTTTTGGTACACAATCATACCGCGGGGTCACTTCATGTGATAGTTCCCAAAAGCGCGAATACTGTCCTTGCCGACCCCTTTTATTATGACGACAACAGCAACAATCCGCAACGTCGTTCTTGGAAGCCAAACTATCCTCCCCATCTCGCAGACCTGTTGACGGCATCTTCCTCCAATGATATGCACTACTTTCAGACTCACACATTGACATTGATCAATCGGACCATCAACGACATGTCTTGGGATGCTCAATTGCCTCTACTCGATTTACAAGATATACCCTACAATTCGTACCAAGAATTTGTTGTACGGGGCAGCGACATTCATCCCTTTCACATGCATGTCTATCCCGTACAAACGTTTGACTGTGGACCGCACCATATCGATGGACAATTTTACGATACCATTGTATCATCATCCACGGATACGACTTGTCGATTGCGATTTCGAGTGTTGGACTATGCCCAACGAATTGTGCTCCACTGTCACAACATTCTGCACGAAGACCAAGGCATGATTGTATGGTTCAACGTGTCGACGACGACAGACAGTGGTGCGGCCATCCCAGTGCAAGATGCCACACACAGAGACGAAATGATATGCGGCAATGTACCGTTCTAAAAGAATCTGCGCAGAGTGACGATGTTGTCCTACTTCTGGCTAGAGAATAGAGAGCGGGAGGTCGTTTCGAGTTCCTCTTGGGTTTGTACTTTTAAAAATATATTGCTTTGACTAATAGACTAGCTAGCCGCATCGAAGATAGCAGGTACTTTTAAAAATATATTGCTTTGGACGCACTAATAGACTAGCTAGCTGCATTGAAGATATTAATAGCAGGCTTCAGACAAAGTTTCGGCTCCTGCAACAGCATGGTCTACAACTTGACAGAGCTACCTAGATCTCTTAATAATGTTGCAGCTTCAGAAGCAGAGACTGGTGACCCGCTGAAGATATGGTTGGTAATGGATAAAATGCATCTTTTGAAGTGTCTGCTCAATGCCTGCCACATGTGGCTTTATAATGTCATTCAAACTTCTATGTTGTTTCCATTCTCTTTTACCCATTTGATGACACTCCTGCGCCCAGAGACACGTGCGGCTGACAGGACGGCAGAATGATCCCATGGGCAACCATTTTGCATGGGCATACTTCAGAATTTTCAAATGACCTTTTTCTGCAGCTGCAAGACAAGCCCTGACATCCCAAGGAGCCCCGTTCTCATGAGCATACCTCAGGACATCCAGATGTCCATTATTGGCAGCGTTGTGACATGTGCCGATGTCCCATGGGCAGCCATTCTCGTGGGCAAACTTCAGGGTTTCCAAATGGCCATTCAAAGCAGCACAGGCACATGCTTTGCTGTCCCATGGGCAGTGATTTTCGTGTGAATATTGTAGGACATCAAGATGGCCATTTTTTGCTGCAGAGGAGCATGTCCAGTTGTTCCACGGGCAACCATTTGCATGGGCATACTTCAGGATTTCCAAATGACCTTCTGTCGCAGCTTCAACACAAGTATCGGCATCCCAAGGACATCCATTCTCACGAGCATACTTCAGGATATTCAAATGACCCCCCTCAGCAGCAGCAGAACAGGTCTCTTCATCCCATGGACAGCCATGTTCATGGGAATACTTCAAGATTCCCAAGTACCCATTTCCCGCAGCGTTGGCACATGTTCGGCTGTTGTACAACCATGGACAGCCATTTTCATAGGCATACTTCAGGCTTTCCAAATGGCCATTCAAAGCAGCCATTTCACATGTCCCTTCGTCCCATGGGCAGTCGTTTTCATGTAAATATTGTAGGACATCAAGATGGCCATTTTTTGCTGCAGAGGAACATGTCCAGTTGTGCCATGGGCAACCATTTGCATGGGCATACTTCAGGATTTCCAAATGACCTTCTGCCGCAGCTTCAACACACGTTTGGGCATCCCAAGGACATCCATTCTCACGAGCATACTGCAGGATATTCAAATGACCCCCCTCAGCAGCAGCAGAACACGTCTCTTCATCCCATGGACAGCCCTGTTCATGGGAATACTTCAAGATTTCCAAGTACCCATCTCCCGCAGCATTGCTGCATGTTCGGCTGTTGAGCCGCCATGGACAGCCATTTTCATAGGCATACTTCAGGCTTTCCAAATGGCCATTCTCAGCAGCCATTTCACATGTCCCTTCGTCCCATGGGCAGTCGTTTTCATGTAAATATTGTAGAACATCAAGATGGCCATTTTCTGCAGCAGAGTAACATGTATATTCATCCCATGGGCAACCATTTGCATGGGCATACTTCAGGCTTTCCAATTCACCTTTCAGTGCAGCTTCAAGACAGGTTTGGACATCCCAAGGACATCCGTTCTCATGAGCATACTTCAGAATATTCAAATGCCCCCCCTCGGCAGCATAGGTACAAGTTTCTTCATTCCACAGACAGCCATTCTCATGGGCATACTGCAATACATCCAAATGACCCCACTCAGCAGCAGCAGAACATGTATTTTTTTTCCATGGACAGCCCTGTTCATGGGAATACTTCAGGACATGCAGATGGCCATTTCTAGCAGCCTTATAACATGTCCAGTTGTCCCATGGGCAGCCATTCTCCCTTAGCCATTTCAATACATGCAGATGTCCACCATGGGCCGCAGCTGCACATGTCTCTTCGTTCCATGGAAATCCTTTTTTACGTGCCCATTTCATCACTGGCAGAAACCCAACTTTGGCAATTTCAGTGCAAACATCATGGTGTTTGGGGTACTTCATGAGCTTGGAGCATTGATAGTTGTGCCAGTATTCTGCACACGACTCATTGCAGAAGGCAGCTGGATAGTAGGTATCTTTGTCAGTTGATGAGCGTATTCCATCCAAGTCGTACCAGTGTTTTTTTGCCATGACTAGAGGAGGATTCTTGACAGTGTCACAGTACTCTTGATAGAGTTGTTTCCACTGCTTGTTTACGCTCCCAACAAAGGCAAACTGCCCCATGCCCAGACAAGGAAGGATCTGTTCAATCCAAATCTCCTTGTGATTTACCAATGTATGAAGATTAGTGATGGCAGGAGGGGGCAGCTTCTGCTTCTTTAGCTGAGGTTCTGCAGACATGATACAGCTACTTGTTATGGTTGGCAAGTACAATAGTCTCCTCTACTAGTAGTGTTATGCAGGGAATGGTGGTGGCAGCATTGGCAAGACAAGCTATGTATTGTTACCGGTACAGCAAAAAGAACACGGTGCGGAAGCTTGAGCGTGGAGGATATTGCGGTGTTGCCGTTGTTGCGCTGTTGGTTTTCGTGGACCCTAACCTTCACATAAAGACGCAAGGCGACTCACTTTCCTTTGTTTTCTCGACTGCCACCGACGACGATCGAGAATCTGATGACCCTTGAATTCGTTCTCAAGACTCAAGACTAACAATCTCTTCTGCTGCCGCCGGAAGAAGTTTGGCAAAGACTATCAATTGAAGCAAGATTTGCCTGTTGCTTCCTGCACTACTTACTTTTTATCCAGCAGAATCGAATCAGTTACGACCCATTTTTTAAACTACTGTTGCGACTGATTTGAAAGAAATCAAATAGATCCATCAAGATGTTGATGAACTACCATGAATTGACGATGGACGAGTCTGCGGACTCTCCCAATAAGAGACGTCAATTTCGACTCATCTGTGCCGTGATGGCAATAGCCGTGACGTACATGACCCTGTCGAGTGGAGCTTTGAAGCCCGTGGTGGTCGAGGAGGGTACCTTTGGAGGTGGCGATTTTCGGTATAAATTGATTGGACGGGATTATGCCGCCTCCAATTCCCTGTTGGAATCCATTGCCGGCGATTTGAACGTGAAAGAACGACAATACGAAAGTGTCATGCATACCATTTATGTCGATGATCCCATGACGGTCCATGGAAGACGACAACGATTTGCCGGTGGAGTGCTCTTGACGGAACAAACACCTCAATTATTGGTGGCGCGAGATGGGACCGTTACGTCCAATGAGGAACGGATTGCTACCATGGCAGCTCTGAACAAGGAAATGAAAGTAACGACAGAGCAAGAACAAGATGACATGCCAGCCGCGGATTTATGGCCGCGATTAAAGTACCAACGGCAGCAATTGCCAGCTGTGAGAGCCGCCAAGGTCAAATTCACATTCACCAATGGATTTGTCTCATCTTTGGTGCATTCCTACAAGGTGCGTGTGTACTTCAACAAATTTTTTTGGGCTGACTTTATTATTTTCACTTACTCTGTCTTGGCTCACCATCCCCTTTTTCCAACATGCATTGATTTCATTTTTCTCGGAAAGGTTTTCCCTGCGATTCGAGAATATGCCAAAACACATGGGGATCCTGGGATCGTTCCAGTGGTAATGACGACCTGCAGTATTATGGATTCCTATTGCATTCATTATGTGGTACGTCCTGGATTCAATACGATGATTTTGCCGCCGCAAACAAACTATTGCTCCATTCATTGATCTGATCTTGAATTTTTTTGTTTTGAAATGATTGGCTCCCAATTTTGATGATCGCCTAAATGGTTCACCTGATACGGTATCATCGTTCGAACAACAACACAACAACCAACAATAAAATTGTGGTGGTACTAGCCTATGGAAAATGGGGAGAGCTTTCGACTTGGACTGGAGGAACGATTTCCATCTGCAGGGGAGGGATTGGTTAACTGGAAAGGAGTATACGGAATGCTCGTCAAGATTGTCACGCTCGGACAAGGGGGAAAAGATGATGTCGAGACTGACACAAAACCGGTCACGACAACAACCACAACAATCAAATCAGAGTCCAAGGAGCAGCCTGCCAAACCAACAACCGATGATAAACCCAAAGAAACATCTACGAGTGATACCACAACAGAAGAAAGTGCTCCCAGCGAGGAGGATACGGCTGCTACTACTAGCACTGCAACAGAAAAGGAACCTTCCAGTGAAGAAGTAGCGGAAGAAACTGCCGCAACTGACCGGGAAGTTCCCCTGGAAGAAGCCACTGTAGTTCCTGATGAGCCTGCGGTGGAAGAAACTGCAAACACGACGAATGAGGAACCAACAACAATTGACGAACCGGCCAACGAGGAAGTGGCGGAGGAAACTGCGAATGTAGAGGAACCTGCCACCGAGGCAACAAGCACAACAGAGGAAGCTACTGCAACCACAGAGGAAGCGGCAACTGCAAGTGAGCCCGTGGTTGAGGATCCTCAAACTGTTCCAAGCACTGAAGAAGTGCCACCTTCAGAAGAAACAGGATCTACCGAGCAGCACTCAACCCGAGAAGAACTTTAAACGCGACAAACATACATGTACAAAGGATTATTGTTCGGCCCTTGAAAATAACTGTAGATTGTGGACGATTGAATCGAATCGGTTGTACTAACTTCATGAGACGTTATTGTAATATACATTCGTATGCCACAGCATAACACGAAATGTCGTCGTCTAGAACGGATCAGATCAATCTGATGAAGCTCACGCATCCATCGGCTGGGCCTCTGAACCATCTTCCGATTCAGGCTCCTCGTCTTCCTCCAGATCAAAAAGCTCGAGTGTAGTCACACCCTGTGGAGTGGTAATGATGCCTCCGATTCCTCTTGATCCGCTCAGCATGAGCCGAGCTGAACTTCCGTGGAGCGATGCTGAGGAACTAATCGAGCCAACTTGGCGGGCTAAAACAGCGCAAATAAGGGAAGAAGTTGAGATGATGCCGCACGAAGAAATGCCACGCTCGGAAAGTTGGATGCATCTTACCCTTTGCAAAGACAACTCCTTCTTCCTCTTCAATTTCCTCCGAACCTTGGGCCTTGGCAATGACTCTGCATTCACTTTGGATTTCGCCGTCATCGAGAAAGATCTGCTTGCTGTCTTTCTTGGCCGCAACGGCTTGGTACTTCAACGAGTCATATTCAATAAGCCACAACTCGATAGACTTCTCCTGCGCAGATGTCACTGCCTGGTTGCTCGCTAGGAGTAACCCAAGAGCCTGACGTCGCTCACGTCCAGGACCACTATCCACGCCTGATGTCAGATTGCTCTTCCCATCATCTCCATAGAAAGCCAAGTCAAGAATTCGGCGCCCCTCAGGAAGTACGATTTCCGTGGTGAGATAAAACGGCAGCCCACACTCTTGGAGTAAGTCCTCCTCTTCAACATCAAAGTTCGTGAACGCAAGAAGGTCATCCAAACCATCGGTGGAATCGGACCAGCCATGGGGAATCATGTACAATTTCACCGTGTAGTTCTCATTCGACGCAGCCGAGGGTGGGGTCGTCTTTGCAATGATAGACCATTGTCGACAATAAAAATGCGGTACATTGACTTTCGAGGACTCGAGAACCGTAGGCGAAAAGAAGCCTTCGTCAGCAACATCTTCGCTGTCAAAGTCGAACTCGGGCTTGGGTTGATCCCTACCCATTCGCGAGTGTATTGCAACAGGGAGGAACTCGGTTTTTCGTTCTACCGGTAAGAACAAGTCTGCGTGGACGACAAACAAACATCAAAGTTAGGAAAATTATTATCAGGAATGAAGACAACCCGCTTCCAAGGACTGCTTACCCAATCTCCAAATAGACTTGGCCATGACTGTCCTGGGGGTTTCAAAGACTGCCACAACAGCGTTTTCCGTCTCCTTTGTGGCATAGAGAACTGTAGGTGTACTTCGTTCGTACGTAGCATCCACACCATTGTCCCGAGACGCTTCGGTGGAGGAAACGGGGCACGAGTAGACAAATTTTGCCTCGTCTTGAAGCAATTCCTACGTCGACACGAGCAGCAATTAGTCACCGAGATCCAAACGACATCACATTAGAGCAACGACTCGACTAACCGTCAAGGGAATGCCCAATAGCCTTTCGACGACGCTGCTAGACTGGTAGTTTTCGGAGCGCAGATACGAGAGCATTTTCTCCACAGTCGCCTGAGGCACACGTCGCTTTTTGGCGTTTTCAGATTGTGCTGAATTTGGTGCCGTTCCTTTAGCCTTCACCTCGGAGCCCTTGGCACGCAACCAGGCGATGAAATCACGCAGTCGGAAGCGAGCCTCGACTATCTTTGTCATGGTAAATTCGGCAGTCGTCAATAGGACCCCACAGAGATCCAAATTCCGTTTGGCTGCTTCGGGCGACAATAGCGAAGGTGCAAATCGAGCCAAACCCAACAGTTCGCCCGCATGAAAGGCAAGTGCTCTCGAAGGGCCCAATAGGAAAGACCGAGCGGTGGTCTCAACGTTGGCAATGGCAGCTTGCAGCGATCGTTCCATGCGTGTGACAAGCTGGTCGTTCATTTGGACGCCATTAAAAAACTGTTCGATGGCATTGCTCATTTCTTCGGAGGCAGAGGTACTCCCAATCAAGATGTACTGCCTCAATATCTGGCGCAGGTCAGGTTCCACGCCGTAATCTTTCAGCAAACGTACCAGTGCTTCGATCTTGGTATCCAATGGTTTAATGGAGACTTTCCACGAGGCTAGGATTTCTGGCACGTGCTTTTGCAGGGCTTCCAAGTGCGATGTGATGGAGCAGTAGAGGGAACTAATGATTTGTAGATTGTGTTTTTGTTTGGATAATGATGGTATCGAGAATAGGCTAAGATTCATGCTCTTCTCTTGATGTACCAGCAAGTGACTTAGATCGGGAGAGCATACAACTTCGACATTTCTCTGCGCCATCATTGGTAGAGTGAGGAGTCGATAGCGTCCATGGAGATAGATGTGTAGTCCCTTTCCCTTGGTGGCGACACACAAAAGACTCAATGGAGTCTTGCAGGTCGGAAGAGCGCTGTACTGCGAATTGTTGACTTCTGCTCCGTGATTAACTTCTGTTGGTTGTCGGTATAGTTTTTGGTGCTCACTCGGGGGTAGCAGATCGGAAGCCTTATCCAAAAATTTGCAGCGATAGCTATACCCCAAAGCATTCATGAGTAACAGTAAAACAATTTAAACAATGACGACAATTGGCGTACTATTTCCGTTCCATTTTGCCTGTACAGTAATAATAGACCTACCTCCAGGAGACTGCCTCTTCTTCCTCCGCCAAACTCAATTTCCACCCAGGATGCGATCGTCCCACTGCCCATTTTAAGCCCACGATTCCCTCTTTTGCGACTGGTACGGCACATAGCAATCCTGGAGAAGCGGATTCTCCCGACATGGATGACGTGGATGACACCATGGCTTCGACCTGATAGAGCACAACCGTTCCATTGGTCAATGCCAAGGCAAATGTTCGTCCATCGGAGCTCCATTCCACATGGCTCACCCCTTGATCATCCGTATCTTGTCCATCGAAATTGTTGGTCAATGTGGATAGACGCTGCCAGGATACTGTCCGATGAAGCCACAACGAGGCAGCCGTCAATACAGACTCGCTGTTGGCGGGTTGCATCCCCAAGACAACCAAGTCCATGGAAGGGCATAATCGACAGGTGGATGGGAGCAGCGGTGCCCAGAACCTCTTGCTTTGTACCTGAGAAAAGCATTTCGCTTGATCATTATTATCTTCTTCTTCGACTGGGGCATCGTCCTCGCCAGCAGCCGTATGATCTGGCACGCTATCAAAAGAGGTCTCGTCCATGATGTTTTGGCAACAACAACAAAAAGAATGAGAGACCGAGGATGGATAGATGGATTGGATTTGTCGTCGGATTTGTCATTGGCATTCCAAACGATTTACGAAGGCATTAACAATACCCAATTTATTATCTCTTTTAAAAGAGCTGACGTCATAGAAAATAGAATTCTTCCTCCCTCGTTCCCAAGAATGAAGCGGGAGCAACCATCCAAGAAAGAACATTGAAACCTCCTGGACGTTCGCGCTGCTGTCGTCGACCATGCATTTACCGTATCGCCGTCACAAACTCAACGCCTCGACTACAGCAGCAGAACAACCACAGCAGCAGCAACAACAGAGCCGCACACCGCAACCATCCATAACCATGTTTAGTTGGAGCACACCAGCAGGGAGAGGGACGCCAAATGCAGGGTATCCAGGTGCAAGGAATGCGTCTCCCGTCCGGGCAACGGCTATCAACGGCACCATTCGAGCACCGGAATTCACTCGGGCCCAGCATATTGAGTCTTACTTGAACGATGGCACATTGAAACGATCCACTCGACAAGTATCGCAAGGTACGGTAGGCAAATACTGAAACAAGGAATGATATGTGGAATGGTATTTTTGGGTGACTGACCTCAATTGTTCGATGTTGTTGTTGTTGCTGCTGTGGTTGACAGATGACTCTACCTATGATACCGTATTCCAGACCACTAGAGGCGATACACTGATTGTCCGCGTTCACTTGCCACCTCCCAGTGGTGGTCAAAGTCGAGCACCCGCCATGACATTGGCTGGAGTCCGAGGCAGACATTCCTGGTTGGACTCGAAAATGCGCATTACGGGCTATGCCCCCATTCAATCGGACGATGCCTGGAGGTCGTCTCGCATTTTGCTGGGAGCCGCCGTGCACGAGGTGGTAAAACACATGCAGTTGGAACCACCCGAAATTGTGGAAATCACAGATGCCGGATTGCGGTCGATTCAGGCCAATCGGAAAAATAATGGTAGTAGTACTCGTTCGTCGACGGCATCCTCAGCAGCGGTTGGTCGAAGTGCTCATTCCTCGGCATCACAGCAGCAGAGCGCTTCCAGTGATGCTCCACCGGAGTATTCTTCCGTGCTATTGGACATGCCAGAGATTCCACGACAAATTCCCGAATTGGATGCATTGACACGAGAAGAGCTAGATCAATTGTTGGAGGATGAATTAGAGTTTACTTCCTTTATCAACGGTTTGCCCATCTTTGATAAGATTCAATCTACAGCCAATGATGTCCTCGATGAAAATTCCAAAAAAGCAACGGCCAATTTGGAAAAGGAAGAAAAGGTCAAGACGTTACACAAGGAGGTGACGGAACTCAAGACCAAACTAGAAGGAAAACTGGAACATTTTGCAACACTCGAACAAAAACAAGATGCCCTGTGTGCTCCTCCCGACAAGAAAGATATTCTGCGGCAGTTGGCCAAAGCAAAAAAGGAATCATTTCACGTATCGGAACAACTCGCTGAAGGTTGGGTCGAAGACGGTGCCAATGTTGACGGGTTTGTGCGAGAATTCGTGGAGAAGAGAAACATTCATCATATTCGTGCCGCCAAAATGGAGCGGCTACAATTCGCTTCGGCAAAGAATGTATAGTACAGTAGTAATAGGCAGGGCATTTGTATAGCTACAACATTAGATCGTCGCGTTTCTGTAGAAATGGCTGCGGGTGGGAAACTTGCGGGGCTAGCTAGGGAGACGATTCTTTGGAGGCATGCATTCACATCGAACGTAAGAGACAGCCGGGTCAGAAAAAGAACATTATTTGATATTCCGAAGAGCGTTTGCAGCACCCGCTCGGCCATTAGAATTCCCCGCACGACGGCACAAATGTTTTCGTTGGCTTTGCTCCTTGGTAATGGGTAAAAATGCACCCTGGGAGCAAGTCTGCCACTGCCGCGAAACCTGTGATTGAGGCAACAAGTAACGTACCGTACTGTGGAAAGGCCAACGGTAAATCTGTACCAGGTACGGCTAATTGGCTTGCAGTTGCGTGTTGTGGGCTATCTAACCATGCAAGATTATGGTTCATTCAAGGCTATCAGCAAGTCTCCCATTGGCAATTCACGTTTTGGTCCAATCAAGAAGTTCCTGTGGCTGAAAGGCTTCTGCGGCTTAGATTATCTCAGGATCCCAAGTTCAGCCATGCTCTCAAGCCCACTTCAGTACTGAAGATCCGAGCAGCAACACAACATTTGGAGGCACTCCATTTGCAACACTGTTGTTCATGGGCATACTTCAGGACATCCAGATGGCCATTTAATACAGTACAGCATTGGCACATGTGTCTACATCCCAGGTGGCAAGGCCTAGCAAGAGGCTTGCATACCGGTATACCGTTTTCAAATCTAGCCATAGAACATAATCCCTTTGGGAAGGTGTAATTACTAAGTTAACAACTTCAGGATTTCCAGGTGGCCCCAATTGCCGCATTGGCACACGTGTCTACATCCCACTGACAACCATGCTGCTGGACATACTTTGGACTTTCAAAATGCCCTCCCTTTGTAGCACCTGCACAGGTTGATGCATCCCAAGGGAACTCACAATCATGTTCCCATTTGAGGACAGCAAAATGGCCTCCCTTGGCAGCTTTGCTACATGTCTCTTTGTCCTTTCGACGGCCATGCTTCTGAGCCAATTTGAGCATATCAAGATGGCCACTCTCAGCCATGCTTGTGCCTCCCAAGGGCATCCAGCCCATTTGAGGATAGGAAAGTTTCCCCCCTGGACTAGTCCATATATTCCAGGACTGACTGCCCCGTTCTTTAGCCCATATCGGGACCTGCAGATGTCCGCCATGTGCACCATTTTTGCCTGTGGGATCATTCCAAGCGCACCCATCATTGTGTGCCCATTTTAGATGACCTCCCTTGGCAGCACCCATGTTGATTCTTCCATGTGCAGCCATGCTCACATGTTAGCCATTTCAATACTGTCAGGTCCCCCCAGAGGCAGCAGCTGAGCATGCATGTGGGTCCCAAGGAAACACTTTTTCAGGGCCCAATTCATCACTGGCAGAAACAACTTTGGTGACTGCAGTGCAAGCATTTTAAAACACCTTTGGGCTGCTTCTTGGAAGCAAGGAAAGCTGGGTTTGCGAGGCCAAAGTGGGGGCATGTTCTACCAGTACGGGTCATGGGTCATGAGGGGGGACAAACTACTGGCTAGCTAGGAACCAATTTGAGGGTTCGGGTTGAGGTGATCCACACCCATGTATTAATAGCATGAACGGCCGATCCACAGCATCCAACAAACCACGGCAACCTGCTGAATTCATTGGATTGGATGTATCATCATCATTGCTGTGAAACCCGAACAAGTCTCCTCTACTAGCTAGCTAGCTGCCCATCGAGCCTTTCAGCAATTCACAGCTTGTTGAAGCAGTAGGAAGAAATCTTTGTTTGGGGACGACCATGGCCTTCAATTTCGGGGCTGCGAATCCAACGCCGGCTCCGTTTGGGGCCACGGCTGGGACTCCAGGAGCACCAGCTTCGACCAACGCTCCAGCTCCATTTGGATTTGGTGGTGGAACACCTGCGGCCAGTACACCGGGGCCAGGAGGAGTGTCCTTTGGATCGTCTCAGCCAGCTCCAGCCCCAAGTTTCGGCTTTTCCGGCAATGCCCCAACTGCCGTGGCAGGGACCCCAGCTCCAGCGTTTACGTTTGGATCCACGGCCGCCAACACACCGACTCCAGGAAACTTTGGTGGCTCTGCTGCTCCATCGGCTGCTGCTCCAGCCACTGGTTTCGCCTTTGGTGGAACGACGCCAGCTCCTGCTCCGTCGGCATTTTCCCTCGGACCCACTACAGCTCCCGCTACCAATGCTTTCTCCCTCAGTGGAGCGACTCCTGCTCCAGGAGCTCTTGCTACAACCACCACGACCCAACAACAGCCAGGCATGGAAGTACCTGCCATGAGCTCGCTATTTCCCAATGAAAAAGTCTATGACGAGATTACCATGCTCCTCTCTGCCAGCGAGTCGGCATCAGAAGGCGGACGAGAAGCTGCTTCGGAATTGGTCCAACGATTGCAATGCAGCAACGACGAAAAGGCTCTGGGAAAACTCCTCTCGTCACCCAAAACCTTGGCATATTCGAATCCTGATGCCAATATTCGAAACCAGTTGCAGACCAATCCATCTGTGATCTTGCCCGGCCAGAGAGAGGCAACGCTGGTCCCAGAAATGCTGGGCGAAGTAATCCGTATTGCAGACGATTTGAGAATCTCCGAAAGAGAGGCATTGTGTCTCTTTGCCGAAGTTAGCAATGATGAACGACGACTGGAATTGGAGGATCAACTCCAGGAGAGTTTCATCGACAAATCACTGGCGGACGACAAAGACAACTCGCTCTATCCCCTGGCGCTGGGCAGAAATGTAGTCAAGGCGGCCAAAGAACTCTACTTTTTGGAACGCGGACGATTGTCGCAATTACTGCTCCTCTTGGTACAAACTCGTATTCAAGCGGATCAACAGCCTTGGGGAGAATTGATCATTGAGGCAACCGATAGTTTGCTGCAAAACAATCTCATTGATAACTTGGTCAAAATCATTCGGGAATGGACAGAGATCATTGTTCAAATCGAAGCGAAATTGTCCCTGAGTGCCAGTATGAATTCGTTCAGCGCGTTTCCCAAGGAGCAGCAAAGGAAAAAGCATTTTGACATGGTGCATCTACAATTTGCCGTCCAAGAGAGACAAATTGCCGCTGAGACGTTGTTCTATTTGGCATACCATACTCAATTTACAGCGGGCGAGGTGGCAGGGGTAATTGATGTCATCAAAGTCCTTTCCAACGGTATCAATCAATCAGACAAGGGATTGACTCTTCTCAACCCCTTTCACGACGTACCCAGCTCGTACCAGAACCCTCCGCATCAGGTGGATACACCTTGGGCGCCGTACCAATCCAACCCAGGACCCTTGAAGGAGAAGACGTTCCTGGAATGGGAAAAGCAGCTTGTCAAAAAGACATGTCAAACAACCATGCCTGATCTGTTGCGCTGTGTCAGTGCGCTCGTGATGACTGTGATTTCGTCGTTGGATTCCAAGCAGACTCTGGTGGACCGCCAAACTCACCGCGTGAACTCGTTTGGGGTGGTAAGTAACTGTCAGGTTTACGAAGAATGGATGAACTTTGGTTTGTACATGTACTAATTGTTTGCTCCTTTGCCCAAAACTTTATCCGAAAGGGCAACAAGCTGTGCCCCCCCGGAGAGACTTCCACCAGTGGCCTCGAACCCATTCATAACAGGTTGACGGCTGATGGATGCGCAGAGTGGAAGAGAACTGACGTCTGCGGGCTCTTGTGCGCCTCATATGCGATGCTACTTCGGTCCTCCCCTGTTTTGCTGTCGTCGCCGAGGGCAGGATCCTCATCTCCGTCCAGGGCTCGTATGCGAGTGTTTATTGCCTGCATTACTGCGCCGATGTATCTCAAATCAGTCACTTTCGCTCGATTATGCTTGTTGCCGGCATTGCAACGACCATCTCGTGTGTCAAGTTCGGCTTGTGATAGCTCCGAGTTTTTCCTTTCAGTGCTCTCGGAATACGTAGCCAACTTTTTGGAAACCCTGAGTCACTCAGGCAATCTCCCTCTGTCGCGGAAAACGTGGAAAAGAGAGCAAGACGAAGGTCTGCAGCTAAAGCGCGACAACCAGAAACAGAGGCGGGAGTTCAAGGCATGGTCTGGAAACCGTGATGATAGCCCAGAAGAAGCCGTACCGAAATCAGTCGATCTAATGGCACGCCCTGACTGCATGGACGACATTGCCGCCTTTGCGATTGCAGTGGCTTCACTCGGCAGTGATTACGCCATCAAGTTTTGGTCTGTGTCGAGTGAAAACGAGACTCACAAACTTGTTCCGAGCCGCACGCTATTGCAGCTGAAAGCTATGGCATCCAAGGATGATTCATTACCACCGTTTTATGTGGCGATGCTTGCATCTTTGGCGGGAGCCACTAACCCCAGCCTTTCCGACAGCGGTGCCTCCACTGTCTCTAACTTGCTTGCTGATCCAAACGAAGTTCAAACGAGTTGGACAGTAGTACTCAGTACGCTTCGATGGTACTTTCGCCAATACGACAACAGCGGCTCAAGCGCGGCAACAAGCACGGGGGCCTCCATGCCTCCGACAAATAATTACTACTACCAAAGAGTAATGCAGCAACAGCAGCCTCCCAAATCGGCTCAGAGCTCGAAGCCTTTCCAAGAACTTGGCGAAGCCAATATATTCAACTTGCTTGGTATGTTGGGGCTTATCACCAATGTGGCGTCCGTGTCGGCGGAAGCTCGATTGCAGATCCTTTCAACAAAGCTACCGATCACGAATGAAAACACAGGCGCCGTCTTGGGCACGGACGCTACGCTCAACGTATTGTTTGCACTCAGCGTTGCTCCTTTGCCACCCGAGGTTAGAGGGGCAACGTTGGGTGCTATTGCTAATCTGATATGCATGGATGGTTTGAATGACCAGGACAAAGCAAAGATGTTGATCTATGCCACTTCAGCTTGGGAGTTACTCGAAGGCTGTCAGATACTACCGGTGGTGCTTCTGGACCAGATTCCACCGCCGATTGCAGTCGCACAGCTAAATCGATCCTCTGGTCTGAAGTTCCCGGCCTCATCTACTTCATTGGTAAGTGATTGCAAGGTCGCTGCTCCGTTTAATTGGACTTACTATTCAGTGTCTCATCCAATGAATTTTTCTCTTTTGCAGGCCGGAAGTGAGGCGTCAAACAAGTGTCCAATTCCTGTGGACCAAACTTATGCCATCCTTTACGAAATGGAACATGTAGAGTCAGCCAAAGGGCGATACACTTCGACAGAAGTGAGTCATCAAGAAGTTCCCACCGCTTTGTGAACAAATTGGGGCATCTCTTACATTTTGAGTTTTTTTTTGTGCGCGAATTCAGGGTTTTATTCGTTTATTGAACGCGTTGTTTTCGTGCTGCTCCCCATCAGATCTCGGCAAGCACTGGAGACTGCGAACTGGTTGTACGCCGTATGTTGAATACATTTGCCACTATGTGCTTCCCAGGGCAACAGGCTCAATGGGCAAGAAGATAGGGAAATTGCCGTTCCGATCGAAAGCAGACCAGGTTCGTCTGGTCTCGCTTGCTTTGGAGGTCATCGAGACCATACTTGTCCGTTACCCCATGGCGACCGGCTTGGACAAGCAAGGAGGCGCAGTTGCTACTGACCATGCATACCGGTTGCTTGGACAAAGGGGGCTTGCCGAAAAGTTGGTGTTGAACAGCACAGGAAGTCATATCGAGGAAGTCCGGGACGATTTTGAGAACAAGTTGATTGACGCCAAATCTCTGCATGCGGGGGGGCTACAAAGCCAGACCCCGGCGTCTTTCCAGGGAGGTCCCTCGTCTGCCATTCCAAGGCCCAAGTCACCGGGATTCGTGGTCATGGCCAACATTCTGTCCGTCTCCAACAGCGAGGTACTCACTGCAATACTGGCTTTGCTTGCAGATCTTGTACCAAGCCTTTCAAGCGCTGGAATCGGATCGTCTCGCTTGGCGGAAACTTACGCCCTATTCAAGGATACCCCGCCAACCATGACCAGCGCGAAACACGCAGGAAAGAAAGATGTCGACGTGACATCTTCCATGCGCGAAAAACTATTGGAAGGTCTACGTCCCAGCTTCGAGGACCCGCAGAGTTTCTCGGGAGCTGTGTCATGGCAGGAACGTTGTGTGATGCATGCCTTGCAAATTCTTTGCGCCACTGCCGTGCGAGAAGAAGCTTTCTATACCGCTGTTACTGCTTCGCGACGACAACTGCAAATTGTACCAATTGTGCGCTTTGACAAACCTGTGGCATCTGCCACTGAACTCTGTGTAGACAGGGTCCACATTGCGCGGCTGTTCGATCGTCTTTCAACGTCTCGAGACATAATCCAGTGCCTTATTGGTTGCGTTGGATACAGCGATGCCTCGTCCGACGAGCATAATGCATGCATTGCTGCAGGTGGGTTATCTACGCTGTTCTATATTCAGCAGGCTCTACGAGCTCCTTCGATCGAATCTCTTTTTGGCAATTCTCCTGTTGGGCACAGACGAGTTCGCATGGCAGTGGCCCGTCGAATGATGAGATCATTTGAACGCTGTGAATTCTTGCCTGATTCAGAGATGCTTGCATTGATCCTCTCGTGGCTGCTCTCCGACTGTCGTCGAGGAGAACAAGCTACGGGTCTTGCGCACCTGTTGTTGGGAATAGGAGCCAGAGACCAACTTTTCCTGCCGGGGAGTGAACCTCAAGATTGCTTTGCTGCAATTCTTCTCATGGTGAATGAGTTTCCTTTCATTGTGAACGAAGAAACTTCCCTTTACGCGGCGAACTGCTTTGAGATTATGGTTAGGTTGTGTGATCTGAAACACGTGAACAACGCCGTCTCTTTGCAACGGGCCTTGGCGGCGATGGAGCGTCTACGTTCTGTTTCATTCTGGAAAAACAAACTGGAATTTTTCTCAAGCTGGGGCGGCGACCGATCATTTTTTGATGCGCTTTCGACTCCGGGGCACGTCAATTGCAACACTATCCATTCGATGGCTTGGATCTTGTTGGGGGCGGCCACGGAATTGCACGTTCTCGCAGGTTTCTCGCCCTCCATTGGGAATACAATGCCTTACATCCCGCCTCGTCCAAACAATGGCCTGATACTGGCAAACGTGTTGTTCGGTTCTAACGACGACGTTGTGGGGAATATCGTCCGTCATTTGCCTCTGCAGCGACTGGCCTTGGACGCTGCTCGGTCACCACCTCAAGCCGCGATTCGAATGGCGGGGAGACCGCTCGATGGTGCCACTGAAGTGACGGCTGGCTATTCAGTTCTCGACAAACATGCATTGTTGACCGCAGTTTCGCACCTCAAAAAGGAGCACTTTTCAGACTTTGAGCAGTGGGCAGAATTGTGGAATATGGCGGTGAAGCTGGACTGTGCCGTTTCGCATCTATCAGAAGTTCTCCGTCTTGTCATTGACGTCTGTCTTCCTTATTTTGTTGGCGAGACGCCTGGTGGCTTCGGGCTGCCATTGGATTCTTTGTTGACGCAGTTGTCTTTGACCGTGGCGCGCTTAGAGGGGATGCCTGAAGGTTCGCAGTACTCCGCGAGGGCCACTTGGAACTTGAGTTGGGTCGTCTTGGTGCTTTCTCAGGCAGTGGCCGCAGTGGCAGAAGAATCTGGTGGTGGAATGGACGATCTCAGGCGATTGCGCGATCAGCTGGCGCTGAGTGTGAGAAGGTCGGGTCGACGAAGCAGTGGGAACGAAGCATCCTTTCACAACGAAAGGACTGCCATGCTCGGCGCCGCGATGACAGAAATCATGCAAGCCATGAGGCACGATGAATCCACATGGGATAAAAGTCTCGCCCTGGATGTTGCCAATGTGCTGGCGTCCATTTCGTTAGAATCTGTCAACCAAGGCAGCACGACCGGTGGCACCGCGGCGCTAAGGCCTACCAGGGCCGCCATCATTGCTAGAAGCAGCCTTGGGGCCTTTATTATGATCTGGGATGAAGATGTTGGGGCGCCATTGGAATCTCTTGCACACACTGTCTTGTCCGGGATACCTCCTGGGGAGAGAGAACCCAATGCAATTCCATTGCTGCGGCTCGTTGGAAGGATGGACTTGGATGTGATCGGCCTTGTTGTTCAGCTTGTTCAAATTCCGTTTGTTGGAAACCTTCTCCTTGAAGCCGGTTTAATGAGATTCTTGGCCAATGCTGCTGAAATTTACATGACCGAGGAGCAGCGGTTGCTCAGTGTTTCGAATAGCCGAAACGTCTCTATTGGATTCCCTCCTACGCTATACAGGCACTTGCAAATTTTCAGGGCCCTCATGGCAACCTCTGCTCAACTATCGGATGCCCACATGTCGATGCTGCCTCAACAGTTCTTCGCTGTCCTGGGCAGGTACCGCATCGCCATCGAGCCATCTTTCAGCCGTTTTGCTGAGTACGGCAAGGAGCTTTGCCTCCTTGTGCAATGCTGGGCGCAGCTGAGCAAGCTTACATCGCCTGCAACAAACAGCACACTCCAGGACATGCCAATTGCCCGAGTAGAGTGTCCTTACCGAGGCTCTGTCTGCGAAACGATGATTGTCGAGACAGTGCTCAAAATAGCCGAAAACCCTCTCCCGGAGAATTGTGTTGCGGAACTACCCTATTCTTTTACAAAGCTGAACGATGCGGTGGCTTCAGAGGTGGTTCAAAGTGTGGATGCCCCGGGGGCATCGTGGTGGGAGTCCAAATTGTTCAAGTCACGTAACTCTGGTCTGAATGGCACTTTGCGCAACTTTGACGAGTGGACCGAGGAAGATTTCGCACATGCCGTGCTGGGTACCGACATTCTAAAACCTGGGCTCCGTGTTCTGATGGAGTCGGGCTTGAGAAACCTTCGCTTTGAGCTCTTGTTGGTGAGAGGGCTCTTTCGACTCTGCAAAGCGGCTGAGGTGAGTACAGCACGTGGATTTGTTTCGTTCTGGCATGGTCAAATATTGATATCACTGACTTTTTACGTTTTGCATTTTCGGCAGTTGATCCAACAGCAGCTGGAGCTGCTTCACCGCCCTCAGTACAATATTATGATGCAAACCGATGTGGGTGAAAACAGTGTTGTGGACCTGGAAACACGGTTACGACATCTGCGTGAGCTCGGTCCAAAGATCAGCAGCTGTGCGCACAGACTGCTGCTGGCTTTGGTGATGCGAGTCAAAGTCATCAGGCTAGAAACAGAGAATCGTTCGAGAGAACCGTGGTCTGAGTACTTCAAAGCTGTCAATGATTTGTTGCAGTACACAGACCTGGAGTCACAGGTACGAAGCTCATTTGTGTTTATGCTATCTTGGCTGCAATCATCAATCTGTTCTAACACAGTCTCCTGCTGGTGCATAACTCCATCTACTAGGGTATTCCATGTACATTGGGAACGAAAGAACAGAATTCGGTGCGAAAGCTTGTGGAATCCCTTCGGTTGCTGGTGGTGCCATACCAGTGATTACATCACACCAATACAACGCGACCTCGAATACAACTTGGTAGTAGCACTATATCGAATAACCTGGGTTGTAACTATAGTAGGCAGGTAACCCGTAACTATAGGTATCGAGCTAGCTAGCCAGCAAGCTCGGAAGCAGTGTGCAGCCAGCACACATGTCTGCTTGTGTCTTCGGTTCCGTTCAAACCAAAGAGCGGGCTTCGGCAACGAACACTTTGTTGTAAGAGGCAACGTAGCGTATCGGTAACGTATCACCCAGACCAAAGTCCCACAAAGCAAATCGTAGGGTCCCCACAGTGGCGAAGAGTGTTTAGAATATCTGGTGTTACTAGTACTCTACCAGACTTAGATAGGTACGATGTTGTCTCCCATACCAGGTATGGTACTGGTACCGGTAGCAGTTCGGATCAGATACCGTATCCAGCCAACAACAAGACAATACATGCTCGGTTATTCTACCACGCCCAATTCCAATTCAAGATCAATGCATTGAAATGGACTGGAGCTGGGGTCCTTGGCGCATTCCCTGTCAGATTCGTTTTGTTCCCTGTACTCCTGTTCAACTTGTTTCAACATGTCCTCCACGATCTGCTGGCCCTCACTTTTCCACATGTTACGATTGTTGGTAGCGTAATTCAAATTTTCGTCACTGGTTGGACCGAAGACCCCGCAGTCGCGGATCTTTTGTGACAATGGAATGACTTCGAACAAAGAAACACAACGCAGCAAAGGCCGCAGTGAGAAACAATCGAACAGGGTTGGCCGCCCCACAGCATCGAGAGAACTCAACGTACTGTAGAAGTCAAAGAAGCCAATCTCGCCCTTGTACCAATTGTCGGCGGGATTTGCATCGCTACGTCCTTCCCGGTATGCCTGATAAAGCTCGCGAAACAGTCTTTCATTCCATTTTCTGTAGATATGCCAATGCTGGCAAGTATGTGCAATGTCAGCTGCCTGGATGAGGTGCTCAATCTTTGGAGGGGATGAACAAGAGCAAAAGATGAGAATCAATTGAGGAGGCCGCATGGGGCGAGATCCACAACAAGTTACTCACAACAATAGTTGCCTTCCTGTTGATAGACACTTGCTTCCTTTTCTTGATTGCATGATTCGCGCTCCGTCTAGGGTTGTAGCTTTCGTCTTCGCTGTCACTTGATGAGGAAACTTCGGATAGTCCAGACACTGATGTCGCTTCTTGTGAAAAAGCCTTCTCCCACCGACCATTGCGTAGCGCCTTGAGTTGCTTGTCGCCCAAATCAGTTGCTGTCCCACCGACAAAACGAAGTGTCAGTTACACCAGTCGAGCGACCATGGTTAGTTTTCAGCACGACTTGCAGACGACGACGAGGCTACATGCAATTCGACATACCCATTACACAGTTAATCACAATTTGCCTAAATCTGTGTAGCTCCTCGGAACTGCTGCATATCGTGGATCGTAGTTTTTGAAAGCGGTCTTGCATCAGCAGATCCCAGGAAACGTCAAACGAATTTTGTCTGGACGAGCAGAAGAGAGCCAGTGGTGAGTGTTGGTAAGTTGTTTCGAACGACGCGATGGCAAACACAAATCGATCAGGCAAGACGCACTCAGCAACACTACGAAGCTTGTATCGCGAAGCCAGCTCGTCGTTTTCCTCCATCCATCGATTGTTTGGCACACCAGGATGTTGGACGTCATGAATTAATGCGGAGTAAACACAAGCTATTTGGACGCGGCAGCGTAAGGTTAGATTGTCATCTGTGCAAAAGTTTGTTGTCGAGACAGCCACGATGCTTACCGAATTGGGTCAACGGATCGCTCGTTATTCTAAACAATCGAAGCATACGGTGGTGAGTATCATATCATCGCGAGGAAGGAAGCGGAATCCCATGCCCCGAGACGGTCTAGCACGCACCCGTAAGAATGATCCTATGCAGCACGCGAAGGACGAAAAAAACCTGCTGTTAGTGTCATTTTGACAATCGGTCCAGTTTGAATGCGAGGAATGAGTAAACCGAAAACTTACGTGTAGTGCAGACTGCGCACTACTTCGACCACGCTCTTCTTCGCCGCCGAGTTCTGCTTCGCTCCCCTCCAATATTCGGGACATATACTTTTTCACGGCCATTACAACGTAGCTCGCTGCGGGAAGAGTGCAGGGGAGACGACGATTACGTGAGCATAACATCACCGGTACCGGTAATGTATAACCTGCAGTTGACCGCATAGAACGTACCATGCGCAAACTGATGGTGGGGGAAATCACGTGGTTAGCAAGGCGAAAATGGGAAAGAAACTCTCCTTATCTGAAACGTACGTTGTGAAAGGGATACTGATTGTACAAAGAAGCGATAACGGAGATGTACTCCCTCAACTCGGCAATTACTTCATCTGCAATCACGACATCCTGGTTGTCTCGTTGTCGTCTAGCCGCCCTCCTGTCGAACTCCGGCAACTCGATGATTTCTTTGACCTGCAAACGACAACCCTGAGCTCCAGTCCTTCTCCGTGGTTCGACGAACACAGCTCGGGAAAAATAAACGTACCTCTTCTAAGGGCATTTCAGCTTTGTTGAAGTCGACCGTAGAGCCGCTGCTCAGGCCAGCTGTGAACGACATAGCCCGCCGAGCCAAAATCTGTACCAGGAGGCCTTGAAACACCCCGACATTCCACTCAACCCAGCGCTGCTGACCATTCATGTAAGCAAACTCATCTGATTTTACTTCCTTCGCGGATTCTCGACGACCAAAGTCCAGCCAAAATGTGGGGCCGGTGGAAACCTTTTCGTCTCGGGGGACAATCCAGTTGGGCTTGCCACCATTGACGATCAAGTTAGCCGTTGATTCCGAGACATGTATTCTTCCACTGATGCTCTTGTCTAGAAGCAGCTTGGCCTCGAAGGTTGTAGCTCCAAACAGCTGGAACTTTTCTCCTTTCCCAGCGAGACAGCCACCCGTGACGGGGCCACTGTGCATTGCAATTTGCAAGGACAAATCTCCTGAACAAACAAACAAACAAACAAACAAATGAATACCCAAAGACAGATGATGTTTAGCATCAAAACTAAAGCAAATGACAGATCACGATGTGGTTTTGCAGAAGCCGTCGTACCAGTATCAGGCCCTGCGTACAGAAAAGAGCTAGTTTGAGCTTTGCCATGATGCAACACAAGCCCGAAGTACAACATTGAACTCACCAAACCGTGTCTCCATGCTCTTCACAAACCTGGGCATCTTTGCCATGCAATCCATGGCGAACTTCGCCATTCGAACTGCATGGTCAGGCTGCGGCTTGGGGATACTGGGAGATGCAGGAAAAGACGATATGGTAAGCGGCATGCCATGGCGGCGCAAAAACAACAAAATTTCCTGCACTCACCCTGTCGCTGCAATGTAACACTCTCCAACGGTCTCCTGCAGCATGACAAAGGAAGAAAGTACAATAAGATGCGGTGGGGCAAAGCACCCAAGGGACTGTCTCCGATCTGAGCTGCTTCATACCACTTTGAAAACGCCATTTTTCACCGCGATTTCATCAAAAGTTTCATACAGCTAAACAGGAAAGATGTCAGCGACAGTGTCGGGCCGAATGATCGGAATTGTATTGGATGCCAGCCTTACCACTTCGAGAAACTGAAACACATCCACCGGTTGCCGCACTGACGTCCTGAGATCACATTGGTTGAAAAGTGCATCAGTCGCTGGAGCTAAGCCATCAAACAACAAGTTTCACCTGTGAGTTCTTTCTTACCACGCAGAAAAGCTAAGAGGAGACAGAAGCAAGGAGGATCAGAGTTGGTGCCAACAATTACCAAGGGAAACATCAAAGGAGCACAATGGAACGTTGACCTTACCCGACCACATCCAGGAGGGCCATCGTTGTATGGACAAACACATCAGGAAGCATGTTGTCCTCGCCCTGTTTGTTTTCATCTTTGTCAAAGAACTTGGGTAGAATATATATTGCAATCGGTGTGATCGCGTTCAAACTGTGCAGAATGCTGCTGTAACCCATCAAGTCCGACCTTTTTGACTCGAACAAAATGACGCACACAACGAATTGCAAGACGAGAACGACGAGCTGAACCACCAGCGTTACAAAGATGGCCCTAGAGTCGTTCCTGTCGTCTTTGACTCGGAGAGCCAAGAATCCAATCATTGTGCCCGACAGGAGCACCAAGCCACGACATGCCATGGCAATAAACAGCCAATAGTAGTCATATTCAGCCCCGCAATAGTCATATGACTCAATCACACTGTCTCCTTCGGGTGTCACGTGATTCGTCAGTTCATATTCGTACGTCTTTACGGGTGGATCCACATATGTCCAGACAAACAGATAAACCGCCACCAGGACCGCAAATGCCAGAACATATTTGTACAGCTCGATGGACTTCACTCGCACACGCTGCATGCGCTTGCCGTCCGTCGCCAGTCGGCTAATCGCCGATATCCGCACCACCAATGGCACAAACAGCAAGAGATAGCCCAAATTGATCAACCACGGTGTGACACCACACGACGCATCGGTGGGGGCAGCGGTCATAATGACGGCCCCAATCCCAACCATGAGCATCCCACAGAGCAGCAACCTCAGAAAGTGTGACTGCATGTGATAAATACACATGGTTTTGCGTTTGAGAAAGCAAAATGCAGTGGTCAGAAGCACCACGCACACGACAAAAATGGAAAGCCCAAAGGCCACTGCCAACAGCGCCTCTCGTTCGTTGTCGACTTCCTTAATGACCCGGGGATATGTTTCCGGTACAAACGACATGAGACGATCAAAATTGTCGACAACCCATTGGCAGGTTGCATCTCGGGGATCATATCCCAACGGGTCGGTTCCTCGACTGCGCCATAGTTGGATCAGTTCATTGTAATGCAGATTGTCAAGTCGTAGGTTTAGCAAAAAGTCTCTGGCCGGGCTCCAAAACACGTCACTCAAACTGGGATCTTCCGTCACATCGCGGAGTGCCTTGGTAAACGTCTTTTGCAGTAACTGAGGGTACGTGTCACAGCTTCCTTTTGGGTCTCCAAACGATCCCTGATCTCGCCAGGTGGAGTTGGCACAGTAGTCTGCCACATTGATTCGATTATCGGCACATTGCGGGGTGGGCGGTGGTAAGTTGACGCGGGTCATTTCGGCCTCACTTCCCAGAAATGATTGGTAAAAGGGATCGGGCGAGTACCAGACCATGAAAACGGGAGATTTGGTGGCATTGGCGGCTCTCCAAATCTGCAAAGCTTCGGACGCTTTGAATCCTCCATTGACCTCGGTTCCTGCGTATCGAAAGGGCATATTGAGATGGTGCGTTTGTTGTTTGGCATAGCTGTTCCAGCCACATGCATAGTCGACCAGTACACCCGTACAAGTATCGGGATTAAGATCGCAATCTCCCTCTTCCGTGATGCGAAAATGTCCCGGATAGAGTCCTTCTACGAAAAAGCTCTGTTCTTCTTGTTCGTTTTCGGGAAATCGCGGTGCGTGTGGTTTATCGATACAATTGTTGAGTTGACAATAGGTTTTCCATCGATTGTAGGCATCGGGTGTAATGCAATTGTCCTCTTGTATGGCGCAAAAATCTTTCCATCTGGTTGGGGTCTGAAAGGTTTGAGCCACTTTGACTCGATCCCGCATTCCAAAATAGGACACGAGTGTGGGATCTCGTTCGGCGGCAAATCGCGGTATAAAGAGGGCATTTTCTCCCAGGACACCCAATTCTCTAGGTGGGTCAATCCCCACGATTTTGCCTTCTTCGAGCACTGTACTCCACCACATTTCGGGTACCACGTGAAAGCACTGTTGATAGTTATCTTCGTCGTCGGTATATACCGTTCGACAATCCTTGACTCGATCGGCAACGGCATGTCCCTCCCATCCATAGTCCAAGACAATGGAAGAAAGATCAAATTCGGACTTTGGATTGTACAAGTCGATATTGACATGGGGTGATCCCGCATCAATCGTCGTGGGGACATTGAGGACTTCGGACAAGATAATTTGAATGATCCAACTGACAAAGATACCCGTTTCCCAATTGAGACCTGCCAATCGGATTTCTTGGTAGGAAAAGTGCCCCGCTGCCGATGCCGGCAGACAATAGCCATTGGCGGCCGCCTCGGGAGGATCTTGGGAACTGCAGACGCGAGTCCGTGTCCAGTTCTTGGCACCCAACATGGTCTTCAAGCAGCCACCACCATGATAGAGGGGATTCGAGCAATAGCCACTTTCCATACAGATGGATCCAGGACGGAGCTTCAATTCACATTGCAACGTTGCGTTACAGGGGACATTCGAGGCTCCCGTGATACCCATCAGTGACATCCACAGTACCAGCAGCACTAGATGGCTCAGAAAAGGGCGTTGCTGCCACATCTTGATTCGATTTGATTCTACCCAACTCTCTGGCAGATTGGTAGCTTGCTTTATATCAATATATCTAGGAGCTGGCGACTGGAGGGATAACTTCGGAAGAAGGAGATAATGAAGAGTCTTCTTTCAGGCTTCTAGCTAGCTCTTCTTACTCTTGCTATGATGTGATATTGGGTATTGTACAGTACGGTGAGCTTCCGCCTGTACGAGAGTATAGCTGCGTAATCGTCAGTGGCAGAGGGCAGAGTTTCAAAGTTCTTGCTGTGGCTGTGCGCTTCCGCACCAAAAACTCCGCGATGACTGAGGCTTCTTCGGAACGGTCCTGAGAATAAGAGAACTAAACTTATACCTTGAATATAAGAACATATCTGGTTTGCCAGCTATCACGGGACTGTCACGGTATCTGTTATGTCAACTCCTGATCAAAAGCCGGCGTACCGGTACCAGTACAAGGCTTACACTTTGAAAACCGCAGTGAGAATACAAGCCATCTATAACCTGCTAAATTTTCCTTTTTGGTACGCATTTTCAAGGTGGTTTAGCTTAGAAAATGCTTATTGCCAACTCAGGATATCTCCTATTCTTCAAAAGGGATATTGCTGCTCATCCTAGCTAGCTATGCGTAGCTCTACTGGGAGCAAGGACCCAGTGGATACACCTACATCTAACTTGCAGGATATCCAAGCGCTTGACACTTGACACTATCGGTACCGGTACTGGTACATGAAAAACTGACTCGACACCTGCTAGGATCTAATAACCAAGGAAATCATGATAATAAGTTTGCTCCTTGCCAGTCAAATTGGCCAAATACTTTAAATCTCTTGATAGTCAAAGGTATCACCAGATTTATTGGTGAGGGAGAGCATTAAAACAGCTGAGGCGGTTGATCAAATGAGGTCGCTTCTTGGATTTAGAAAAGCCAAAAATGGGGGAACTTTCCATGTTGTACCGCAACCCCGAAACCACTCCTCCAATGGTCTTTTACTTTTTACAGTGGAGCAGTACTCGAGTACTTAGTACAGTCGTAGTGAGGAGTGGAGGTGTGGAGCCGTAGTGCTTCAAGCTTTACTCCGAGTACTGTACTAGTACTGTACAAAAGAGCTACTGCAGTGGCCAGCATCTCTGAATAAACGCTTTTGATGGCTGACTGGGCGCGCTGCGCACCTTGCGGTACCCGGTACCTGGTACCGGTACAGCAACCTCTAGCTATCTTAACAGCCATGAGTACAGTACCGCATTTGCCTCCTTTTTGGTTAGCCAACAACTACTCTTAGCTCTTTTAGTAGCCAACAGCACCCTTCCAACATACCAGATCCCCAGCGAGCTAGGCAGCCAACAGTTATGGTACCAGTAGCACCAAAATTAGGGTTCCGATACTAGCTAGTACCGATCGCATACATGTAGTTCCTTGCTGCAAAATTGAGGTTCATTACCACCCTAGCTTACTTCTTGTACCTACGGGTCCTTGATCAACAACATTCCATGGCTAGTACACCCAGACAAACGCCTCCAAAAATAACCGAAAACCAGAATACGTAGAATGTGACAAGATAAAACACAGCTCGGGGAGAGCATTCCCAGCTGAACTCAGTTTCACTTCGTCTGCCATTTTCATCCAAATGGAGATCATTGCAACTCCATTCACAGTTGCCATAGGTGTTGCAGGAACCTTCTGTCTGTAGATCTTCACATTTTTGCGCTCGTTCATTTCCCTCCTCATCTTCCTCCACAAAGCATTTATCACTGCAGAATTCTTGATCCTCGTAATAATCACAGGGTTGCGGAGCACATGCATATGCCTCCGCACATTCCTTGCGGGAGTCAATCTCGGAGCAATCTTTTACAGTTGCACAGTGAGGCCATTGCTTTGGTGGAAGCAGAACAATTGGGAGAATGATCCAGGCCAGGAGGCAGGAAAGGCAACAGATACCACAAAGTACGGATTGAGATTTGTTCATGTTGCGCGAGGTGAAATCTGAAGGTGTTGTTGAGAGCTGCAAGCCTTTTACCTGTCCCAGTTTATGATATGGAGCATCTGCTTAAGCTACATGCAAATTGCAGTCTTGCTTCTGCTTGGGACGACCCAGACCTTGAAGCCAGGAGGGTCCTCAGGCGTCCTGGTCCCTGACCGGCAAGCAGATAAGCCAAGGGAACCTAACCACGTCTGGCTGTAAGCAGCTCAACGGGCTGATATCTTTTTTACGCTGGATCTGTGTTGATCCATCAAGCCACCCCATGTTACTAGCTAATGTTAGGTTGCCTGGTTTCTTAAAACTAAGTAGTAAATGAGGACTGTCCGCATTTGCGCTGCGGAGTAGCCAGCCCAAGTGCAGCAATAGAGGAACGAACAAGAGAGAGGTTGTCTAAGGGTCTATCTCAGCTTCTGAGCCTCCGCGAAACGATCGATTATCGATTCACCTCTTGTTTCCAGTCTTTGGGTCAAGCGTCTGTGAATTCAAGGGCCAGCCAGAAGTCAGAAAATCACGAAGGCTACGAGTTGTGGCTCACGGAATAAGTCAAACCGAGGTATCTGATGATGTGCTCCTTTTCTACTACAAGGCATGGCCGAGGTCTTTGTATCATAGTCCTGGCTTGTCTGTATCTGTCGCCGCCATTCGCTGTTGCAGCTGGTGCTTCTACCACCAACAGAAAAGATAGCGGCACTAAGAAAAGTAGGCTGCCCAATATTCTCTTGTTGCTGACTGATGACCAAGATGCTCTTGTGGGAGGAATGTCACACATGCCAAAACTGGAACGACTCTTGAAACAGAGAGGCGTGACTTTTGAGAATGGGTTTGTGCACACCCCTATTTGTTGTCCTTCCAGGTCATCCATTGTCAGTGGTAGATATTTGCATAATGGTGGTGCCCTGAATAACACTGTGGAAGGGAATTGCAATGGCCCCTATTGGCAAGAAGATGCTGAACAAAACTCCTTTGCTACCGTCTTGCAAAGCTTGGGGTATCAAACATCCTATGCCGGCAAGTACCTCAACATGTATGGCATTCCTGGATCTCCTGGTTGTCAACGGTACAAGAATGGCACACGATCACCTGGCTGTTCACGGGTTCCTCCAGGCTGGAATAGGTGGTTGGGATTGATTGGCAATTCGCAGTACTACAATTATGGAGTTGTCAAGTCCACAAGAAGTGGAGCAACCACTGGAGAAACTATTCGGCATGGCCATGATTATCCAAGCGATTACTTTCCTGACTTGGTTGCAAATTGGACCCTTGAAAGCATTCAAGAATTTGTCAAAACACCTGACAAACCGTTCTTGGCTGTGGCTGCCTGGCCCACAGCACACATGCCTTTCACACCAGCCCCTTGGTCTGAACATGAATATGATGGTTTGGAGGTGATCAAAACACCAAACTACAACGCTTCAACAGAAAATCAGCAGTCTAAACATTGGATGATGCGATGGCTGGCGCCCATTGATGCCTCTACAGAAGAGTGGATGAATCAAGTCTACCAAAATCGAACAGAAGCATTGCTTAGCGTCGACAATCACATTGAACTGTTTGTTCAAGCCCTGCAAAATGCTGGAGTCTATGACAACACCTGGATCATCTACACATCAGATAATGGATGGCAATTGGGACAACATCGATTGAGCTACGATAAACGACAACTGTACGAGAATGATATCCGAGTACCCTTCATTGTCACCGGTCCTGGTGTACCAGCCAATAAAACCTCCAGCCATATTGTGCTGAACGTGGACATTGCTCCCACCATGGCAGACATGGCACTCAAGGCAATGAAGAATGGGGAAATGAAGTCTGCTGTCATTGAGCAAGTAAGAGATGCAGTAGACAATATGGATGGGACCTCGTTTCTTCCAGTCATCCTTGATAGTGGTGCAGCAAAGCAAGATGACCCTTGGCGACAGGACTTTTTAGTCTCCTACCACGGACGGGGATATGCTCAATGCGACAACTTTTGGGGCTGTCCTGCTCCCAAACAGGGCGACCCTGACTATCACATGGGGGACTGGTCAAACAACACCTATCATTGTGTCCGCACTATTGCTGCTAGTGGTTCATCACAAGCGCATTTGCAAGAAGAAGAAAACAGCATCTACTGCCGCTTTTTGGATGATGAAAACTTTGTGGAGTACTACGATTTGATGACAGATCCTTGGGAATTGAACAACGCAGCGTCATCCTTGACAGTAGAACAAAAGATCCGCTATGAAAGGCGTTTAGAAGAGCTACGAATCTGTCGAGGAAAGACTTGCCGAGACGCGTCATCCGGAACGCATGCTTTTGCTACAACAACAACAGCAAGTGTGGATGTGGAGATTGGAGTTTCCGACTAAAATCTCTTAATGCATCCTTTGACCATGTTTTTCGACTATTTCTCGTCGCCCGCTCTATGGATCGAGGTTAAGATTCTCAAAGGCATGTTCGTAGCGTGGTGGCAGATGATGTTCCACCATTCGAGTTGACAGGACGGGCCCCAACTTGGACAAGGCAGCTGGATCGCAAATTTCGTAGTCGTAGGAACCGTCCTCTTGTTCGTTCATCCAGATCGTTGATGCGGCCGGAATGGACAAAACCGGTGCACCCTTTTTGGGTACCAATCGCTTGCTGCTGGCTATTCGCACCGCTTCAATGAGATCTTCGTTGGGCTCTGTGATTCCCATGGCAAGTTTGACACGTTCATATCGGCTCATGGAACCTTGCATGTAATCTTCAATAGCCCGGATGGACGCAAAGACATGTCGCACCGAATCGACCGACAAAAACGGCACCACGTCCTCTTCATGAATATAGTTGATAGTAGATTGTACGGCCTGTGGCACCAGCATGAGTGGGGTAAAGACGGGTGGAGCTGCATAGGCAAAACAACGCATCTTTCGACCTTCAATGAGCCGACCTCCTTGGTTTTGACACATGATAGTCAGCAGACAACCACATCCAGCACCAAGGCTGTGCCCCGTGACAATTAACTCATAATCTTCATGCTTTTTGAGAAAATATCGGATGGTGCCTCCAGCATTGGTCCAGACTCGTTCTGCCATTGTCATCATTTCCGAATGGGCTTCTCCACCAAAGCACGGACCTTGCCGCAATAGACGTGTAATTTGCAGATTGTATGTGATGAGTTTGCGAAGAAATCGAGTTGAACTTTTTGACAATTTCAATCAAACAAAACCGTGTGTCAACTTACGAGAGAATGCCGCCACATCCACGACAATTTCCGCCAAGTTGAATGTTCCCCTAATGGCCAGTACAATTTTGCGATTGGCATGATCCACCGCGACAAAATGTCTCAAATGTTTGCCATCACCGTCATAGTCGACGTCCACCAGTACAATGTCTTCTTCGGGTACATTGATATGCTCACTGATGCGTGTTTGGGTGAGTGGGGAAAGCCGTGTATCGACAATTCCTCTGGCATCCATTTCGGCGGCGGCAATCATGGTAGATCCATACACGGCCGTGGCATATCTCATGTACCGGAGAGCTTCCTCGCGTGTGGGAATCTTATTGTTGTTCCTTGTGGTGGTGGCTTTGGCCTGATCTCTGCGGCTCTTGACACTGAAGAGTCTCTGTTGGATACGTCCCAAGACGACGATGTTTCGGAGTAGATGATAATTGAGTGACTGTGAAAGCTCTAGGTCAATGCCACTGGAATTGAGGAAGAGTTGAAAGGCTTCGACGAGAGGTCGACTTCGATGCCATTGTTTTTGATCCGTCGCCATGGAGGTTGCCGAGCTGGAAAGAAATCCCGCCGTGGATGTCACTGCTCCGGCACCTTTTCGCAGAGAGCGCATGGATCTGGACAAAAACGAAGGAGTAGTGCTGTTGTTGGAGGAGTTGGTCAATTGACTGATGGATTCTGTTTGATTTGAAACGTTTTGCTGTTTCTCATCTGCCAGCTTCCCCTGGACTTTCTCCGATTCCAAGGTAGATTGTGGTTGGCTCTGTCGTTGCCATCTGTTGTTTGTTTTTTGGGTAGCACAAGCCAAGTATCGAAAGGAGGAATCTAAGACGGGCCCTCGGCGTGTACTTCGAAGCAGTGCCCTTTGAAAGCCTGGATAAGCAGATGCCAAAAACATCATCTCGAACAAGCCAAGAATCCAGCTGAAATTCCTCTTTTTCATCTCTGTTTAGCGTATCCGTCTGATGCAAACTTTACGTTTTCCCGCAATACCTAATTCAGCCAGCTTCTTATGCGCCCTAACTCAATCATTTGAAGTGTTTTGGTGTCTTCATTCAGATTGCAACAATGTGGTAACCCAATCGTTGGTTGTTGCCATCACGTACCTTCACCCCTCATTTTTCGACGTCATCGCGATCTCGCTGGTACCGGTACCTACTAGCTAGGTAGACTAGCTAGTACCGTGTACCGGTACCGCAAGAGCTATGAAATACGGCAAGCGTCAGGGCCAAAAGCTCATTCGTGCCTTTTGGATCTTTTTAAAACACGTGGATGCTTGGATCTGTTCCGGAGGACAAGTAAGTTTCTTGGTCTAACCGATAAAATGAAGCCACATGTGAAGAGGAGGATATTGGACTCTTAATCCGTCAGATAATCCTCGACGATAATCCTCGACGATGGCATCACCGTCGTCCCCTACCGGTACCAAGAGACGGATGAAGCGGAGGATGTCACATGTCAGACCATCGAGGACTTTGTGCCGACCGGAGGACTTTGTGCCGACCGGACATCTATCGAGGAAACCATGACGGAATCTTTGAGCAATTTCATTGCCGAAGCGGGTGGTCAAGTTGTGAAACCCTTCAACTGCAGCTGCACCAAAATCACTCAATTTCAGGTGACTTTGGACTGCGATGCACATTATACCTATGACGAGGTCGAGTTCCTTGTCAACACTGAGCACATGACTTGGAATAAGCATCCAGACACTGACTACTTCCTTCCAGAAAAGGTCCAGTTTACGGATCAACTCCTTGAGGACATTGGTACCGGTACGCCCTACAATGAGACCTTTGAAATTGGCTGCGGGCCAAAAAGAAGTGGTTTTCTGCAACATTAATGGATGTCGAGCTCATCACTGTCAACTCTGCCCTGGAGAGACCACTGTCCTCACCAGTTGCCCGGATAGTCCCAAATCCTGCGAATCAGCCACTGCGATTGCTTTCCTGTTTCAGTTCCGTGATATTAAGTTGGCAGTGGAAGGATGTGAGGCCAATGCTACAGATACTGCATCGACGGCGGCTGTGAATAAGGCTGGCTAGACAGTAGTCGAGATGGCGGAATTTGTTCATGTTATATTCATAAGAATCTATAGTGATAACGCCGGTATTGAACCAATCCTTGTTTACCCAAAAGATAACCAGAAACCGTGAAGGGTCCAGTTTGTTACAAACTCCGATGAATAGGCTCTCGCTTTTATGGTCTAATACTCTTAGCTTTCGTTAGGTTCGGCATAAGCCCAACGACAAGGCTGGCTGTAGCATCATAGAAATACCAACAGCCCGTCACAACATCCGATTTAGTAGAAGAGTGAACAAACAGTTTGTCAGTGGCTGGCTGGCTACCGGTAGCAAACGTTGAGAGTGGTTTTTAAAATCGTCTACAATGATAAACACTGATAAAACTGATAAACGGGATATGTGGCTGTACAAGACCAAAGCTAGCTAGCTAGCAAGCGTGGAGGTTCCTTTGGACCCTCGGGAAACATTAAGTCCCGTCTCAGGCAATGGGTACCTGAACCTTGATAAAGAACGTCATCTGAAACTACAACATTCCACTTGGCTGCAGTTTGCAATAAGTTCCAATTGGCCAACCAAAACCAACTCACACAACCCTTGTGGTATCTTGCCAGAAAAGGATGTATGGGAGATGTTCAATTTCGTCAGTTTTGTCAGCAGACCCAACTCAGAAGGAAGCCCCCCAGACATTGGATTTCCTCCAAAGTCAACTTCTTCTAGCTTCTCATGGAGCAAACCTATCTCACTTGGGATGGCCCCAGTGAAAAGGTTGTCACCATTCCTCAACTGCTTCAAGTTGGCTGCATGCGCAAGGCCTAGAATTGGCCCATCAAACCTGTTGCTTGTGCTGTCCAAATGCTCCAGTAGAGGGAGATATTGGAAAATGGGTCCGGCCTGTCCAAACAATTGGTTTCCATTAGTCTTGATGATTCTCTGCTTGAATGTCACAAATCCTCCATCCACTAAAAGTCTTCCATCGAGTTTATTATTTGCCATGATAAAGACATCCAGCTCTGGCATTTCTGCAGATGCAGGGACATCACCTGAAAAGAAGTTGTCCTCCATATTGAAGGTGCGAATGGTTGAAATGAACTTGTTCACAACTGGAAAGAGCCCAGTCAGATTGTTCCCAGCAAGGTTGAACTTGACCAAGTTGCCATCTTCATCACAGGCACTCAAGTTGTCAAATTCATTGTACTTTGGATCCTTTTGGGTCCACCAGTCACATTCTGGGACACCATAATCAAGCCAACCTTCGTTGTTCAGCCAATACTCCCCAGCCATTGCATAGTAGTACATTGCCATGTAGAATCTTTGCGTTTGTCTCATAGGGGGATATGTGTCTACATAGGGATCACGGATCACCCATCTGTTTGCCCGATAAAAAGGTGTGTTGGGGTCTTGGAGGCTGTCCAAGACTCTCTGAGGAAGGCCTTCTTGAAAGGGTGGAAGAATGATGGGTTCAAGAGTGTCTATGCCATGAGCAGTTGCATTCATTGGCACATCTTGAACCATTCCTGATTCTTGAGTAGCTTGGTTGTTGCCATTACCCAGTAAGACCACTACCAACAGGACCACGGCAGCACCTAAAACCACCCCAATGAGAAGGACAAGGTAGGGAATGTTGTGGTTTGGCGTTTGGGGCTCTGTCATGATTTTCCCCATGATTGCTTCTTCTTGTAGTCCTGGTGTCTGCTCGTGTAAATCAACATCAGTAGATTCAGGGACAATCTCGGCCTCCTCTACATGCAGGTCTGGATCAGGCGCCTGATGCACTTCTAATGCATCCATATCCACATGACAGCTAGTAGCGTAGTCATCGATTGTTCCTCTAGTGATGCTGGATGAAGGAAAGGGGAGCTCATGATCGTGATCATCATCATCTCCACTGCCAACTGTGAAGTCACTTGAAGACGGAGCTCCCACTAGTGAACGGTTCAGAGTGGCGGCTCTCTGCAGTTCTATCCCTGGTGTGGCAGAATATGCTCCGGGACGCACGGTATTGGCTTGCTCCAACTTTGTTGCTGCGGTCCGTGGTATTGGCATCAATCCATCGAGTGGATTGAAAACATGAGTGGATTCTGCCACGTTCATGGCCCGCTTTAATGGAGATTCTGCTTGCCCAACCCTCTCAGTTGCGTTTCTTTCGTGAACCACAGTGCGCTTCCTTTTGCAATTTTCAACTGTGTCTGCTTGTGTGCTTGGATTTTTTTGAACAGCGTACGCCCCAGGTGTGCCCGCTGGGTCAAACCTTGCTATCACTTGGCCGTTGCTGTTTACTGCTGTAGCCTCCATGGTGTCCGTTGCCGTCACTCCAAATCCTACCTTGCCATCCTTGGTCTCTACAGAGTGGCTCGTGTTTTGCAGCAACTCGACGTTAGCCGCACCTCCCTGCTCCACAACTCCCCGCATGGCAAGACTCCGCTCTCTGTGCAAGAACCCCTTGACCTGCAATGTATTTTCCATCCCTTCAAGGCTTTCTGCGACGAGACCTTGAACTGTTGCCTTCGTCTTGGCGGCTGGTTTAGAATCCATTCCAGAAATCTTGATTTCCTCAATGCCAAGCTTTCTTGGCGATATCATGCTGGTACGTTTCGTTGTAGAAGAACAAGCCATTGCCAGGATGTGGTGCTCGCTGGCCACATCGGCAGCAGTGATTTTTGCGACTTGTTTGGCTGGCATTGAGTCGACACCCATTCCCTGCTTCGATACGTCAAGTCGTGTTGGCAGGCCAACCCCGACGCTCACTCCAGCGATCTTTTGTTTCTCATCCTTCATCTTCTTCTCGGCATTTGGACCATAGGTCCGATGATCACCATCGACCTGTGGCGCTCCAACTTGTAATTCCGTTGGTCTTTCACGCTCGTGGCCAGAGCTTGTGCTGGTAACTGGCTTATTCGTCACGTGGTCTTGATTCTGGGTACCTTGTTCCTGCGGCCCACCTTCTCTATCCAAACTGGGATACAACGATGGTCCGAATACATGCAGGTCTTGTGTTATCGTGAGACCAGACACGAAAGTTTGCTCATCAGGATTAACCTGTTGTGGAACCTCTCTCCCGCCAAGGCTCATGGTTTCCAACTACTAGCTAGCAGTAGCCAGCAATTCTGCTACTTTGATAAAATGGCAAGCGAAGGAAACCACCTTGCGTCGACAGAGAAAAAGTTTTAAAATGGACGGAAGTAGTGATACTAGTAGCGCTGCTGACAAAAGAAGGTATTGATTGGAACCTCAACGCTGTTGTACATCGACCGAAACTTGATGGCCAGTGGCCAGTCCCTTTGCAGAGTTAGTCCGATCTTCGTGCTGCGTGCTGTACTACAGTATACTCGTACAGTAAGCAATTCCACTCGACTTATGCAAAAGTTTTAAAGTTGTTACGGTACGACTGTACCTCTACTGTAGATTGTGTAGATGATGTCAGCGAGCTTTTAGACCCCTTCACTCGTGCTCTGAACTCTGAAAAAGCCTCCTCGGGATGCTCCGTTTTAGTTACCGGTACTAAATTACTACGGTATTAATAATACGCGTAGACGCCCTCCCCACACATCCACCAGCTACTACGATCGTACCGCTAGCTAGCTCTATGCATAGGTGTAGCTGGGTAGCGAGCTTGCCAGGTATTAATAACAGATTCAAGTTACATAGTCTACATGTAGGCGTCCGGTACGTCCAAATGGCATCAGAGGAGATGTTTACAAGGCTCAGCAACAGATTCTAAATAACATGTAAGTTCTACCAGTCTGCAAACTGCGAACCTCTCACCGTGCACGAAGTCTGGTTGTTGCTTTGATCTCACCGTCTGCCTTATTGCCATCTTGTGTATTTTCTTGCTGTATTAATAGTACTGGTACCAATGTTTGATATGGGGATGCTCCCTCCCCGAGCTTTCATCAGAGCATCAGAGAGAGACACATGGCCATCAACATTAAAATATTCCATGCAGATCTTTCAGGCAATCATGCAGTTAGGGGGTAGGGGCACATCCAGCAGCCACACAGGCGGCCATACACGCGCCAAGGCTTGTGTTGCATGCAACGAGAGCAGCAGGGATTCCAGCCCCAGCCGTGACAGTTCCAAACGTAAAGCCAGCTGCGCCATAACAGGCAACCACAATACCATTGCAGCCGGTCTGACAAATGCCATAGGCCAACGGTCCAGACTCGACAGCTCCAACCAAGAGGAGGGCCACGAAAAGGCGAAGGCACGTGTTCGCATTGAGGAGGAAGTTCATCATCTTGACGGCAATTGCGGGATGGCTAGCTAGCTACTCAGTTGTCAGTTATATTTGTGGAAATGCAGGGTTGATAGATGATTGTTTTAGATGCGAAAGATCCAAAAAGCAGAATATGAGCTGAGAGTATCCAGAAAGCCCTGGCCTGAGATATTGCTTTGGAGCGATCTGTGTTCTTTTGATGTCATGGCACAGGATTGAAAGATGAAAATTTCAGAGTTACCTAGACCTACCTCATGCAAGTAGGTTTGACAACCCCTTTCCATATCCAGAACGCTCTACTGAAAGCAGGGATAGATGCCAAACCGCACTGTAGTTTCACGTTCTCTCCCAAACATCCCAAAGTTTTCAATCTACCGGAACCTGGTACCTGGAACGAGAGACTTGAGTGAGAAGGGTCACCTTGAAAATATTCCAACCTTGATAGCTTATATCTCATTTGGAGTGACTGTGCGTGCCGTGGACGGCCTGTTCCAAGAGGCTCTTCAAATCTTCAAACTGAGTCTTACCAAGTTATTATTGTTCTTCGTCCCCTTGCTGCTTTTCACCATTAGAAATCTAGCCCTCAACAAAGACCCTTTGTATGACCACATGGCTGACATCTGCTCACAATAAGTGTCGGCTGTACTTTTGTCTACAGTATGAACTTCACGTGTCTGGTTTGGATGGTCTTGGTGAAACTCTGGCATCAGACACCTAGATTCGGAAGTGCAGCTCCGTTTTCAACCATTTTGTTACCAAAGCTCATGGCGTGTTAAAATGTACTCCTCAACAAAGTTTGTATTTGATGTAACATTTGGGTACACGTCAAAACATGACCTCACTAGAAAAGAACTGTGTTCCAGTGGGATGGCTCTTATGTCTGTTTATCAACCATTTTACCGTAGCCACACGCCATCGAGCTGCCTACGACTAAGTCGCTTTAGCTCAAGTTGCTGTCCAGATTGGCATCTTTACTCACCAAGAGCCTCAGAGTCATTGATGTTCTCTGTCGAAAGGGGGATTATGTGATGGTTTTTGAAAGCACCCTAATTTTCTAACACAAAAAGGGGGTGGATCAATCTTTCAAAGTCTACAACTCAGTCAACTATTATCGGCTGCACCTGAGGTCCGATATTGATAGGATACCGCGTTACCTTTCGCCACGTGCAAGCTGCGTGGCTTCGGTAGAGATCTCTGAGCATCATTCTCAATCCCAGTTGGGCCGTACCGGCAAGGCCTTCGTAGTGCAACCACCCAGTTTCCTTTCAAGGAGCAGCGGAGCCACATGGCAAAAGACTTGAGGAACACACGCCCAAAGGTAACTCACACACAAGAGATCGTGCAATTTTTGCCGACCACAACTCGAGGACTCTGAACAGTGAAGAGTGCCACAAGCCCACCATTCCAAACAACTTCTCTTGCTGCCATAATCTACAAGCGAGTAAGCTCACAAAGCGCCACGCTCCAATTCGAAACAACAATAACAGCAACAGCAAAAGAGACACAATGGAGATTCCTGCCAACCCCAAGAAGCGAACCCTGTTCGAAGCCATCGCGGCCGAGACCAACAAGGACAATGATACGCCCACCGAACAAGAGGTGGCGGCGATGAGTCGATCTGAAAGGAAGCGTCACCGCGAAAAGAAGCGCCGCAGCGACGTCAACAAGGGGTTTGATGAGTTGATGTCTCTCCTCTTGGAAATTGACCCTGAAGTCCGAGCAGACGCCGAGGAGCGCACCAGCAAGGGACAATGCAAGAGGGCTTTGGGTGCTCACGAAGACAATGTGCTTAGCCGCGTTGACTTGATCGCTACTGCCTGCAGAGTCCTCAAGAGGGTGCACACAGAAAACGAGAAGCACAAGAAGATGATTGAAGAACTCCTCCTCAAGAACGGAGGTCAGGGAGCTGCGGACTTGCCTCGTTCCGCAGGTGGTTCCGCCGCAGGTGCCGGTTTGGCCGACTTGAGTTCCTTGGGAGGCGGTGCCACGTCTTCTTTGGTCGACCGTGCGGCGCTCCTTCAGAAATCTGCCTTGGGATTGGGTGCCGGAGCCGCCGCGGCTGAAGCCCAGCTTCGTGCCAAGGCCAACCTTTTCTCCAACTTGCCCAGTGCGGGAGTTGCCTCGTCGCTTCGAGAATACTCCACCGCGGATCTCTTGGCGCTTCGTGCCGCAGCAGCCAACCGTGCCGCCGCCGCTCAAGCGCTTCCCCCTCCTCCGGCTACAACGGACGCTGCTGCCATGTTGGCCGCTCGTCGCAGTTTGTTGCAGTCCATGATGCAGCAGCAAGATTCGCACGCGAATATGATGCACGCATCCATCTTTGGATCTTGCTTGGGTGGTCAGAACGAGTCCAGTTCATCCGCTCCTGCTCCCCCACATCATTTGATGGGAGCCGAAGCCTTGTATGGAGCTTTGGGTGGCGGTGCCATGCAGACCAAGAAGGAGGAGGAACTACGAAGACTTCGTGCGGCGGGACACCAGATATAAAGTATCAAACAGCGCCCCAAACACAAACAGGGTGCCCAAAAATATCTCCCCTCTCCCTGACTGAATGACTGATCAAGATAGACGTTTGCTGATCCACTTTTTATATCTAAAATAATGCATATTATGGAGTCAAACTATTGGTTACTTCTTAGTTGGTGTCAGCTGTTGCTTAGTCGTTTTGATGGGGCGTGTTAAAGCGGAGCGTAGCCAAGCTAGCTACCATCTAGCTGGCGAACCTCAACGCGGCGCATTCATCAACGAAATCACAGAGGACTGGACTCTTTGACATGAGTGATGGAAGGAATTTAGGGTTGACCATGAGCATGCTGGCTGCAAAGCTGCGGCCCAGCCAGATAGACATCAGCAACATTCACACCATTGGGGTTGCTCTTCCGCCTTTTCCTAAGCAAGATCCGGCCTGGTTGCGGTGCTGCCTTTCAATACATCATGTAATCAATCGAGAAGGGGACGACTGACTACGGTACCAGTGACAGTTCTCTTCTCCTGGTGGTTGCCGGTGCAGCACCGGATCTATCTTGCTAGCTAGAAGTACTATTATAGCTACTAGTAGCCTAGCTAACCAGCTTCCTAACCACCAGAGAGCGAGGACCGGTACCTACCAGTGACAGTTCTCTTATCCTGCTGGTGCTGCACCGGATTATCTGACCTTGCAACCTCTCTCCAGGACTTACCAGAGCCCAAACATACAAAAGAGGCAATAGGAAAGCCTTCTTGCACTGAAATAGGGTCAGCCCACCCCAACCGAGGAAAAGATACATGCAGGCAATAGCAGCGCAATACTTGTAGATAAAGGCATCCGCTGAGTGGGATCAGTTTATAAGAACCGAGAACTCAAGCCATGAGCCATTGCGGTACTAGTAGTAGGCGCAGTGGGCTGTAGGCAGCAGCTTGATGGCGCGTGATGCGGTAGCGATGCTGTCTCAGAATTGATACTAGAGAACTAGCCAGAGTACACTTTTACCGGTCCAGGAAAGCTGGATGGTTAACCGAGAAATTCAACCTCAACCCAACCCATAGTGGTACGGTAGCTAGTAGCTGCTGCAGCTGCAGCAAGCGGAAGCAATCCAGCTACTGTGGATAAGTACCAAGTGTGCTGCAACCACCAAAAGTTCAGCTGCCTTCAATCGGGGCAACGAGTAGAAGAGAAACCACACTCTGGGTATTAGCTAGCCAGTGCACGCACGAGACTCACGAGTGCTTTAGCTTTGCATGGGCCAGATAAGAGCTTTTGCGAAGAGCTCGCGAAGCCACAACTAACTCTTGGCCACCGGAGGGCAGTAAAGTAAGCTTCCGATTGCCGTGGGGAGCTTCCAAGACAGTTCTGCGGCCCTAGTGTGCGATATCGGTGCCAGTACAAGCACGTACCGGTACATGTGCCAACACATACAGTACAGGTATAAAGTCGGTTTTGGTCCATCGCTTTGAGACATCAGCGGTACTATAGCAAAAACAGTACAATATCGGAAACCTTCTGTCTCACTCTCTATTTTCTGAGTTAACGGGACTCAATAATGGACCCAAATATTTAACTATCTCACAAAAAGTATAACGAAAATGAAATACACGTTTAACATAGGGTATGTGATGTTAAATCATGTGGTCAGTATGGGAAACATGCTATGAGTCAATGGTACTTGAGGTCGATTTCGTATTAATCTACTTATTGGTCAATCGGACATTGAGACAGTCATTTGCTTATAGACGGTTTTGGTCCATTTTTGGGCTGTAGCGCTGGTACACTTTCTACGTGTCTCACCCACTTCCTTTATTAAACTCGTAGTACCCTGGATCAACCGGCATGGATCATGGACGAATAATCAGCCCTGCGATCTTCTTCAGCACGAATGACTCAATCACGATTGAAAAGGTTGGGTCTAAACTGTAAAAGTCGCTTCATCATTAGAGAGAGGGTTCAAACTTAACCCTTTGGCCTCACCAGTTTTGGCGCGAATTTTTTGAAGATCAATTCAAATCGAACGCTCGTTGCCATGGCACTGTACTAGCTAGTACCGGGGTACAGTACGTACCAGCCAGATATTAGCAGCAATAACCAACCACACAACCAACCAACCATCTCAATGGACCTTGAACTCTCCATACCAGCCTCCAAGAGGCGAAGAGACTGGGGTGAAGATGAGAATCCTTCGTCGGCGCAGCAGTCTTCCATTCTCTCCTTCTTTGGTCGGTCTACGCAAAAGAACCGAGTGGTGCCTCCACCAAGGCGGAAATCCAACAAGCGCAGCAATGATGTGGTTGCTACTGTTCCATCTTCCTTTGACAAGTGTCAAATGGACGGCGGGAAAGTGGATCCAGTAACTCCCGAAACTGACCAGCCAGACGCTACCAGAATCAAAATGGCCCAACAGAATGGTGCCGCTTCTATTGCTCCTCAAAACTCAATTACAACAACCAAGCCCAACAATAAGAAGCAGAGGAAGCAGCAACAACTCTACTTGGATTTTGGACAGCGTGATTTTGGAAAGCAAATTGTATGCCAAACCTGTGGTATGCTGTATGTGCATGGTGTCGAGGAGGATGTCAAAGGGCATGAACGAATCTGCAAAGACTACCACGAAGGAGTCCCATTCCACCTGCAATCCTGTCGCATTGTGGACAAAGCAACCACCAAGAAAGAAAGCTCTTTTATTGTAGAAGTGCGCCCGTCCGATAGCTATGCGCAACGTCAAAAGGTCAAGCAAGCCATGGTCATTGTGGATAAGGAATTGGGATTTGCCCCTCAATCAACATCCGATGCTGTATCACTAGACGGCGAAAAATCAAAAACCGTATTCTTGTTTATCAGACAAAAGCGCATTGTTGGGGTTTTGAGTGTCGAGATGATCAAACAGGCATTTCCATTGGTACCCGCCACGGAGGACGACAGCACATACGACAATCCACAACCACTGCAACAGTTGGCACGATCCCGGACACCCACTCGTGCCATTTTGGGCATTCACAAGATCTGGGTCCATTCCATGGTGCGAAAGCAAATGGTGGCCTCTCGGTTGATGGATGCTGCCAGAGCCCGCATGGTGTATGGAACCGTGGTATCACCGCACATGGTGGCCTTTTCCAGTCCTACCGAAGCAGGAGCACGGTTTGCCGGGCAATATTTGCAGCGGAAAACTGCCAAGGGTCCCAACAAGGTTTCTTCTCCACCCGTAGTACTGGTTTATGATTTGCCACTGTAGAGAGCACAGCAGCAACGTGGTTGGAATGCTACGCTCAAAATAGGAAAGAGAAGCAAGCTGGCATTGAATTGCAAGCTTACCAAGGAAATCTGACAAGCATATACAATATACTGGTAGTCGTGGAGTATTTTAGATAGACAGCCACGGTAGAAATGTTTGACACTCCTGAAAGGTTGCTTTTGACACTCTTAGATAGCAGCACTGGTCGAGCACCTCTGCGACTGCATATTAGCGGCCAAGCTACCGGGAGGGGATACCGGTACAGGTAGACGCTGCCATTTTGAGACAAGGATGCATAGCTGGAGTTGGGATATGGGAGGAGATCAGTCGATGGAGCAAACAGAAGATTTGGTTTAAAGCATGAATGCAGTAGGGGACACGGCTTCAGCCTCTCTGTCTCAGGCTGGGCTATGGGCTTTCCGCCTCACTGTCTTGCGGTTGTTCTTTGCCATAAATCATTCAATAGCTGAACCCTCTCACCCCCTACCCTACCCTACTGGTACGGTGCACCATACTCCTCTTCTTCGCTTTTAAAAGCTTGTTTGAGGCTGCTTCCAGATATGCTAACTGATACCGTAGGCGAGAGCATAGCAAGAGCTGTGGTGCTTGACAAAAAGGTCAACTCGATGGCAATGTGAGCAGGACGAGACTATGCCATATCAGATGGATAAAGTCATTGTGCTACTGTTAACTTTTAATAAAATGCACCATGACATACTGCGTCATCTTAGGTGTTGGTTGTTGTCGATGTCAACAAGTTCAGGGACTCGAAAGCTGCATTCCAAAATCGGCGCCATTTCTCGGCTCTTATCTAAACCCAACAAGAGGGATCTGTGGGTGGTTGCTCCAGCAATATTTCTTGCAAATTTCGAGTTTGGATGACTCCTTCCTGACTGATAATGCCTCCAACATCGAGAGACGTTCGACAAAAAATCTTGGCGTCGGCTCCAAACTGCAGGACATCCTCCACTTGAGCCAAGCAGAGGAAACGGACATCACCTGTAAGCCCTGGTACCCAGTTGGATCCTTCAATGCCTCCCTTGATTAAAAATGCCATTTCTCCCCCACTCAAAAAGATGGGTGCCAATCCAATGGTTGCTGGGTCGGCCAAGTCAATTTCAGCAGACACAGAGACCGGGAGAAGAGTGGCAGATTTTTTGGGAAGGGTTCCATCATCAATATCCCAATTTCCAACGGGAAAATCATTCAGAGTTTCCACAGGCCCATCCGTGGGAGTTCCGAAATTGAGCATGAATTCTGGTATCTTCACGTATCCTGTATCCAGCTGCTTGTAATTGAGCTTGTACGAATTTGTATTGTTGACTTGTAGCACAAGATCCAAATTGATCGTTGCTTTTGAAACTGAACCGATCAGTCCTCCTGACAATGTATTCAAAGCTCCTACGAGGGGGTTGCTGTCGGCTGCATCAGAATCACCAGTTCCCAACTCCAAACCGCTTACTGTAAAGGAAAAGATTTGCACACAGGGTTCCTTGATGGTAAAGTAGCCAGTCAGCCAGAGCACCAAAGCAACAATGCCAATAATGATGATACAAACACCACAGCCAAGTGCCAGCATGACACCTGTGGATCTGCCTCCACTCGCAGCGGAAGTCTTTTCCAGTTCTTCATCAGGTGTGGCATTATTGGGATCTTCCTCGGGGGTCGCTGCTGCTGGGTTTTCTTGGTCTGTCATGATGCTTGTTGCTGTTGGTTTAATCTGCTGTTGCTATTTGGTTTCAGATTCTGAGTTGTTTTTCTAGCTAGAGAGGGCGTGTTTTTAAAATGGTGTTGTGGTCGTTTGTGTTTTGTGGACATGTATGTCTATGCATACCGGTAGCAAAGCTGGGAATGGCGCGTTCATCGTCGTCCATGCAGGTTTTGCAAGGCGTCTTCATCATCAGTCTTCAATCGTTCGCATGATCGATACTAAAAAAAGTCCAATTTGCTTTGAGTACCGGTACGGTACATGTACCGGTACTGGTACCGCTCTCTATCTTCCCAGGGTGAAAGCAGTTCTGTCAAAAGCTTCATGCAAGGCTGCACACACAACGAAACCGGTACGTGGTACAAAAAAGTACGGGCTTTCCGGAAAGCCAAGCCAACAAGGCATGATGGCTGACACACACAGCTACCAGTAGGGAGCAACTGGCTTGCCCGAATCTTTATTGGGGGGTGGGTGGGTGGGAAGGCAGGAGCAGTCGTAGCCAGAGGCAATTGTGACCTTATTGGAAGCAAAACTAGCTAGCTGGGTTCGATTCGATTCATTCCATGTCAAGCAACGGGCACACCGGCGGAGGAGTAAGCGATACCAAATCGAAAGCAGACCGACTGTACTATCAAATTTTCATACTGGCTTCTCCATGATGAGTGCAGTATCCTTGCATAGTCCATACCTAACAGACGCACCCACTGTGGTGCTTTGTTTGCTGCGTTGCATGCCTTGTTTTCTGTTTTATCCCTTCGGCAACCCGCCCCGGTCGGTATTTGTCCGTGTCTTGCGGTCCATTCAACCAAGCAATTTCTAGTGATGATCCAGTTGGAGAACCTTCCCATAACGTTATTACCAATTGCAGCAATCGAATCAAGTCAAATCGAATCAAATCAAATCAAATCAAATCAATCCGGCAATGCTTGAATTCCCGCGGTGTACGATAGGTTGAAAATTTCATGATACCACTGGTTGGGCACGTATAGTATTTCTCCGGCTTGCTGAATGCACTTGTGCGTGGATTGCGTGGAGTAAAACTCGGGATGGGTGGGCACTTGGTGGTTCATCTTCTTGTCCGGCTCCTCGTCATTGTTGGATCTGGTTGTTGTTGTCGTGGATGGCGCCATGTACCATTTTTTGGTTCCCTCTAGCAACCAGAAAAAGGCAGCATTGTGTTTGTGCATACCAATCCCAAACCCTTGATTGGCAAGGCACAAGGTGTACTTTTGACTGTGTGGATGGGAACTCGTTTCTTCATCCAAAAAGGCTGGAAAGGCAGCCAGGAGAGGTTCCAAATGCTGTTGGAACTCGTCGGACAGTTCCTGGACGGGGCTAAAGACAATGCAACCAACTTCACTCGGTTGCGTCGTCGTGTCATGATTATCCACGGCTTGTTGCAGTGTCAGGGGCCTGGAATTATCAAATCCACTTTCGACCAGTGTATTTCGATTTCCCGTTCGTACCAGCATGTCTCCAAATTGTTGTATCAAATGATCGCGTTGGAGCACATCTTTTGTAATGGATTTTCCCGTGGTCAAGACAAAGGGTTCCTCCCAGTTGGTATGAGCGTCATCGATGGAAGAAACGCGCACGGTATTATCGAATTCCAGCAAGGACGGATCTCGCTCCATCTGTGCTTGCATGGGAATTGTAGTGGTAGTCGACTTGACAGTACAACTAGTACTATTGTCATGGGTGGGTTGGATCATTTCCCCATCGGGACTGGCCACGAGTGCCAAATGTGTGGTGCGAGCCTGTTCGGGCATGTCTCTCCAGAGTTGAAAGGCCGTGGTTTCGTCAATTTCCACATCTTCTTCCATGTCCACCACTGAGCACTGAAAAGAATCAGGATTGTCAAATTGTTGTTGATTTTGATCATTGACTTGCTGGGCCAAGTCGAAAGCCGACCGTGTCGAGTAGACAACAACCACGACATGATCGTCTTGGGCTTCCAGGATGGAAACCTTGTCGGGCTCTAGCTGGAGTGCTTGCGCCAATTTGAGTTCAATCGTCTCGTGCTCTGCCGCGGTGATGCCTGTCAGAGACAAGAGGACATCCGTCTCTTCTTCTTCTTCTTCTACCGGTACCGGTACTTCGTCATGTTGATCAAAAGTCGTCATGGTCCTCTACACTGGTCCTTTGGATCTTGTGATCTTGTGGTGGGAAAAGCCGAAGCAGAGGAAAGCAGGATTTGGAAAAAGTGTTTTAATAATAAGGCATGACTGAAAAACGCCCATTTTACATTTTCGTGCGTCACTCATCAACCACACAAATGCATGGCTGCACCATCTCAATCGAAGACAACCCCACAACCCACAAACCCGCTTGTTCCTCTTCCTTATTGGTCTCCTTGCTGTACAGCTGTAGCGTCATCATCACCATAAGATAGATAACAACATAACATCACCACCATGGCAACAGCCGCAATGAATCCAGAACAAAAGACTGCCCTAGCAGCTGATGTGGAAGAAGCTCGACAGCAAGCAGAATCTACTACTACTACTACCAGTCATTATGATCCCCACATGGTCCGAAATTCCTTGATTGCCGGGAGTGTAGCTGGAGTGACATCGACCTTGGCGTGTCATCCGTTTGATGTGATTCGCACCAAAATGCAAGCGGCGTCCATGACGTCTTCCACACCCTCCAATCCACTTCGCGTCGTATCGCAAACATTTCACAATGGAGGTCTGCGAGCACTGTATACTGGATTGGCACTGCCATTGGCGGCGCAAGCCGTCTACAAGGCTACCATTTTTACCGTTCATAATGTCACGCAAAAGACATTGACGGAATGGAAAAGTACCTCCAGCAACACAACAACAAACGAAACAAAAGATCCACTACGGACACTCCAGGACCAATTTGTGTGTGGATTTGTGGCAGGAGGCGTCAATGCGGCATTCTTTGTCACACCCGTCGAATTTGTACGGAATCAATTGATCAAACAACATTCACTTCAGGTACAACAACAACAACCACAACAACCATCCCAACAAGCTGCCTTTTCGGGGCCACTAAGTGTCGTGCGACACACGATACGACAAGCTGGTATAGGGGGGTTGTGGAAGGGAATCGGTGTGACCGTCGCGAGAGATTCCATTGGCGTTGGATTCTTTTTTGCCTCCATGCAATGGTGTCAGGACTATTTCAAAACTACTACTACAAATAATAATCAACAACCCCAAAAGCCGTCACTGACTACCACGATTCTCTCGGGAGCCGTGGCGGGCCTCACCTATTGGATTGTGGCATTGCCACTCGACTCTGTCAAGACGTGGGTACAATCCGACATGGCCGATTCGGCATTCCAAGCGGTACGAACGTCCCTGGAAACACAGGGACTCCGACAAACACTGGTCAAACTATTTGCAGGATTCCAAGTTGCCTATGCCAGGGGAATTCCGTCGGCGGCCATTACCGTCACAACCTACTCGCTTTGTTACCAGGCAGTACGGGAATCTTAAAAATACATGGCAAATGCCAACTTACTTGGGATCGACTACCAATTTTGGTACGATGTGCTCATCAACACGTTTGATGGGTGCGAGAGCGCGATGTTTTGTACTGGGAATCCTGCTAACCGCAGTTCCTGACAGAATAGTTGTCCCAAGTGCCGTGCAAGGCAGTCGGCTGAATAGACGGGCGGAACGAGCCAGAATAGCGATCTCCTCTGTTCCAACCATCAGAGCATTGTCGCAGGTTCTGGCGGGTTAAGAGCGTCTTAAATAGTAAAGGGTCTACAACAGTAGTAAATCTGGGCATGCAGGCATCTACCAATACATTCGGTTTTGCTCTAACATTCTTGGGCTAGCATGAGCTTGATTTTCCTCCTCTGGGGTTGCATGTCGACTCCAAACTTACCAGAGGCGACGTCTATGGCATGCTTTGTCGTAGCAAGGTTCATGTTATGGCAACGAACATATACTTTGACCCACCTCCGCAACTCCTCATCGGTCGGCAGCCTTCCAAAATTGCCCTCTCGCAACGCTTTATCTCGTAAGTCTTCTTGAGTGTCGACATGATGTGCCATCATTTCCCAAATGAATGGTGCCTTGCGATGTTTCAACTTTGTAAATAAGTCACTTTCTCGAAAACCTCCTCTTTTTGGGAGGGTTGATGCGACTGCCCTGGCACAACGCAGTTGAAACGGAGAGGGAGGATCATTGTCACCATCATCTGGACTCTTGCGAAGCCTTTCCTCCACTTCGCAAAGATCTAGAGCCGCTGACGAGTCCATTGTCGGCATTATGGATTCACTTGTGAGATCTTGAAAAGTCTGCAGATCTAGCTTGTCTTCGTGGAGAGCAAAGTTGGTTGCCAAGATCAAACTCCACTCATCAGATCTCGCGCGAGGTGGGCACTGCGGCCGCTTTTTCGCAACTTCTAGCCAAAAGGATGGGTCCGTATATTGTATAAACTCCGAGTTCACATCAAAATCAGTCAAGCTTCTGAAAGGAAAATCAACCAATTCTTCCAAAATGTCATCAGTGCAAAAGATTGTCCACTGTTCGTAGAAGCTTCCAGCATTGTCCCAAGACAAGAACTCACGAATGAAGTCCTTTGCCTCCAAGCGGAGGCTCTGTATCTCAAAGTATTCACCCAAAAAGACGAGCGCAGCCGCATTTTCCGTACAAATTTCCAAATACTCTTCGGAATACACAAAGTCCAAGAGCTCAGGAAATGCTTTTGCAGCAAGCGAGTGCATCTTGATGTGGCTCGTCGAGGAACTGGATTCTTGGTATCGCTTGGCGTTTTGAAATAGCTTGCGGAAATACAAACTTTTCCTGGCACCATAGGCTAGAATGCACTTATGCACATGGTATGTTTCCCCCTCATCATCCTCACCCCCATCCTCCTTCTGAACGACAATCGTCCAATCGCTGAAGGTCTCGAGTGGATCTCCCCTCCACGTGAATTCTTCGTCTTCCTTCTGTTCGGCCTCCAACAGGGCGTCGAAACTGCGCTTGGTCCCAGTTTCTTCCGTCTTTTCAAGATTGTCACTCATGTTCAGGCAGCAAAACTCCACTTGTGGTGAACCTCTCTAGATAGACTCCCCTAATATACCCTTATATCAGTGAAACTGAAAGCTTTGACAGGCGGCGGAAGCGAAGCGGTATAGGCGTGTGGAAGTGCTTGATCCCACAGAACCTAGTCCTGAATTTCGACTGTTCTTTGCTTAAGCCTGGCCCCGGCTGGCTTCCGTAGATAATTTCCCTACTCTAAAACCCCCCTTATATTACTTGACCTCTGAAATGGTTAAATAAATTTTTAAAAATGACACTTCAATATTGTTAATGTGCCACTCGGTACTGTGCTACTGTACCGGTAGTAGCTAGTCTAGTTAGAGATTGCGACCTTGATGGCCACTAGCTAGCTAGCTAGACAATTTATCTAGCTAGCTAGTAGCGGACGACTGCCGGTACGGTAGCTTGCTAGGTGCACCTATTGTGCTGTGTCGGAATGATAGGCTATTTTTTAAAATACTGGTACCGTAGAGTTGGGGAACAGTGTGGGATTGGTGCCAAACACTGAACTGAGCGCCCAGGGTGGGATGGGTGGGTATCCAGCGAAGAGGCACCATTGTCATCTTTATGCCTTTTTGTTGGCTGCACTGAGTGGATTGGCTCTGGATTGGCTCCAGCTGGTGACTGCCTTCCTGGTAACCCTAGCTTGCTCTATCTTGCAGTAGCAGCCAGTCCACGCCAGGAGCACCATGTGTGAGTCCCTTGCATGGCACTGCTTACAGTGGTCACATCATTGGCGTGCGCGAGATTGAGCTAAATTGAAATACCATGGATATGAAGAAACTAGCGCCATTGCTGCCCCCTGCACTGGCCTGTTGGCACTTCGAACATGGGCTAAGGAGAATGACTGCCCCTGGGATGACAGAACATGCTCTGCTGTGGCTCGAGTTGGGCATTTGGTTCTCCTCAAAGCCAATTGCACTCGATGCACTGGAGTACAACTGTGATACTAGTAGGCTGCTGCCTCTTGGCACCACGAGGGTTTCAGGGACGAGGAAATCATCGCGTGGATGAGGTAAAACATGCTTTTATTTTTCGAAAAGAATACCTCGTCTCAAAATGGTCTCTCCCCAGGCTGCTTCGCTGGAGGCAGGTGGCCCGGACGGTCGTACCAAGTTGGTTTGACTCTCTGCATGCCTTGGGCACTCATCAAACCTGCCAAAGCGCTTGGTTGACTTCTGTTGCTTACCCGGTCGACGTGCGCTAATCCTCCGTCTTGACTGGCTTGTCCCGACTCGAGCGATGCTGGAAGCACTAGGCTTTCAGTCACCGACGCGAAGAGGTGTTGGGCCTAATAGAAAGGACAGCTACCGGATATCGGACGCTAGGACGAGCCCTGCAATTTCTTGGGGATGAATCCCAGCTGTTTGCGACAGGGTATCGAGTTCAGCACACGTAGCAATGTTGCATCGCAAGAATGGCGCTGCGGTCTTCGCTCCTTTCTTCTTTCCCTGGAATGCCGCCTGCCCCTGGATCGACGCTAAAGTATCCTCTGTCACTACCGGAAGAAGAAGAAGACTTTCGTTTTCCAGAGTCGTTTTTGTTGACCCTGAGCATTCTTTGCACAGGACGATGGCTTCTCGGCTTCTCTAGTTGCCAAGATCTGCTCTACAATACAGCTGGTCGATTGCTAAATGCTGCCGGAGGGCAACTGAAAGAACAGGTTTTGAAAGGATGACTAAAGAATCCCAATGAACCCATGGCGATCGCTGCTCGTAGTTACCACAGGGGGGCAACACGAGAGGTGTTTCCCATAGACATCAGACATACATGACGTCCGAATTGTTGACAATTGGAGTTCGAGAATAAGCTGGTCCGAAAATCCCTGTCCAAAGAACGCCTTTGGGTATCAATGCATCACTGAAACCGTTGCGGTCAGCTACTTGTACCAGCAAATGGGCTGCAATGAGTGATGAGGTTGACTATCAAGCATGTTTTCTCCATCCACATGCCCGCTGTATTGACCCATCAATGCTCGCAAGACCGTACTGCATTAACCGTCGCTTCCTGGCGGCTTCGTACTGTATTCTCGCAACCCAAAGAAGGTGTCCAAGGATGCTCGGGTTTCTACGCTACTAACTGTTAGTCAGTACAAAACCAGTTTGTCGGTTGTTCCTCGATCGAATGGTGAATGCGAAGAATGCTTTTTGCGAAAACTGCATCCTTTTCTCTTTGGACTTTGGACTATTAATAGACTACTCCAAGAGTAGTTACTTAGTTGGCTAGGTGCCGGTAGCCATCCCATGTCTCGAGTAAAAGTCGAGCGCATGTACGGTACAGGTGACAGGTGAGCTGAGACGCTGAGGTAGCTAGAGCTCCATAGCCAGCTCCATCTGCACCATCTAGCCAGTTAGGCCAAAAGCAAGTGTGTATGGCACGAATGGCACGTTCATGCCATAAGATCGAACTGCCCGGGCAACTTGAGCTTCTTTGGGGTGTTGGTGTCCACAGTTCACTCAGGACTCGGGACTGTCACTCATGAGCTCTGGAGTCTGGAGAATACTTTTTCTGGTATCTCAGGTAAACAGAAGGTTAAGGTTGACAATACTTTGAATATTTGTATCAAATCATGTTTTACCACATCTACATGTATAAAGTATACTTGAATAATTAATGAGGGCTGCATGTAGTAACGGGTTACGACCAGAACTGTCACTGGGACTAAGCTTCCGCCAAACATAGAGAGAACAGTGTCCTCGTCATTCTTGCTTGTTAAGAAAGAGTGGTGTATCGGAATGCGTTCGGCTGCATTCTTTAAGATCAGATTTTACTATACCTTGAATTTCAATACCGAGAGGAGAACAATTCTGTTCCCTTTAATTCCGATCATCTTTTTACCTTTTATGTGGAACAAAGCCCTTCTTTACGATTAGTGTCGACGTTTCTCTGATGGTGGAAGTGGGCTTTTATATTTTCAAATTTTGCTCAGCCGTACTTGAAGCGGATGCATTCCTCTTCTTCACTTTTCTGCTCATCGGATGCCTCTGTTCGCTCTGCCGTGTACATTAATTTTTGTTCCACAGCACGGTCCCCAAGACGCAATAGAATTTGGAACTGGTTCCCCCCTGCTCCTTCCAGTAAAGCTATTATTAATGGGCGACTCGACTCCAAGGCAGTAGATCGTGAAGAAACCAAGGAACAACCCGCTGTGACTCACAAATTGAAAATTAAACAATGCGAAGCTGAACTCTTGCGAAGAATCAGACCGCATAGGACGATGGATGATGGATGATGGCATGGCTTACTGGTTGTTGCTACCACCATCAAAGTTCGCTTCGTCGCTGATACTGCTTTCCTTCTGCTCAGCTCACAATTCCAATTGCCTTCGAGGAAGTAGCCATAATCCTCAACCACTGCAATCTCCATGAACATGGACGAGGAAACCATTCGAGAATTGCTCAGATCTCAACAAGAACGACAGAACGAAGCCTTGAACGCCCAATTCCTACAACAACAGCAGCAACAGCAACAAAACCAACAACGACAACCACATCACCAACATCACCAACAGCAGCAACAGCAGCAACAGCAGAACCAACAAAGAAGAGACAGCATGCTTCATCAACTTACCCAAGGACTGGGAACCTCAGCTGGTGTTTCGGCAGCATCACTCTTGTCTCGTGCTCGATCTCCCGTCGAGGCACCATCGCCTGGGGCCACTGGCATCGATCTGCTCTCCAGTCCTCGAGCATCAGGACTGTTTTCTTCCTTCACCCAATCTTCCTTCACCCAATCAGGCCCCTTTTCCTCTGCCATGAGGGGAACAGGTAATAATCGACCCACGAAGACTGACAGTGAGCTCTCTTCCTTCGCCATTAGTCAAGAGATCAAGCGCCTTCAGCAACTCCAGCAGCAGCTTACGGGAGCCACAGCTCCTGCCAGTACAGCCAGGACGAATCCCCTGTTGTACTCTAACCTGAGTGCTGCGCCAGCGCCAGCTGCCTCGTCGCTAGACCCAAACTCGGCTCTCTTGCAACAGTACCTCCTGCAAAGGCCACAGCTGCCTCAACTGGGCCAGGGATCGTCCTCGGCTGCCTTTGGTGCACTCTTGAACACCAACTCCAGCAATCTTCCGCCCAGAGCCGGTTTGAGCAACATTCCCAACCAGTCCATCCTTGAAAGTCAACTTCTGGAAGAAGCCCGCATGATTATGAGACGTCAAAGTATGCCTCCGTCCACCTTTGCAGCGGCGGCCAGTGCCAAAGCACCCGCTCCCTTTCCTTTCATGCCGCCCAATGCGTCCAATCAGGCCGAGGGGAGCCGAAAGATGAGAGGTGGGGTCATTGAACCATTTCCAGGTAAGATACATGAGATAGGATCATCAAACCTGAATCGAATCAAAACAGCAAGCACTGACCTCTTCCCTTCTCATTGCTTATCACAGAAAAACTCCATCGTCTCTTGCTCGAAGTGGAACTTTCCGGTCGCACGGATGTCATCTCATTTGTCTCGGAAGGCCGTGCCTTTGCGATCCACAAAAGCGAAGTGTTCTTTCGCGAAATTGTGCCCCTGTACTTTCGTCAAAGTCGATTGTCCTCCTTCAAGCGACAGCTCAACCTCTACGGCTTTGAGCTTATCAATACCGGCCCGTCCCGTGGCGCCTACTACCACGAACTCTTTCAAAGGGATCAGCCCGACCTGTGTCGTCGCATGCGACGAGTGGCGGTCAAGGTGTCCGCTGCTGCCGCCAGCAAAGCCAAGGACACAAAGTCATCGACCTCGGACGAGGAAGATTGCAGCAGTAGTGTGGAAAGTGATGGCAAACTCGCAGCTGTGGCGGGGAACAAGACAGAGGGACAAGACAACACAGAAAAGAGTTCTTAGACTCGATCGACGACATCATCTTTTCATCTTCCATATAGACCATATCATAATCTAATCTACCATCTCAAATATTGTACCTTTTAAAGCTAGAGCAGAGTAGCAACCATGGCCATCGATCACTCTTTCGTGTGCCTGTCATTATTGTTTAACGACGACCTTTGGCTGCCAAGTCGCTGCTTCCGCACCCCTCCTCGATTCGAGTCGTCCCGTCCGCCCCAAGCTCGGCCAAACGGCCAGGATCCGAAACGACAGGAGCGAGTGAAGCCACGACGTACGCTGTACGGTACATATCCTCAGATGAAAGGCCATTATCTTATTACACAGCAAGCAACCGAGCCACGAACGCAACCAGGAAAACGGAAACTTTTGCATCTATGTATTCTTTTTATTCTTCTACATAACTACAAAGCATTCAATTCCTTCGTCAATTCCTCAATCTTGGCCTGCATGGAAGCAGCATGCGTGCTCTTGACCTTGTCAGTGATCAAGGCAGTATCAGCATCAAACCATGCTGCCACAGCCTTGTCATCCTCCCAGTCTCCAGAGAACATTCCCGAAAGCACAGCGGCAGCACTATCCTTTGTCAAGGAAGGGTCAGCCTTTCGTAGCTGAGCCGAGTAGTAGTCTTCCGACAGGCGCCTCTTGGCACGGTAGTAGAAGAATTCACGAGACTCTTCCCATGGAACAGCTGACTTGATGACACCCTTAGCCTTCATTCGTCCTGTCTTGTCATGAAGATCAGCAAACTCTGTGGCAGCTTGCAAGTACACAGGCTTCAAGACTTCCTCTCGTGCCTTGATTTGTTCTTGGATGGACTTGGTGTCATCTTCTGTTTCGGTCATCTCCAACTCGTTATCCAACAGCTGCAACTCAGGATCCAAAATGTGCATCAACTTGACCTGGTCTGGCAAGCGGAATTTGATCTCAGTGATTCCAGCCGGTTCCAGAATACCACCACGGGAGTCAGGGTCAGCATACATCTCCATTTTCTCTTCGTTGATAGTAGGATCAACAACGACCCAAGATCCTCCTCGGAGTTCACCGTGGGGTGGCAAGTACATGAACACTGGGTGTTCATATTCTCTGAGCGCATCAACAATCATGGAACCAAACTTCAGAATCTCTCCTGCCATATCGCGACTTCCTCCACTGAATCCACGCCAGTTAGCAAAGATCATGATAGGGAGACCTTCCTTGTCAAAGTCGCGGATAGCTTGTGCAGTCTTGTACGAAGAGTCTGGGAAGAGAACTTGTCCTGTTGCAGCAAGCGAGTGGTGGCAGCAATGTGAGAACAGTAAAGTAGAAAACTGAGGAAAAACACAAGGGCAGTCTTACCAGCTTGTGGCAAAATAGCCTCTCGGGAGTTCGGGTCAGCTGGATCAGCAGGAACCACCTTGTCAACCAATCTTGTCTCGACTGCAATGGCACCAAAGGAGATACCTCCAAGACGTCCACGGCCAATGACAACACTCTTTCCCCAACCAGCAAGATACTCAGTAAAAGATCCTTGATCAAAGAATCCAGGCATATCACTTGTTCCTGCCATCATCAGACGTGGGTCATAGGGAGTTGGAGTTGGGCGCCACTGAACTGCACGATCAACTGGATCAGCAGACAGCCTGGCTGATGGCAAGGCACCAACCTTCTCAGGTACAAAGCTGAGCCACTTGAGAATGGATGTGACTCCCTCTTGATCATCAGCAACGGTCTCATGTGTGACTCCATTGGGGACCATGATTTGAGGACCGCCAAGCTGGTCTTGAGAGGTGTACACTTCACGGCCAAGAAGCTTGTTCAGGGCTGAGTATCCTGTCAGGAGGATTGGTCCAACATTCTGCTGAATCACTCTCTGGCCAAGGCGGACGAGGTATGCACCAATACCAACACTGCGCCCAGTCACATAACTGAGAGTAAAAATCTCGTCATAGGCCCGTGATGTCTCGCCAGCAATCTTTCCACTTCCCTGCAAGTTCTCAACACCAATTCCATGGACAGTTCCAATGACATCATCCAGGGCCCAACCCTCGTCAGTCTTGTGAGCAATAACAGATCCTTCAGGAAGGGCCTTGTAATCTTCATCGGAGAGGTACAGGTAGTCAAATCCCTTGGATGGGTTCTCAGCATCAGTAAACTTGATCTTGATCTTGGACTTGAGTTCGTCAACTAGACCAATTCTGGCACCAGCGTTGCAAGCAAGGTACACACGAGGTAGGCCACGCTCACGTGCATACTTGGATGCTTTGAAAAACACCTCATCCTCTTCCACACCAAAGGATCCACTCTGGACAGTCACATCATTGGCAATCAGGACAATGTCACGGCCATTGGGGTACTCAGGTGTCTTCATGTTGACCAGCCAGGCAACCATGGCGACCTTGTTAGTTCCAACTGGACGCGATCCAAGATAGAGCTCTCCATCATCACCTTCCAATAGCTCTTGTGACTCAAACACACTAGCAGGAACCTCTACACCAGCATCAGAGCCAATGCTTGCAAGGTATGCTTCCCATTGTGCAAACAGTCCAACCTCCATCAGACCCAAGAAGTCATAAGCATAAGTTGATCCAACCCTTCGAGCAACGCTGCGCTTGGTTTGAACAATGTTGCTTGTAGCATAGGGATCAAGAACACAATTTTCAGATGTGCCTGCTGGCAGCACTTCGCAGTAGCCAGCAGGCAGCCCAGTGACTGGGTCAGTTTCCTCCACATATGTGGCCGCCTTCAGCCATTCGCCTCCCATGGATGATGCAACCAGACGAACAACCTCAGTCACATCACTTCCATCTTCAGCCTTTGATGAGATTCTAAACTTGACTTCGATTTCGTCAACTCGCAGGCGCAACAAGCGTTGTGCGAGCTGACTCTTGAGTCCACCAATGACCTTGGCGAAAGCAGAAGACAGCTCTAAGGGGGTGACATCCTTGATGTTGGCAAGAGAGTGGAGATAGACGCGGCTTGAAGATTGAGGATTTACACCCTCACTCGCTTGGGCACGCTCCAGTTCGTCCAAGCCCTGCTGGAGGACACGCAAAGCACCAACACTTGACACAAGCCCCGAACTGTGGGAAATGCCTCTCACGAAAACAACTTGAGGAGGACCACCACGGAAAGGCTTGTTAGACTTCTCCGTACCAACAAAGATTTGGTTATTCTTTCCAATGGCAGGTAAGCGCTCCAAGTTGTAGTTATCACTGAGCGGGGCCAGCTCGAGCAACTGGTACCTTGTGGGCCTCATATCACGACGCAGGATGTCTTCCTTGAATCCCAAGCTATCGGGGAATGTGTAGTAAGATGGATCCCTCCTCTCTTTGGGAACACACACGTTGACGAGACGTACACCCAGTTGCTTCAATTGGGCACTGTGACCGCTGAGCTCACCTTCCACTGAGCTAACATCGATGTCATCAGACCCTTTTCCAGATACAATGTGAATGGTATTGATGGGGTAACCGCCTACTGTTGCAGGCTTGTCACCGATTGCCTCGGAAAGGTCACCAAGGACATCAGGCACAACCTTCCCAATGCTGGCAACATCAGGAGCAACACTCAAAAGGCCAGTGTGAGTGACACTCTGGGATTCCTCAACTTCGGCATACTGGAATTGAAAGCTGCATGTGAGCCGACCATCTTTCTCTGAGACCTTGACGTCCAACATTCGATGAGCTCTGTACAGCCTTCGGATGTAGACTTCGGCAGCATTCTCGCGAACCTTGATGTCTGTGTCCTCATCAGACAAGAGATACGTGAGGAGATCAAGTCCAGCAGAGAGAGTGGCGCTCATTGCTAAGTCTTGAAGGTCAACACCTGTATCCTGCAACTGTGATCGAAGCTCTTCCACGCGGCTTTCGAAAGATGGCACTCTAGATTCTCTAGTGATCATGTCGGCGGCAACCACCAACTGCCCATATCCCTTGCCAGTTAGTTCGGTGAGTTTCTGAATAGATTCCAACAAGTCATCTGGCAAGCTTTCTCCAAATCGGAATGAGAAATTCTCTACCTGGCGGAGCATTGCTTGGATGAGGAGTGACCTGCTCTTCAACTTTTGGTGTGCCAAAATTTCACTAATGACAACCTCAAGATTGTCAATGTTGGCCTTGGTAAGCTCGCGAACAACATCATCCATCAATTTGCCGGCAAAGATGCTTTCCACTCGCAAAAACTCCTCCAATGTCTCAACCACAATCGTGGATGCACTGGCCATGTCTTCAGCACCTTCAAGAGCCTTCTGGACCACTGCATCAGCATTACCATCGTATCCAGCAAGAATGTTCTTGACCATGTCTTCCACTTCAACTTCCACAGCGGTGCTTTGAATGGTGAGCTGCCCATCAAAGGTTTCAATCTTCTTAACCTTTGAGGGGTCCTTAAGCTCGATACTGGCAAGCAGGTCACCAGCAGCAATCACAGATCCAGGAGACAAGGCATTTGTAATCTTTCCGGTTTCTGTGGCTTTGACAGGCATGATCATCTTCATGGCTTCAATCTCCACGTAAGGTTCACCAGCCGCAATTTCTTCACCATTCTCCTTGAGGTAGCGAACAACCTTTCCAGTCACATCAGTGCGGAACTCAGAGGGATCGATGATGGAAGGCATCAGAATAGTGTTTCCATCGAGGACCAGCCTCAAACCAAGTGGTTCATCCATACCAAAGATTCTGTGCGTCTCACCAGCAAACGTAGCAAGAAGGGCGCCTTCAGCAGTTGGAGTTACCCGAGCTTCAATGGTGTTCGAGCCAAGGGTGAACCGGTAGACATCTGCCGCAATGCGCTCGACATGGAAATTGTATCTTTTGTCTTTGTAGGCAATCTCAGTTTCAAAGGAGTTGACGCCTGGGATACCACCAGTGGAGACTTGGCCCTTCTCAAATGACTCCATGACATCTGCTGTGCCTTCTTCAACATGTTGGAAAGCTTTGAAAATAGCGGCCGACACAACCACAAGATCTTGAGGCATATCCACTGAGACACTCTTCTCTTTGATAATGCCATCCAACCAAGCAGTATCGATGGTGTTCTCAATGAACTCCTTAGTCTCCAACAGCTGTACAAGGTACTCCACAGTTGTTCGGATCTCTCCTCGTACTTCCATCTCCTTCAAGGCAAGAATGAGGGCCTTGCGGGCCTGCTCACGGTTGGCTCCCTTGGCAAAAAGGTGACCGAACTGTGAGTCAGCAAACTCGTGGATACCTCCATTCACTCCCACACTGAAGTAACCCCACACACTAGGGGTGGACTGGAACTTGACTCGTTCAATGCTTCCAGCAGTAGGTTTGAAACCTTCATCAGGATTCTCAGCAGTGATGCGGGCAGCAATGACGTGGGTGTTAATAGGCATGTAGTCCTCTTCAATGAAATCAATCTTGTCCTTGCCATAGGCATCCTCCTTGCCATAGAGCATACGAACTTGAGGAATATTGTAGAGAGGAATTCCCATAGCAACCTGCAGCTGTGTAGCCGGCATGTTAACACCAGTGATACCTTCGGTTACAGGGTGCTCCACCTGTAAACGAGGGTTGAGCTCCAGGAAGAAGAACTTGTCAGTGGCAGCATTGTAGAGATACTCCACTGTTCCAGCTCCAACATAGCCAATAGACTGAGTCAACCTCTGTGCTGCCTTTTGCATTTCCGTGAAACTGGCAGGCTTTGCGATGGTTGGTGGTCCTTCCTCAAAGATCTTCTGGAAACGTCTCTGGGTGGAACAGTCACGGCCATTCAGAGCCACAGCGTTTCCGTGTTCATCACCAACAATCTGGACTTCCAAGTGACGGGCATTTTTACAGAGTTGCATGATGAAGACAGGGGATCCAACAACCTCATTTTGGACTTGGATAAAGGCGTTGCGGAGGTCCACTTCGTTATCAACAAAGCGAATACCCTTACCACCACCACCTTCAGAAGCCTTGATCATGAGACCTTCCTCATAGCCAATTTTCTCAGCTGCCACAATGGCTTCTTCGACATTGCGGCAGGTAGCTTTCTCGAAGGTCTCATCCGGAATGGTACCTTCATCGGTAAGATCTGCTTTGAGGGGTCCATCGTCCTCACCACCAAACGAACCACTCCAGGGAATAGAGGGCACATTGGCAGTTTGGGCCAAAATGTTGGCAGCAATCTTGTCTCCCAAGACGCTCATGACGGGAGCTGGGGGTCCAATGAACTTGATTCCCAACTTGGTGAGTGTCTCGGGAAGCTTGGGATTTTCACTGGCATGGCCCCAACCAGGCCACACAGCATCCACACCTTGTTCTTGAGCAATCCTGCAAATAACGTCCACATTTGCGTAGTTGTTTCTGTTGACTCCTCCTGGGACTTCAATGTATTCATCAGCCAACCGAATAAATTCAGCATTGGCTTTCATATCTTCAGGAGTGGCCATGGCAACAAACTGGATTGCACGTTCATCTCCCAGTTCCATGTAAGCCCATTGGCGCATGGAGAGGATGGACTTGGTAGCAGCCATACCATTGTTGGCAATGAGAACTTTTTTGATAACTCGGTTGCCCCCACGATCTTTGATGTATTCTTCCACCGTCTTAGTGCCTGACTCGGCGACGGCGGACATGAACAAAGGGCTTGTGGCAGCAGCATCCTGCTGCGAAAAACCTGCATGTTGCGTTTTCTTCACTCCATTGGGAAGGAACGCGGCTGGGGCTGCACGGACATTAAAGGAAAACGAATAAGAGGAAGAGTTAGAATCATTATTTGATCAGCCAGTTCGACACGAGAGGTACGAAATCAACTTGTCAACATCCAAAAGAAGGGCGTCAAAACAATTAATATGCAATACGCCAGGATCATGGACCGAAAAGAAATGTGCAATGGGGCGAATAAAGGTCTGACAAACGTGGATTGAATCCTCTCAAGTGGAAAGGGTCGACAAATTTGGAAAGACCCAAAATGGGCAAGACCGCCTTGAGAGTCATCAGAAACCCCCCGCACACCAACGAGAAACCAAAAAGACAGAACATTATCTCGAAGGCCTTGATAATCATCAACAACAGTCATCCAATGAGGTCGAGGAATGCCTCCCAATACGTGGACTTGAAATCAGAGACAGCTTGAATCGAATCACCCAAATCCGATGACGATCGCTCAGCAAAGAAGAAGACTCACAGTTACTGGTGGTGGTAAAGGCAAAAGTAGTTGAGACAGAGACAAGCAATGCCAAGGCAGCTGTGGTGAAGCGGCCGCACAACATCTTTCAAAATTTATGGTAAACGATCCTATGAAAGCAACCCTTATTTGATGTCTGATTTGATCTGCTTCCTCTAGACGTCTATTTGTCGTTTTGTGGTATCAATCAAAGGCCCTGGGGGTTGATGTCGTCGTCGGCTACATTTTGCATTGAAAGGATACGCTTCGTTTCCACAGAGCCGGTTCTCATCTGTTAGCCGTTTTTCCGCAACCCATCGAATCGTGCGAGCTACCAAAAGTGATATCTTTTCTTGGATATACCCTTGCCATGGCTAATTCTGCTGATCTGTTTGAAGCAGTTGTGCTTGGGATTCTCAAGAGAGCCTCCGGGAAGATTAGAGACGGATGGCGCAGTCTACTTTGATCTTTTTCTTTAGAAGGTAACTCGTGGTGTTTCTGCAACATGAACTTAGGGCCATTTCAGCTTTGAAGAAACGATGAAGAAAACAGAAAATGCCGAACAACAAATCAATCTTATTATTTTATTATTAGATCTTGGCACCAAACGCAGTCAATGGACGGGGATTCCGGTAGCAGCTTCCATGCCTGGCTAACTGTACAGTACCATAGGCGCACCGAGCGAACCCGGTAGCAACTCCACAGTCTCCGCCCCTTCTCTTCAATTTGGCACATGCTACCGGTGGTGGTACCGGTACTACCGGTACCGTAATGGTAACCGGTATCTATTGCGAGAGTTCCGGTGTTACATCGCTCGTTTATAGCATTTTGTAAAGCTCGAGACCATGGAAGCTCCAGAATAACGGTCTAGCGGACCGGAGCTCTCAGTGGCCAATGAGAACGCGAGAATTCGCCGGGAGGGCCTTCCCTCTCGAACTCAGAAATCTATCGGTGTGCTGGTGGTACGTCAGTGGGTTTACTGACGTGGGAAATTGGGGTGTCAAGCCGGAGGACAAAGAATGGAGTTGAGTTGATGGCTTCATTGGAGCGGTGTCCTTTTGCCCATCGTAGCGCGGACTTCAACAGTCGCAGCCTGCCAGCAAGCTCTGAAAGGAGCTATGTAACGAAACGTAGGTCCTGTGAACTAACATTTAACAGGTAAACTATCACTTTAGTATGATGTATGGTATTGAAAATTTGGCACAGTGACAACCACGCTATTCCACCAAGCTGTAAGAGGAAGAACGGTGTCATTCTTGGTACATGTACTTGAAGTAAGTTAGATCTGTTTGAGCTACTGCGCATGCATTGGCTTGTGCTCGATGTTCCCATGACGATGGACTGCAGTGAGCTCCAACTCTACCACGGTAGAACTGGCCAGTTGCATCGAATTGCTGGACTGTCTCGTTGCCGAGCCTGGGTTGCCGCGAGCTACTGTACTAGTACCCGAGTCCTCGAGTCGAACTTGCTCTGTGCTGGAAATCGGGGCTAGCTAGTTTTGCCGCAGCTAAGGGATTTCTTTCCTGGGACCTCTAGTAGAAAGACAAGAGAAGAGTCTCCCAAGAGAATAAAATGAAATCTCAGTAGAAGAATACAGCAATGCTTCTATCACATACATGTACCATACCAGCACCAGTACCGTGGTACTTGGTAGCGAAAACTAGATCGGTGCCAGAGCCAGAGCTCTCTGAATTTTTACTAACAGCCTTGCTGTTTTATCAAACGATCTGGATCCAATTGCATGGTAGCCAATGCAAAACATAAACACAATAACACAACTCAACTCGATCACTCGATCATCACCTTCGAAGTGCTACCGGTACCACTCTTGCCATCCATCAGCTTCATTCTAAAGTATTTCGTTTCACTCGAACCATGGCTCCTCCACCTGCACCTCTCCCCGAGACTGGCGCCCTTCGCGTGGTCATGAGACATCAGAGAGATCCGGCTACCACAACCCCGGATGATTCCTCATCCTCCCCCACCACTGCCAACCCTCAACTCTTTCTTATCACCAAGGACTGCGATAAATACTGGCAAAAGGTGCTTGCGAGCAAGGATATTGTCCTCCGTGCCCAAAAGCAGTATCAACTGGACCAGAACAATCAAGTGAACCAAAAAGCCTTTGGAATGGCGCGTAATGAACTGTTTGCATCGGCATGGCACTACAAGTTTTGTCTCTCGCATGCCCTCTGTCCACGTCCCACGCGAGTCTACAATGGATGCTGGCAATGGGCACAAAAAGAATTGGGAGACGAGGAATTGCACGAAATGAGAAAACACCGACTCTTGGATACCGTCTGTAAACCCGAACGAGAAATGATGGAACGGTGTATCGGGAGACTCGTGTCGACTGTGGTGCAGAAGGACTTGTATCCAACAACTACCAGCGGTATTTATAGCAATAGTATGGATCCACTGCTATTTCAGAACAATGATGACATGACAATGGGTATGGATTCCATGGTTGTGGAAGATTCAGTTTGAATCAGAAACACCTACCGTAACACCTAGCTCTCTCGAGTTCAACAAGCACTGATTATTTGATCTGCGGAACTTGAGATTGTTCCTCCTTCTTTTTGATTATCCCCGGCCCTAGCCACTAGATCGCGCACAACTCAGGAGGACTGTAGATCTTTATCGTTTTGAATATCCCTTGTTGTTGTTCTTTGTATATTATTATGTAGTTGCATGATTGATTGATTATGGTGCCAAGTCCAAGCCAGCACTTTCCAACTCTTTCATACAGACTTGTTCGACCTTGGGAATGACGAGTTTCTCTTCTTCTTTGGTCATGAGTTCAAAATGAAAATTCTCCTCTTGGTCGTCACTACTAATATTGTTGTTGTCTGTCTGTACCAATCGCCCGACAAGGGTGTATGGTTTCAACAATCGCACCAACGAGTACGCCCGTCCCTTTCCAAAATGATAACTGACCAATTTCAAGGCATCGTGTGGATTCTGGTCCTCCTCTTTGATCCCCACCGATTCCAAGGGATCCACTTCGTCCAACAAGTCCTGAATCATGGCTTCCATTCCGGCGACATCATCGCTTCTCTCTCCCATCCCGGCCACGTCAAATAATTCCATCAATTCATCTCCGATACTCTCGGCCGTGGCCGGTTCGTTCATGGTTTTCTGGTATTCTTCTTCTCCCAATTCGGCCCGCATGAATTCGTGAAACCACGATTCCGTTTCATCGTCGTCATCCTCCAGCAGCGTGCGTGTGGGATGCGGGGGTGGCAAAATTTCGTCGGCAAAATTTTGGGTGTACTTGTCCAAATCTCCGGTAATGGTCAAGACGCGTGGGGTTCGTTTCAGACTCAAATCAGCACCCACGTGTTCCACCAGTTGCGCCGCCATGATTTCCATTAGTTCGGCATTGTCGTCGTCGTCCGGGTGCAAATACGTGACGGTTCCATCCGTATCTTCCGACGTAATGGCGGCAGCGGCATCGCAGGGAGTGGCAATTCCGTATTCAATGCCATCGACCGTCACTAAAAAGGAGAGCGTCCCCTCAATGGCGGTTTGCGAGACCGTGTCGACAAACGGGATGCGAGCTTGCTTCCAACGAGGATCGCCCGAGTTTAATGACAAGTCCAAGAGAGATTGATGTTGATCAGAGTTGTCGTCGTCACTTGGTGGTAGTGGAGGGGAAGAATCGTCCGTGTCAGTGGATACTTCAAATTCCGCATCGACAATGTCATGAGGTTTCTTGGTGGATGAGAATAGTACTGATGATGATGATGATGATGACGATAATTGAGAGGGTATTTTAATAATAGAGGGTAAAATTGCCACTTGAAAGGCTTCCACGTGAACACTCCAATAACTCAGACTCAAAATGGCACTGATGGTACAAAGAAATACTCGAGAAGACAGAGCACTCTCCTGGCTCCTTCGGCTTTCCTGTCTCGTAGGAATCATCGTGGTGCTATATTATCGTTGCGTTGTTGTGATAATGGAATATATAGCTTTCTCAATTACTAGTAATGTATTGTTGTTTTATGGACACGCTTTTCTTCAGTTTTGAATTCTGTTGCTTGCTTGGCTTCCGTTTCGATGGCTGATGGATCTTTGGTGTCATAACCTGGAGACTCGATTCATTCGTGGATACTTCTCTTCTTTTCCGAAAGGTCCAGCCTTTCAAATCTGACTCACTCATCGATTGAGTTGACCCACTCATCAGCTCATGATCAGACAATGGTATTGAAGTGACAATCTCATCCCTTCGCATCAACCACAGTACAATACTGAGATTAATTAGTTAACACTACCACCATGTCGACGACGACATCCTCTTCCTCCTCCTTGTCTTTTTGTTTGGATTCGCTACCAGCGACCTTGTCGCAACGAATCTTTCGTCGCAATGAGTTGCCACCCAATGACAATGCCTCCTTTGTCCTCTACGTACCCACTGTAGTCCTTCGTAAACGACACAATCCAGCATTTGCACTGGCCTGTCATTTGGCAAATCACTATCAAGTTCCAGTACTAGTATTGGCCGTTGTCTTGGACGATGCTCATTTGCCAAACAATCACCATTCCAAACCAATTGTCTTGACGGCACGGCGCATGGCATTTTGCTTGGAGGCACTCCAATCCGCGTGTCCACAATGGCAAGCGCATGGAGCGGGTGTGGCCATTCGGCTTCATGGACCACAGTGTCGAACGCCCCATCATTTGACACTGGCACGGAACGCTGTGGCGGTCGTCACGGATGAACCCTTTGTTCATCCCTATCGCACCCTTGTTTCTTCCTTGGAAAAGGCCGTGACATCGGCATTGTTTTCCGTCGATGGCAGTACCACCGTGCCACCCGTGCAAGTACTGAAACGACAGCAACGAGATGAACAGGGAAACCTCATCTACACCAATGTCCCTCAAAAGGCATGGAAATGGCTCGAACTGAGCAAGGCGTATCGCAAAGAACACGTCGTGGGTGTGGTCCAAAAAGGACATTTGGAGGCTCCTCCGCTTGACAAGACACTACCTCCTGACTTTTTCCTCTCGACAGATGATACATCTTTATCATCACTTCGAGACATTTTGCCGTCGGATTGGAAATCCCTAGATACACCCGCTCCGGGCAAACGACCATGGACGGTAGCAGATCTTGCCGGCATTGCCAGTTTGAAAGAATGGGTGCTGCAATCTTGGCCGGGCGTGGATACATCGGTGCCACCATGCGCACAAACCCACGGCTCTCACCAAGCGGGCATGGCACGATGGAACCAGTTTCGGGACCATCACTTGCAGGATTACGCCACACTCCGCAACACGATCACTCATCCACATGCCGTCAGTCGCATGTCGTGCTACTTGAACTACGGGGTGGTCTCCATCTTTGATATTGTCCATGATACGTGGGAGACCAAAAAGATAAAGGGCTGCAGCAAGGGTGCTAACAAGTTTGAAGACGAAGTCGTCAAATGGAGAGAGGTGGGATACTGTCATGCCTTTGCGACACCCCACTACAATCTGCCGGCTGCCGTACCGACCTGGGCATCTCGATGGTTTGCGACACAACAACAACAACAACAACAACAACAGCAACAACCTTTAGTAGTGGCATATTCGTTGGAGACTTTGGAAACGGGTGCAACACGAGAGGAAGAGTGGAATGCCATGCAGCGGTATCTCGTGGAAACGGGAGAATTGCACAACAATGCACGCATGACCTGGGGAAAGACCATGGTGCATTGGCAAAAACACAATCATGACTTGGCGCAAGTACTGCATCAAATGGTGTACGTCAACGATCGATATGCCCTGGATGGTCTGAGTCCACCCAGTTATGCCGGGCTCTTGTGGTGCTTTGGCTGGTGTGACAAACCCAAAAACAAGCAAGGTGCCATTTCCGAAAAGCCCGCGTCGCGGTACCGGGCATCGGCGGATGCCTTTGTCCGGGCCAAGGAAGTGTTACTGGCCGGACCACAAGCCGAAGTGATGACACCAGCGCAATCACCGAGGAAGCAAAGACGATCATCAGAGGCCTCCAAAGGCAAAAAATCTACTAGTACGACACATGGTGGTAGTCCTACAAAGAAGCAGAAATCGATTGATTCGTACTTCAAAGCTGTTGGGTAGAAAAAGTAATCTAGAATTGTTGGATTTATAATGTCCTACTGGTATGTAGAACGCCGCATATATATGGAGCAACTCACAGCCACAAGAACCACACAAACAGCTGTCAAATTACTTAGTACTCAATGTGTTCATGCCATTCGCGGACCAACTCGTGAGCTTTGTCGTCGTCCATTCCCTGCCACTTGACCAGTTGCTTGCCCTCGGCCTTTCGTTTTATTCTGTACAAGACTGCTCCCATCACGACGACCAGACCAAAGAAACCAGTTGCATTGACCTCATGGCCGTACAGGATACAAGACAAACCAATGCTCAGCAAGATTCTGGTCGTCATGATCAACGTGAACACCACGGCTCCAAAGTTCTTGATGGTGTAAAAGATAAAAATCTGGCCAATCGTCGAGCAGATTGAAAAGGTAAAAAAGTGCAAATGGATCTCCGAGTGCTGGTAGACAAATGCCAGGGCGGGATAGAGTTCCTTGGTGTGAACCAACGTAACAGCAGAAAGTACCGTGGAAAAGGCGCTGGTTCCAAACATGAGTTCTACCATGGACAAGTCCGGATGACGTTGGAACATGCGACTTTGGAATTGACTGGTGAAACTATCAAAAAAGAGAAAGAGGAATAGTAGCATGACCCCGGTCCATTTGGCACTCGCCTTTTCTCCCAAGTAGTCATATCCAAAACTCATATCGTCGGTGGATGCCATGAACATGGTAATTCCAATACCAATCCAGAGAGCTACCATGTAATCGTACTGGGGGTCTACATATTGTTGTTGTGTTTTGTTCGAGGCAGCAGCAGACGAGATCAGAAAACATTGTCCATTCAGTCCGTAGCTAGCTGCAAAGAAAGTGACTTACATGACTTGTTTCCCAAAATCTTTCCCATGGCCATGACCGGTGCCAGCTTGAAGGATTTGAACAAGGTAGTGGCAGGAAAGGAGACATATCGTAGCGCTTCGTATTGACACCAACTGCTGAGCATATTCGAGATGGAAGGGAAGGAGTACTCGTAAATGACAGTGGATTGGGAACGACGGGGTTTGAAGTATGCCCATAGGCATCCCGACATGATGAGTGTCCAGAATCGATTGGTAAAGACGAGAGCGTAGGAGTAGGTGAAGTATTCTCCAGTGTACCGGGGGTATCGTCTCGTCAACATGCGTTCCTGAGCTCATAGGGATAGAAAAAAGAGGTTGAGACGAAGTCATTACCTTCGTTGCCAATATAATATTTGACTCGTGTTGATTGATTGACAACGCACCTGCAATACACCCCATGTGACAAAGGTCAAATTGAGCATGACGACACAGAGCGTCAATCGTTTGAATACTTGTGTCTTGGACATGGTGAGTTGTTCAAATTCCAAAAGTCGCGTGCTGTCATAGTGCACACCGGGCCTCAATCCCGTCAGGGGTATGGTACTGGGCCTCTGCTGCTGCATTTCGAGCAAATCATCGGTTTCATCCACTTGTTCGAATTCCAGCTCTTGTTGTTGTTGCTGTTCCATGTCTTCATCTTCGTCACTGGCCAATATTTCATTGTCGTCATCGTCATCATCGTCCGTCTTGGCATCGTCTTCCTCATCTTCGTCATCCTCTTCGGCATCAGAGCCATAATAATCTTCTCGGGCATCGGCCATGCGATAATTAAATGTTCGGGATTGTGGCATACTCACGCCTCGATCCAATGCTTCTGGAAAGTAGATTTTAGCGACCATTATCGTGATAATTACCATGGCCACGTCTATGGCATGCATGTGGTGGTGTAGTGACAATGACAGCAAAGAAAATAGATAGGACAGGAATACATACATTCAGTATATTCATTCATTCATTCACCAATGACCATGCACAAGAGAGAGTCAGAATGAAACCATACTAAATATGCAATATACGGTACATAATAACTTACAGAGTAAGAAATTGGTAGCCAAAAGATACAATTCTGCTTCTGCCGTGGGTGACAAAAGCGGACTCGAGATGGGCACACTGGTATCCTCCGGAGAGTAGTACCCGGTGGAGGACAATCCACTTGCCGCCGGTTGCTCTTGTGCCACTTGAGTGGTTGAAGCAGTTGTAGTAGCATGGGACGAACTGCTGTGATAGTCACCCTCCAACCGCGCAAAGTCATCATCTCCATTATCTTCTTGCTGTACCGTCAAATGACGAAGCAGCGTCTCGGTAATCTCCGAAAGACCATTGGCCAAATCCACAAAGTCCATATTAGTTCAATCGATACAGGACTGTAGTGAAGGCAGATTGATAGTTGGGAAATCCGTAGTAGTAGTGCAGGTACCAATGTGTCGTGTGTTGGTCTTCTACACTGTGCTGCTCTTGAACTGTCAGCACAAGCTCTGATATGGGAGACTACTGTACCTACTAGCTAGCTCTAGTATACCTGAGAGGAAGAATGAGAACAACGGAAAGGGATGAAGGAACTTGGCCCGAAGAGGTCTCTTGCATGGAAGCTATTATTATTGCAGGTGCGATGCATGGCGATGGTACCAGAAGAGAGGTGAGATTCGATCGCTTTCGCTTTTCAGACAAAAAATCCGAGAGCAATGATGAATCCCAAAACCGACGGTTCAAATCTTTAAATTTGATTGTTTTCTCAATTATTTCGTTCTATTTCGTTCCAGAAACTTTCAAAAATGGCGAAATCGGCTAATAATGGACTCTTTTTGAAAGCCAGCCGTATCACTTTACACCCCAGTCGAGTCGAGTCCTCAGTCCAGCTACGGTAGCTAGAGCATTTTGGTGCTGCACTGCACACTGGCATGTTTGCATGGATTGCGTGTGGATACGCATGGCCCCACTGTTTGGTATGTGTTTGATGAAACACTCAAGATCCGGATGGATTGTGACGATGAACCATGGAATAGTCTTGTGCGAGTTGTAAGAGCCAAGAACTGTGACACATAGTTACTTTTGTCCCCTCTAGCAGTCTTGGCATTGCAGATATTATGTGCTTTGATGGCATTGAAGTAAGTGGCATCACAACAGAACTCGGAAATCCATACTTAACCCTCGTTGAAGGCTTTGGATGGTCCTCCCAGTGGTCTGGACAGCAGCTATCTGCCTCCTGCAGGGGATTTCGAGCTGATCGTGGAGCATGATTGCACAGGCAGCTTATTAAGCCATTCCATGAGAGTGGTAGCATATGCGTGCGATGCCCCTGCTGCTGCTATCAAGCTACAAGTAATCTTCAAAAAGGAAGAACCTTTAGATTGACGGTGATCTGCAAAATTGTTAGCTAGCGAGCTCATTGCGATTTCCTTCCTTTTATGCAACCATCTTTTATGTTCCCTGCAAAGCTGGCATGATCCTTCGTCGACCAGGCCACGGCCTAGCACCGCCTGGAATGTCCAGGTCACCATACATGTAAACTAAAGCAACAACAGAGCAGTCAGTGTCTTGTTGAGGAGGGAGGATCTGCAGCATTGGCCAAAATAAAATGTAAAAATAGAAAATCTAACATTCTGTGTTTTCATCGAAAATCCTGGATCCAAACAAACGAAGATCGACGGCAATCACAATAATCTTTCCAACCTCAGACCGTCATTGCCCACTGGCAGGACCACCAGCCCCCTCCTCTATTATTACACTACGACAAGTGACAAGTCTCCATCAAACAGAGCAGAGCAGAACCAGAACAGACAAGACAAGACAATACGCCATGGCAAGCTTACGTCGAGATACTCCAGCAGGACGCGCTGCTCTTGCCCGACGTCGCCAACGTGCTGCTGCTGTAGTGGACCATTCGTCTCGCTTTGCCAATGAAGAAGGATTGGTAGACGGCACCGGTGCTCCTACTTCTATTAGTCAGAACTTGGGTCAGCATCAGCATCATTCTGCTGCTAGTAGTACGAGTGGCGGTGCCAGTGTGGATGCTCCAGACTCATATTCTCAGCATCAACAACAACGAACGATTCCCCCGTCACACCAGGCACAACCACAACCTGCTTCGGCTGTGGATATTCAATCACCCGACAAATTATTGGCACGCAGCGCCCAGGTGGCGCAGGCCGCAGCTTCGGTTCTGGCTTCGGTCCGGAAAAGTCGACAACCTCCGCCTCAGGCAGTCAATACGAGTTTTGTCAGCGAAGAAGAAACAGAAGAAGATGCTGTGGACTACTCGTATTCGCACCAACCACAGCAGGAATCCTTTTATGAAATGCCAGGATACAATCCCACCACGGAAGCCACCAATATAGCATCGCAACTATTGGCGGCCAAGCGACACAATACCACTACTCGACTGCGACAACAGCAGCAGCAACAACAACAACGTACACCCAATAATCCGAGAGGATACCAGCCCAGCAGGGATGACACGGACGACGAACAAGAGGAGCAACAACAATCCAGTAATCAGCAGCAGCAAGTAGAACGGCGGCAAGGTGACGGGGAAACCATGGAAGACTTAGAGCCACTCATAGTATCGAGTGAAGATCCCTTTGAAACCATTGATTCCTGCACACTCTCATCCGGGTCCATTATCAGTCTACGATCCGTGGCGACTTCGGCGACCGTTACTGCCAGCATTCAAAATCAGAACAACAACAATTCCGAAGAATCCATCGCGGTCGTTGCGGGGGCTGGATTGGGGGCTCCCGAAGAAATCTTTCAAATTGTCAAAATCAACACACCTACTTCTTCCAGTAGCAGCCATCAAACCGATGCCTCTTTGGATCCATCCTCGGCACTGCTACGGTGGGGAGATACTATTGCTCTGGTGTCACCACATTTGGTAGATCCAGCCAATGAAAAACCAATGGCATTGGGTATCAAACGGACGACTTCTACTGCAACCCGACAAGCCCCGCACATTGGATGGTTTCGATCCACACGGGGACCATCCGAATTGTGGACCGTCCTTCGAGGTCCGGATCGTCTCCAAACGCAACTCCGCATTGGATTGGCATCCTTACAGAGTGCTCGCATCCTGGCACAAAATCGAGCCAAACAAGGAGCACTCACCCGACTGGTACATTCCGGGGATCCCATTCTCCTGCGCCACAATGAAACGGGAGGATTGTTGTCCATGTCATCGTCATCATCGAATAATAATGATGGCTCCTTGGTACTCTTGTCGGATGCCTACGAGGCACCACAGGGAGCCGTCATGGATTCCATGACGCAGTTGCAACGCAACAACAGTCCCAGAGACTCTGATACCTTTGTGTTGCTCGAATCCAGTGTCCCGCCATGTCCACGGTGGATCTTGGGGGGAGGGACCAGCAGTAGCTGCAATACAACCTACAACCCGATAGGACATCGCATGTACTTGCATCAAACCTTCACGGCAGAACCCAATCGCAATGGCGGATCGAACAATCTGCAGAAAAAACTCTTTGCAACGACTGCCAGGAATACAATGGCAGCCGCAGCTGCAGCACAACATAATAATAATGTCAATCCAAAGATGATGAAGCTGGAAGATCAAGAACGAATTCTGTTGGATGAAGTCATTGGGGCATGTTTGGGGTTGGAAGGAAAGTTCATTCGCACCAAAAGGATACCGGTGCAGCACGACGACGACGAAGAGATGAATGGCTTAACTGCTATTATGACACCGGAACAACTCGAATTTGGTTTTGCCGAGGAGAACGACTCGTCGTTCTTTGACAGTGGTCTTGGAAACCTCGCCAGACAAGTACTGCCTCTGGCCACTGCCTACACACACGTGAGTGCTTTCCTAGGCGCCCATCAGCCCGGATACGAATATGGTAGCGTGATGCAAGCGTTTTGTGAGGCGCTCGAAGCGATTTTGAAGGAATACGTTGATTTTGTCGGAACTATGGAGCAGCAGCTGAGGCAACCAGCAGTCCAAGAAGGCAGTGAAGGGGGCTTGACGTTACAACGCCTCCATACGCACCTAATGCCGTCATTGGAAACCATGTCTCTCTTGAAGCGTGTGACTGTTGCTGTAAAGAGCAAAGCAGGCGGTGCTCTTTTGAACTGCCTTGCGTCCATCAAGTCCATGTCGTGCGAGGGAGATGTCGTCGCCAACAAGGTGCTTTCCTTCTTGCTGGACAGATCCTCCATTCCATACATGGGAATGCTGACGACCTGGCTGCAGTACGGTCTTTTGAAGGATCCATACAAGGAGTTCATGATAGAAGTGCGGAATCCCATTGCGGGAGGAGGGCACTACAATGGCACATCGAAGCGCAATGGGCGGCCGGACCTTAGCGAAGAATCGTTTGTGCTCAAGGATGAGAATGTGCTCAGTGATCTCGAAACTTCGGGCGCTTTGATTCAAAAGGTGGCGGCAACCGGAAAGTATCGGCGCGCAGTCAGAATTTGTCAGTCATCGGAAAGAAAGACGGCGCCACTCAACAGCGAAGAGGAACAGAACGGAGGGAAGCCAAAGTTTCTGCTTCGTTACGGGTTGGACTTTAACAGCCTCTCATCCTTCATTCAATCGATGTATGAAGGTGCCAGCCGTGCACTGGTGAGCATGTTGCTGGAAGACTTCAACCTATTGGGTGCTCTTCGGACGATGAAGCAATATTTTCTGCTCGGTCATGGCGACTTTTTGGACAGCTTCTTAGATAGCGCCGAAGACGAGCTTGTAAAGGACCTCGGCGACATTTCCAGCGGTCGGATCCAGCATTGGCTTCGAACGGCAGTCCAGTTGACGAACAAGGCCGACAGGCACACCAAGCAATCAAAACAGACCACAAAGACACGACCAAGCCTTACTCCTCTGGCACTTCGGTGTCGATTTGTGCCAATCAGCCTGATACAACACGTAGACTCCGTTGACTTTTCCGGTGATGGTGAAATATCCCGCAGCAACAAGGAATCGGCACGAGAAGACAGTCTCCTGGGAACGCCGTTGCGCGATGCTGTGGGAATCTCGAACAAGGGCTTGACGGGGGTCGAAACCTTTCTGTTGGAGTATCCTTCGGGTAAGCCCCACAAAATAATGCGTGCTACATCAGTGTACTGCAGATAATATGTGCCATCCTCACGCTCTTACGTTTGCAACTACCAAAAGTACCATTCCCTTTGTCTCTGGTGCTGAAGGAGAGTGCACTTGACAGCTACCAGCTGCTCTTCCGTTTGCTCTTTTTCGCAAAGTACGCGGAACGCCGGCTTCTAGGGATTTGGCAAGACCACATGCAGGTTAAGGAGCTCAGCTCAGTGCGGGGTCTTTTTGGCCAAACCTTTTTACTGAGGCAACGAATGCTGCACTTTGCACAAAATCTGGTAAGTTCGGGAAAGATGGTTCTACTCATGACGACCAATTCGCCACTATCTAATACCTCGCCAATCTTCTATGCAACTCCAAAGATCTACTACTTTGTGTTTGAAGTTATTGAGCCAAATTGGCACCAGATGGAGGAGACTATCGGTAGCCCTTCCAAAGCATACAGGCGAACGGTTGACGATCTTGTTGCTATCCACAACACATTCCTCCGCAGCTCTCTTGAAGCATGCCTGCTGACGAACAGGGAACTTGTTCGGACACTCAGCAAAATCTTGACAACATGCTTGATGTTCGCGGATCAGATGAAGCTTTTCACTGAGGCAACGAGGATTTACGATGACAGCTCTCTCATTGCTGTTGAGCGGCGAGAAGCTATCCAACGTAGTTTGAACGATCGAGGCAGTGGTGGTACGAAACACCCCGTGGACAAGAGTGCTGTCCGTGAAGCTCTGTCGTCATTCAAACAAGACAGGCAAGTCAGGCTGAAGAAACAGAAACGACGAGTGGGACGAGAGCTAGCCAGCGAGTCATATCGACGCATGGTTGGAAGGTTTGAAGAGGTATTCAGCGCCTATCTCTCAGAATTCATGACACAGTTGAACGGGGATGTCGGCACATCCAATCATACTCACCAAACCAACCTCAGCAGTCGCCTAGACTACAACGGATTTCTCTTTTCCTCGGTTCAGAATTATGTCAATTAGAGCAATTGGGTTAACTTAATTGAACATGGAACACTAAACCTTTTAATGTCTAGCATGCACCTGCTGGTATGGTACGGTTGGAGAAACCTTCCTCTGTTTCCAGAGTTGAGCTTCGAGTCTCCCTCCCAGCACTGCCGTTCAAAGCAAATACCGGTACATACAGCCACGAACCGGCCAAAGCAGATCTTGGCATTTTAACCATCAACTTCTTCAAGACGACCGAACCGACTACCTGGCCCCTTGGACCTACAAAGCCCTTACAGAAGTGAAGCCGGGGGTTACTATGGTGGCTTGATCGCCATCAACATCTTGCGACAAGTCCACAACATCACCACGGGTTCATGCGACCTGAGATTGGACAGGGAGTCTGTGATCAACAAATTGAAAGGATACGACCCTATTCGCCCCGGTGACAAACATTACAACCTCCTACTCGCCTGCCAACACCAACGGCAACAGCTCAAGGAGGCAGGAATTCAAGTCACACTTTCCTATGTGGCTGGACATGCCGATGCCAAAAAGAAACCACACCAGCTCACCTGGTGGGAACAACAGAATATCGTGGTCGACCGAGAAGCGAAGAGTTTCCTGAGAGCAACCTGGGAACGGGAGCCAAACCTCCAACACATCGGGGGGCAAAGCTGGCAGCTCTCATGGCAGGCTCAACCCTTGTCCTACTTGGACAAAACCAGCCTCTACGAGCGTATGTACGCACCCATAGTCAGACCATACTTGGCCCGCAAGCTTGCTTTGCCACACAAGACCCTCAGGAAAATCAATTGGAAGGCATCGAACCAGGCCCTCAGACGCATGCCCAAAGGAAAACGACGTTGGCTAACCAAACACACCACTGGTTTCTGTGGAGTCGGACGATCAATGCACATTCGGAAGATTTGGGATCACTCCCGCTGCCCCCGTTGTGCCCAACCCGATGAAAACCCTAAGCATGTTCTGCTGTGTCCTAGCCGGGGTGCACGACTTACCTGGGCCGAGGCATTGGTTTCCTTAGACAAGCACCTTCGCAAACTTGGCACAAATCAATCACTTCGGTACGGCATCATAGAACATCTCCGGGCTTGGGGAAAGAGGAGCCCTCCACACCTGGGACCTCTCCGTGCCGACGTCAGAGCTGCACTCGCTGAACAGACTGAGATAGGATGGTACAACCTATTGCTCGGACGCATCAGCCACCGGTTCACCCAATTGCAAGATGCCCACTACAAATCCCTAGGCAATCGCCGCAATGGTTTCCGCTGGACCACCGCAGTCATACGAAAACTTCTTGATATTTCCTGGGACATGTGGGACCACCGCAATCATATCAAACACAATGACCCGCATCCAGCCTTCGACCCACAACTCCGAACTACCCTCAACGAAGAAATAAGGTTCCAATGGTCTCTAGGCGCCGCTAGCCTGCGCCCGGAAGACAGACCCCTATTCCGACATGGCCTCGACTCCATCATGGAGCAGACAACTACAGACAAACAACAATGGCTAGCTAGTGTGGAGAACGCCCGGTCTGCAGTGGCGGCAGACCAAGTCCAACCTCGCAATGATCAGAACTACGAACGTAACCTGATGGAAAACTGGATCATTCGAGGTCCACCAGCTAACTGAACCAACAACACTACAAACAACAAAAAAGGGTGCCATATCGCACCCACAGAAAACACAAACACTTCCATGTCAAGATGCATCTCATATATCCTTTTCTATACCCACAAACGGTTAAAGGCAAGCCCTAGCAAGAGGCTTGCATATACCGTTTTCAAATCTAAACGTAGAACATAATCCCTCCGGAGAAAGTGTAATTAATAAGTCAATACATCAACTTCTTCAAGACGAAAACAGCTTTGCTGGCTGTCATTGCTTTCCAAAAGCAGCTTTTTGGAACGCAAAACTTCAAACCAAGAGAAACGATCAGACCTCTTCCCGTCATCATAGCGACGGCGAGGAGGCAGTTCCACTAGCTAGCTTGGACTTGAAACACCGCATGACACTCATTTTTAAAATGTACGGTCTTACTAATTCCCATCTTGGTTGCCACCCGCGGACGACTGTCCGACAAGAGCACTGAATATTCCATCTGGGTTGCTCAGGAGTTCAGGTGGTGGTCCAAACTCGGCAACGCGGCCTTCATCTAGCACCAGAATGGAGTCGTAGTCGAGGATTGTGTCGAGTCTGTGTGCAATCGTTAGCATGGTAGTCTTGGCGAATCTTTCGCGCAACATCTTTTGGATTCTCTTGTCAGACTCGTTGTCAAGCGATGCAGAAGCTTCGTCCATTACAAGAACCCGTGGCTCTTCAACAATTGCACGAGCAAGGCAGAGAAGCTGTCGCTCTCCCACACTGTAGTTAGCACCACCTTCCTCAACACAATCGCTGAGAACGTCGAGTCCCCTTTCCCACCCAGCGTGATTGACTGCCTTCAAGGCGTCCAAGAGTGCCTCATCAGTTGCAGTTCGAAACGGGTCTATGCAATCACGCAAGGATCCAGCGAAGAGGACAGGATCCTGAGGGATGATGCGTAGACCGCTTTTTCTTCCCCGAACATCAGATAACCCAATTTTGGAGAGGTCCACACCATCCAACGTAATGTAACCACTTTCAATTTCCACGAGTCGAAAAAGAGCGACTGTCAGGGTGCTCTTCCCGCTGCCCGTGCGTCCGACGACGCCAACCCTCGAGCCTGCTGGGATTTCAAAGGACACGGAATCCAGTGCCAATGGCAGCTCTTCTCTGTATCGGAGGCATACGTTGTCGAATTGCAAGTATCCTCGAGAGGGCCAACTGGGTTCGAGTTTGAAGGAGGCGTCCGTCTCCCATGCGGCCTCTTGTGGCAATTCAGATGTAGCACTGACACGTTCAATGGCTGTGATTCTCGCCTCTGTTTCAGTGAAGCGCTGCAGTAAGAAGCCCAAGGATGTCGTGAAGACAATGGACCACATAATGAGGAAGCCCACGAGTCCTGCTGGCAGCATCAGAATACCGTTACCGAATACCACAAAGGTACACACTGAAAGAGTAATGATAGATCCTAGCAGCTCAATACGAAGAGCAAGCCATCTTTGTGCAGCATCAAAATTTAGCATGGCCGCACTGTTTCGGTTGACGCTCGCATGAAAAATGTCCACAAAGAAGCTATGCTGCTTGAAAGCCCGAATCGTGACGGCACCGTCCAAGGCTGGATACACGGCACCCCAGAGCGACTGTGAGAAGACAACGACAGTAGCCGCGAGGAAACACCGAGAACAATCTCTACGTACCTTCAGCAAGCTGCGCTTGCAGTGGAGATCGAGACATAGCGTCCAAGCGCTGCAAATCTGGGCCGGTCAATCTATGGTAGCTCTGGAGAAGAAAGTACAGTCCCACAACGGGTACCAGAACGCATACAATCCATGGGAGCACTGTAATCTACAAGTAGAACATAGCAGCGCTGCAATGAGACGAGCCAATTCCTCCGATGACACGGGGCACCAATACAAGACAGCTTACCATGACCACAATTGATGCTGTAAACCAAGAGCATGATATTAAAAGACCCGCCATGGAGACGGATAGCTCAATGTCAAGCACCTCAATGTCATACGTGAAGCGATTCAAAATGCGTCCCAAAGGCGTTGTCTCAAAGTACGAAACTGGTGAACCGAGTACGCTGCAAATCATGATCTTGAACAGACTCTCTGCACACCGGGCTCCTCCTTGGACTGAAAACAGAACGGGGCGAGCTGCGTGTTAGGGGACTCGGGGACGAATGACACAACACAGCAGCAGCAGCACACAGAACAGCATTGATCTAACCTCCCCAATGCGAGCGAATCGTTGTTGCAGTAATAGATAGCGCGAGAATGATGAAGTAAACAACAATATACTGAATTTGAGCTGAGCGCCCGTCTGTCTGCGGAGGGAACTCCCTTCCAAATGCCTCGGTGCTCTCATCACTTGCGTCTGTCCAGGTCGCAATCCACCACTCACTGGAAACGTACAGTGACCGGTCCATGACCAAGAACAAGAATTGCAAAAGGAAGAAAGTCCAGCCACCAGCATATTTGAACCAAACCAACCAAGTGCTGAATTTGGAAAGACCAAACTCTCGCTCCTCTGCTGTCATGATCATTTGCTCCTTCTCGTTGTCAGGTTCCTCCCCCGGCTGGTTGTCCTCGCTACTAGCGTCTAGGTCGCCACTGCTTTCCGTCCTGGTGAGATACGACCCCAGCGCATGGCTTGCTTCATCGCTCTTGGAGTTCTGAAGCTCTTCAAAAGACCCACTGAAGATCGGAGCACCCTCCGAAAGCACAACAATCTGATCCATTCGATTAAGGAAGCTTGTCGCGTGCGTTACAAGAACCGTCGCCTGGTCATTCAAAGCACCCTCTGCACCAAACAAACCGCTAAACACCGCCTTCGATGTCTCGGCATCCAGGGCAGAGAAGACGTCATCTAAGAGAGCGATCGAAGGGCGGGCATACAGGACTCGGGCAAGTGACACTCTCTGTTTCTGTCCACCACTCAGTGTAACACCTCTCTCGCCAATCTGACACAGGTCTCCTCCAGGAAAGCGCTGCATATCCTGCTCCAGTGAACACGCTGCAAGAACTCGTCGGTAATGTTGTTGATCAAAGGGAAGCCCGAAGAGAATGTTTTCCCTGAGAGTGGTATTCAGGATAAATGGGACTTGTGCGGCATACCCAATGCTACCTCTCATTGAAACTTTGGCTTTGTCGGCAGCTTGCATCTCTCCCAGCAGCCCCTGAAGCAACACAGACTTTCCGCTTCCCACTCTTCCAACTATCGAACAAAGGTGACCTCTGTGCACCGAAAGACTGACATTGCTCACAGTGAATGCATTGTTTGTCGCGTTTGTTTCATCATCCCTCGTGCTCTCCTGTGGACCGCTGGTCGCAATTGCTTGTTGTTGTGTACAAGTCTGGAAGGTTGCTCCAACCACATCCACCAGCGCAGAATCTTCTATCAAATTGGCACCTTCACCTTCCAAAAGCAAGGGTGCTTCCACTGTTTCTCTCTGCAAGAAATCGGAAATGCGCTTGGCCGAGTCCAGAGCCTGGGCCAGTTTCCCTACCAACCTTGCACCCATGTTGATTGGAAAACGCAAAATGGAAAAGAGGAGAAGGACAGTGAAGGCACTGGACGGAGTGATGATGTTGTCTTCATTGACAAGAGCATAAAAGGAAAAGGCCGCTGCTATTGCCACCAATGGAGACGAGACAGCAACCACCATGGTCCATCCCCACATGAAGAGTTCGGATCTCAACAATATGATTTCCTTGTCTCGGACAGCATTTACACGTTCTAGCACTTTGCTTTCGTAGTGATTGAGTTTTGTGACTCGTATTCCCTGCAGTATGGCTGTGATGATGTTGATGCGTTCGTCTGCCAGAGTTGCTCGCTTCTTTCGTATCATCAACCTTTCAGTGCAAGATGTGTGTTGACGTGAGTGAGTTAATTGTCAAGCACTAGTAGATTGCCAGTAACACGCAAATGACACTTGGTCCAAACATCATTATCAGTACATGCATGTACTCACATTCTTGAAACAATGTACTTGACCACTGGGACAAAGCCAATGAGGACCACGACTCCCACAAGAAGCTCTGGCCCCATGACAACCCAAAGCAGAACCGCCACAATCAGGACAAAGAGTGGACATGACCAAATCAAGTGGCCTTCGAGGCAGACTTCGAACAACTTTTGAGTGCTGATCAAGAGCAGAAGTAGATTGGATTGAGTAGTGGTAACAAGCAAACAACGTGGAGTGTGAGGAAACTTTGTGTATGGGGAGGCAAGATCATCTCATGCAATGACATACATTGCATCAATAAACAACACTTACTCGGTTGCCACGAGATTGGTTACTTCACCAGTGGTGATTCCTGCCTGTCCCGCCGCCGAAAGTCGGAGTGAGTGCTCGTAAATGATGGAGATGAGCGCCGCCCGCATGACAATGCCACTCTTGGTGGCCAGATGTGTCTCTCTGTGTTGCGCAAACGCCGCCAAGATTGCAGCGCAAAAGATGAGTACCGCCCACGGCAGCCCTTGTCGAATGACGGATTGATTGGGATTTTCTTCCAAGGCCGTCAAGAGTTGCCTCATGGCCATGGGGAGGGTGACGCGAGCTACCACAAATGCCAGTTGCATAAACCCGGCGGGGATGAATGTGGGTGCGGCGAGTTTCCACAAGACATGGAGTAGTTCTCCGTTTTCTGCCGTGTACAGAGCTCTGAATTCTTCTACCAACTTTTTTGCTACCATCTCCTGTGGTACGGCAAACAAGTCTTGCTGCGTCAAGTGACTGCCGTCTTTGAACTGATGCCGTCCCTTTTGCAGCAAGGGCATCATGTAGGAGTAAGTCCATGACTTGAAGATTTGCTGGAATCGAGTGCCCTCCTTCTCGGGCCAATTCTTACTGGGCCTATTCTCGTCGTCGTTGAGAGCTTGTTCCTGTGCGTCAACTTCGTCATAGCCCGTGTTTTCCTCGCCCGTTGTGCTCAGCTCCAATTTCTTGGAGTGGCCATTGTTCCCATAACCAATCTCTTCCTCCGTTCTTGGGGGCATTTTCTACCAATCCAGTCTATGGACAAGAAAATGAGATTGATAATGGATCCAGCTATACCCGAAGATGTCAACAGCTTCGTACTACAGACTGTTGCTGCTTCTGTATTCCTGCCGCACATAGCGTCATGGTCAGTCGGACAGAGGTGGATGCAAAATGATGACGGAGGAAATGAGGGAAAGAAATGGGAGCTTCTTTCGAATTCCCAAGATTTCCTTAACTCTCTCAAACGGGACGAAGAATAATGAATACGCGACCTCCCAATCCCGCCTAAGAGATATCTTCGACGCATCCCCGATCCTGTGTGAGATGCAACGGCCAATGGCCATTGAGCCTCGATCGATCGCTCATCATCGGATACAACCAACGATAATAACAACCATCCAGCTTGAACCTGAGCAACAGAGACAGCATAGCACCAAGCAAGGCATCACTATACCCAAAAGAGCCTGATAGCAATGTCATCTGAGCCGGAAGCAAAGAAAGCCAAGACCGACACGGACGATGGCGAAAAGCAGCACCTCTTCAGTGAGTTCATTTAGTTTGTCCATCGGTTCAAGTACCGGTACATATACACGTGGCCGTATGATTGACGAATTCTCTCAACTAACTTGCTTGTCTAGTTATTCGGCATGGGGATAGGTTCGACTACAGTCATCCAGAGGTAAGGTATACTACTGTGATATTCAGTGGGGTATCCAATTGATTGTAAAGGGTATCTTACTAATCAACCCTCTTCATGACTTGACTGCATGCCTCGATCGATGATCAATCACCATGCAGTGGCTGGAAACGACAACTCGCCGTGGAGATCCCCCACTCTCCAAACTGGGATATCAGCAAGCCCGAGAAACGGGGCTGTTTCTCGATGGACATTTGAAGGAGATTGGTATCACACCCGACAAGATCACGTGGCTCACGTCACCCTTTCTACGCTGTATCCAAACATCCGATTCCATCTTGAATGCATTTCCCACTACCGACACGGATGGCGTCAAGTTACTACCCGAATACAGCGTCTTTGAAATGGACGGCCACGGTGGCAAAATGCACGCTTCGCTCCCCGAAGTTTCGGAACGATTTCATTACTTTCCTCGCCTCGATGCCAGTCATGAATCTCTCTTTGTTCCCACCATACCGGAACCTCGCGAAGGACTCCGACCCCGATGCGAAAAAGCCATGCAACACTTTCACAAAAAGTATCTGTACAAACCCAAAACGGCCATTATCATTGTCACCCACGCGGCATCCTGTGTCGCACTGGCACGAGCCGCCTCCGATTTGCCTCTAGACGCAGTCACACCCGCCGCTCCATGCAGCATCTTTCAATTAACTCGTACCCGTCAAACGGATGTGTGGGATATGGATGCCCACGACAAGCCAGAGGGAAAAAACGGATACACCGATCATCTCTCGGATATGGGGTTGAAAACCACAAGGCCGTGGAATCATTTTGGGCCCAAAGGAACCGACCAGTATTACACGGGGCCGCCCACTTCGAGGTTTGCACCGTTGCCCACCAGGGAAGATTCGACGGAAATTTCATAAAAATATGAATGGTGTATATATCTTTGTTGTTTGTGGTGTTGGTTGTGAACTGGTCCATGAATGGAAGCAACAATTGCTAGCTCTCTTCGCAAAGATCTTTTTGCATATATATCATACATAGTGTCCCTGTACATATTATAATTGCATTCAATTACGGTTTATGTTTTGATGCTCCTGTCACCGTGGCGTTTTCCATAGGGTTTCGTCTCTATCCAGCTACAGGCAGCTAGAGCCATTCTGGCTTCAAGTTCCGGAACACTTGAGTGCAGTGGTCGATTGATTACCCGAAAGCTCTCCTTCGACAACGTCGTCATTCAGCTAGCTGGCTAACTAGAAAGTCAAACCAACGTTCAAAGCATATGACTGTTTTGTTCCGCTGAGCAAATAATAATATGAATATATATAATATAGAAACCCCATTCGATAACTCTGCCCTACCATGCCAACACCCCCGAGCCCCTTCTTTTCGGCGGTCGCATCTGATTCTTTTGTCTTTCAAGCTAAAGATATAGAGGATGTGTTGTGTAAAAGCGCACACTCAACAAATACCATTTCTTTCCATTCTCGCTGACCCGTATCGTAGAATGATACTACAAAAGCTTGGAATCACACGGCAGCCTTACAGATTGGCGACGTGGTAGTTTACGTTGGGGTTCAGCTGTCAAAGGATAGGACTGTTGTTGATGATGATAGCCCATAGTGTTCATCGATGGGGTGTTTGTTGTCCCTGGCCATTGGGTTGTAGCGGTATTAGCTTCAGGCTGTATTCTTTGTCTCCGTTGCTGATGCAAAGATCCCAACAAAATGTTCAGGTGCGAGTAACCATCTCCATTCGTAGTGCCATTGTTACTTGTCTGTCCAAAAGTTCCCTCGGAGCTTGTGGGCTGGCCGGGATGCTGCCGATGCTGTGGTGGAGGTCCAATTTCGGTGGGCAGTCCATTACGCCAATGATGAATGTTGTTGTTATTGTTGCTGTTGTTTCCATACACCGAGTCTTCACCACTGGTACAACTGTGATAACTCGATTCATCCGATGTCTGCAGCCGTAGTCGTTTAAAGCAATGCCACGCTTGATCTGCTTGGGAATCACTGCTGGTGGACCGTTTGCGAGAAATTCCTCGACTCGCATCTGTAGAAGCATGGCCATGAACGCCATTCGACGAAGGAGTTTCTCCGGGGTGGTGATGAGATGGAAACGTATGGTTCATCCTGATAGTAACGTACTAGCTAGTACTTGCACGATACGACAGTGAATGGTAGCTCGAAGAAAGCAAAGGGAAGCAATCATCAAAGAGGTAACATCGAAATGTAGGCAGTGATTTGATTGGTGGAACGTGTAAAGGACACGAATTCGACATGGAAGTATTTAATGGGGAATCTGCTTTCCTGATGTCATCATTACACCAAATCAGACCAAATTTTGTGCTCTCTCTCTCCATAGTCCGCAAGCAAATCAAGATTCCGTCAACAACCATGATAATAGGATAGAGTCATTGCACTGCCGAAGATAGATAGAGCACAGCACAGGATAGATACCACAGTACAGCAATAATAAGAAGATGTCAACAGCAGCAGCCATGGAGGAGCAAGATGGAAGCTCACAATCCACCATGGGAAATCGCAGCCAGGTTCGAGTTAGTCAGGAAAAACGAACACACAGGCTGCAGCAGAACAACACTGGCAGAAGCAAGAAAAGAAATAAAGGAGACGGTACACAGTACACATTGGAAGGTCAAGTTGCTTTTAACCCAATTAAAGATTGCAAGATCTGTCACGCTAGGGCGTATGGTCTTCCAGAGCCGCACAGAGCTCACCACCAACTTTGCACCAACAATAAGCGTACGAAGGGAGCTTCTGCTGCCACCCTCGCTGTGCTAGCAGAGGAACGAAGACTGAAGAGGCACTTCTCGGCTCCAATAAAATACAGCGCATCCTACTTGGGAGGCGGCGGGACATTTTTTAACCCAAGGAAGGCAGCTTTTTCAAGGAAATCTACTTCCAAAACAATGGAGTCGGTGCCTGTGAGATCCCTGCCAGCACAGATTGATTTGTGCAAAGCTGTGACCGAGAAAGTAAATGACAGCTCGTTTTGCCAGCAGCATCGCTACAACAAAGCTCCTTTGGCCATGGTTGCGTTAGCAGGTGTTGTAGCTGAAAAAATAATTCGCCCAGATAATGGTTGCCTTATTCCTTCCTATTTTGATGGGTTGACTATGACTGTGCCGCCTGCTGTGTGCAAGGAACAATGCGATCCACACTACCATAGCATTGTTGGGCAAAAGCTTTTATTGGTTGACTGGAAGAAAATGTATGGAATTGACCTCATGTGCCCTTGCTGTGATGATGCGGCATTGGTGAATAAACGAACCAACTTTTCCCACAACAAAATTCTACATCCCATCTTTGTGTTGGATGGTCCCCCCCTCTGGTGCATGGTGATGTCAATGCAATGCCAGACTTGTAAACGCAACTTCAATGCGAACGAGAGTATTATCCTTTCAATGCTTCCCTATTATGCCTCCATGGCGTATCCAGTGAATCCAATATATGCCCTGAAAAAGAATAGTCATCTAGGAAGATCAGCAACGGACATCTTCGACATGATTCTACCTACGTATGGCAATGGTGATTTGTGCAGTCGGCTATTGTATCAAGTATTAAACAGAGAGTATCTGCACAAAGTGGCTTCATACTATTCCTATTTGAATTTTGCGACCAAACCAAATGATCCGACAACCACAGGTTCTGCCAATCAACAACCAGTGAAGCAATACCTCATGAAGGATGGGCAATTCATCACCACATTCCCACCACTGGGAGATACCATTCGGGAACTCTATGATCAGGCATCCAACAATGCACACAATCAGTGGGGTATCAGTGACAACCATCGGCATACAAGAGAAATACAAAGTGTCCGATGTCATTCCGTGTTTGCACAAGACCACACCCATGAAGTGACAAAGAACTACTTTCACAAGAAGAAGCTGGGAGCGGAAGCAATGTGGACTTGTTCGACTGAAACGGGAGAGATTGCAGCTGCTGTTCTTGTTCCATCCACCAAGACGCTTCACTTTGCACATGCGGCCAAGCAACTGACACTCCGTGAGCACTTCAAACCAAAAGTTATGTACAGCGATACATGGCCCTGCAAGAGTGACTATTGGTCTCAGTTGACGGGTGAGAGGATCGAAGGACGTCTTGGGCTCTTTCATTTCTTACAAAGAATTATTCGAACGCTCAGGAAAACTCACATTGACTACTCACGGTCGGTTACTCTGCTTCTTAATGCTGTCTACATTTACAACCAAAATGATTATGAGAGACTTCTTCGTGCACTGAAAAATGGCACTCTGACTGGCAACAAGTACAATGATGACGACATCTTCGAGCTAAGGAGCACTTACTTGTTCCGACAGAGATATGGGAAGTACCTCAGAAAAGAGATTCGTTTGCCAGAATTGCTAAGGTCGAAGCTGGAATATTGGTTTAATCGTTTCAAGTGCAGTACCAGTGATGCTTCAAGGCCTGCCGAAGGTCGACTTGATCCAAAATCCCGGCAACCTCTGTTCACTCCTGAAACCAAAACTGCTGTGGCAAACTGTAAGGACAAAGCTGAATACCTTCCTGATCCGCTCCCACTGAATCAAATGTATGAAGTGATACCACCCAACCCAAACTCAACTCATGGACTCAATGAGTACTTGTCGAGACGTGGCGAATCCGGTCTAGAGGCTTTTCACCTGTTGCTTGCCCACTTCGCAAATTGTGGAATGAGGACTTCCTTGGCAGACAACCTCAACTTGACTGGCACGGCTAGGTATAATCTTGGTGTTCGAAACAAACTAAGGCTTGCACGGAGTTCTCCTGCCAATCAGACAACCCTCTCAAAACGAAAAACAATGCCGGCTGCTTGGGAGAGTGTCCTCCCATATTTCAACCATTGTGAGCTTGCGTGGGTTAACAAAATGGCAACACAAGCAGGTGCACCAGTTGTGCCATTCTTGAATGTGGAGGAACTGCAAGAAGACACGGGTGAGCGATTTTTCTCTGAATATATTCAATGGATGAACGCAACCAATCCCCAAAACAATAGTGATGACCACTGCTTATGCAGCAAGTGTGCACCAGAACAACAACAACATCGGAATGTTCAAATTCAAAATGATAGTTTCGATGGCGCAGCTCCATCGCCAACAGCAACATCGCCAAGAACAGCAACAACTGTCGTCCCACAACAACCTGCAGTGGCTCCGAATTACCAACAACCACAACAACAAGGACAACAACAAGGACAACAACAAATCCCACCATTGACTTTACCAACAACAACAACAACGTACCACATGCACCCTCAACCACAACCATTCATGTATCCTCCAAATCCCTATCAGCATTGCTACACTGTTAATCCATGGATGCCTGCAATGATCCCCACCATGCAGCAACAGTATTTCTGCTGTGAGAAATTCAGAGCGCATCGTAATGCCATTCCAAGAAAGAAGGGAAGGCCTCCGCATGATCAACATTGTCGTGGTATAGTTTTGGGATAGAATAAGACTGTAACGAAAAATTGGTTCGAGTTGATTGTTTGTTGTTGGATGTTGGATGTTGCATGGAATACTGACAACGCGACGCGCGTTGTCAGAGCCAATCAGGAAATCGGATATTGCCTAGAACCGTTGAATTTGCCCATGCCTCCAATCCCATCGTATTAGCTCTTGCCTCCCATGGATCATGGTTGAGACGATTGTGGAAGCGCACGATCTCTAGACCTGTCTTGTTATTGTTGTTGAGTTGGTGGTGGTGGTGGCACTGACTCAATGGATGCTGTGGCGGGTTTAGGGAGATTTAAACTGATCAAAACACACCAAAATTCGCAAATAGCTATTCGAAAAATCGAATTTGTTCGAATGGATGGAATTGTTCGAATGGATCTTTTGGCATGGCTGCTGGTGTCCTTTTCGTGTCTTTTACCAGCTGGCTTGCTTGTAAAATGGGGGAAAAGACTCCCTTTTATTACAGAAGAGACCAAATGACTGCCTATCCCTGGATAACCTTTAAATCTAGCTTCCAAATCTGGCATTGCCAATCTGGCGTGCGAATCTAGCATTTGGAATCTAGCTGCAGTCTCTTTTCTTTTTTTCCCTTTCTTTCCCCCTTTTCTTCTGACTAACCCCCCCATAATCTCATCAAAGAGGCTGTGGCATCAACGGGCAGTCGAGTGCATGTTTGAGGGCCATTGTGATGGGTGCTCGATCGCTCCCGCGCTGCCCGATCGATTGCCGAACGGTTTGTTCGAACGATCGAAGATTCGATTCGAACAGAATCGACTCTCGAATCGAATCGAATCGAATCTATTCTGCTGGTGTCAAAATCCAACATCCTCGTCGCGTGGACAGCCCATACCTATCACCACGGGCAAGTACAACAAGAAACATTGGCTTGGAAGCGAAACATAGATGTTTCAAGAACAAGGCATTGCTAGCTAGCTAGATAGATGGCTAGAGCTACCACACTTCTCTCAGGGTTGTTCTGAAATCTCAATCTACAACTGTATTACTCTGCTATTATACCGTATTTTAAGATATTTATACAGTACGGTATATTTAATCGTACCATACACATCCCCCCAAAAGGCTGTCCAAACTCCAAAGCCAGCGCCTATTGGCGGCTCAAGAAGACAGTGTATGGATTGTGGAGACGTCCTAGACATTGGTACCAATCATTTCACAAAGTGCTCACGAACCTAGATCTTGTGGTATGTAAGCACGACCCAAGCGTCTTTGTTGGGAAATCTCCCACGGGTGGAACAATTACGTTTGGAGCTTATGTCGATGATTGTCTATATTGGGGAACCGACGAGGCTACCCAGACATGGTTCAAAGAAGCTCTCCGCAAGCAACTGAAAATTGACTTCATGAGAGATCTCTCCCTCTATTTTTGGGCTCACTACGATTTGCAGACTCTCGAAGATGGACAAATCCGAGTCCACTGTTGCATCCAGGACGAAATGGGGATTGCTGCCACAAAGGAAGGAGAGACTCGAATGACCCGCTGCCTTGCTTCCACCTTCAGCACACCTCCCGTGTACTCTGACTCGCTCCTGAAAAAGCCATCAGATGGGCGTCAAATGCTCTGCTATCAGATTGCGATGGTGGAATACTGTCACCCGCAACACTCCAATGATCATTGATTCGTTCTGTTTCCAAGAAGGTCACATCCACAAAATACTCGACCAACATTCCATGCTTGATGTCAATGCCGTTGGGAGCTTGATCTCACAGAGGCCAGAAGCCAATGCAGATTGGTTAAGGCCAAGAAGAAAGCTCCGTCCCTGCGGCAACTGTCCTTGGATTCCCTCTGCAAAGCTCGTGCCGAGAAGTATGGCACAACCAGTGCCCAAGAGCTTAAGAAAATGCAGCAACGAGAGCGTCAACGGGATATGGCACGGAGACAACAGGCCCTTACCAAGAAAGGGTCCCAGAGAGAGAGCGCCCCATGTCTGACACAACAAGAATTGTGGAGTGCAACACTCAGGACGAAATGGGAGCCGCTGCCACCAGGGAAGGAGAGATCTGGATGACCCGCTGCCTTGAATCACCTTTCACAACAGCTCCTATGGATAAAGACTTTCCTGATGGGCAGAATCACCAAACCAATGATTGATGCTCACTCCGCCCACCTCCGATCTATTGGACGACAGGGTGATGGTATCACTTGGGCATCTGGTCTGGTTTCTGAACTTTGGATGATTCATTCTAGAATGTGGGAACACCCCAATGGCGCCCCACAATTGTCTGTACTGGGGAACTGATGACGCTACCGAAACATGGTTCGAAGAAGCACTCCGCAAGCAACTGAAAATTGACTTCGTGGGGGATCTCTCCTATTTTGGGGCTCACTACGATTTGCAGATTAATTCTCAAAGATGAACGACTTCGAGTCCAATGTTCCCAAGCTGCCAAAAGTCAATGGACAACTGATCATCGGCTCCCCTGTCCTAACATCCCCTTCTCACATGGGAAGATCATCTTCCGCCGCAAAGGATCCAAACTTGCCCGTTTTCACCCCAGAGAGATGCACGAAGCCATCTGGGAAAGCAAGATCAAGGCCCACTGGAGAAAGAGAGATGAACGAATCTGGGGGGTCCCACAACAATGCAGCATGGGAGGAATGATGGCACTGATCCACTGGGAAGCAATGGGACGGGCCTTCCGAAAAGCACCACTGGGGATTCAACGATTCATCACTAAGCACGCCACAGGACACTGTGGGGTTGGACGACAGCTCAAACGCTGCAAATGGCAGGAGCGCAGTGACTGCCCCTGGTGCGGTGATGAAGATGAAGATACCTTCACTGCCAACACCCATCCACTACCCAACAATGGAATGTGGAGGTGTCCAAACTGAAGACTTGGCTTGAACAGCGGAACACTGAGCCCAGCATGATCAAGCTGATCATAAAACAGCTCCACCACTGGATAAATGGGAGCGACCATTCCTTCTGGATGAATGCTGGAAAACCGGCAACACCCAAGATGAAAAGAGTGTGGCAGCCACCAGAGAAGGAGAAATTCGGATGACTCCTTGTTTGGAGTCACCATTCACAACAGCCCCCATGGATGCAGATTTTGCCAATTTGGCTCGCCGGCTGCCGTGGCTGTACTGGACAGTTCGTATGAACCCCTTCTGGTACCGACAAGTACACGCGGATGCTTGTTGATGCATTTCATGGACCAAACAGCGTCCATGAAAATTAATGCCATCAATGAACTAGAGTGGACCCCTGAGTATCTCCTCAATACAGCACTGCAGAAATTGTGAGGGAACGTTTTAAAAGACTAAAGCTTCAAATAATCCAATACTCTTAGTTACGGTAGTCCCGTATCCTCAATTGCTGTGCATCTTTCTTGGCCAGGGACTGAGTATTCTGGGTATTCTGTGTGCTCGGCTGGGAACTGTGCAAATCTGTCGGTGTCCAGCGGTCCTGTGCCGGCTGCGAACTGTGGCAATCACAGATCATTTGAGTCTCCAGCTAAGTATCTCGAAAGAGGTAAACTGTGTAATGAGGGCATCAGCTTCTGCTTCATCCTTGCTGTTGTTGTTCAGGTCGACCCGGTAGAGTTTCACCGCCCAATGCGCCCTAGCTAGGCATTCGTTTTATCTTCCTCAGATTCCTCAGAAAATCCTCTGAAGCGTCGGGAAGGGAGGCAACTGACGGCCAACCCCCCGAATCAATCCATGTGACGCATCCTCCGCTGTTCGATTCAGGCTCTTGACAGTTACGATTAGGTGTCAAGAGAAAACCAAACAGGCATTGGATCTCATCGTTGCTTTTGTTTCTCCAACGCTTTCTGCGCATTCTTTCGTACTGTGTTGAGTTGTCCCAGTAGATCGTTCGCTCTTGTGAATCGATCGGTTCTTGAAAAATGAAGATCGTTAGATACCATTCCATCACACTCGCAATGCAACAATGCAACACAAAGGAGGCAAGGACACTTACTTGATGGAGCTCTGCTTGTTGTTGGCCGTGTGGTACAAGAGATGGAAATGAAACTCATCTGGATTTAGGCTCATAATCCGTTGCAAGTTGCAAGCATGTCTCTTGGTCACCAAATGCAGACCTCCCGACCACCATTCTGCCAGAACAAAACAGTCACCATAGAACTTGTTCAGCAAACCCAACAACACTTTTTCGACACACAAACGATTGATTCTGACGTACCAACATCCCGTAGATCCAGTCCATCAAATCGATAGTGCGGCGCTTCATAGGGTGGTAGGAATCCGCCAGGGCAAATCTCGGTATGCCACTGCCATATTTGTTGTCGTGTCGCCATCCATCCACCCATGTTGTTGATCAAGTTCCTGGCGTTGCCGCCCGGTCTCCTCTTTTTGTCAAAGTACCCGTCCACTCCTGCCCAATAGTCACCCACCATCGTGTTGAGTTTAGTTTCCTTATCGTACGTGGGTCCTCGTAACAATGCCACCCAATCCAAGACGTCGCTGGGCATTTTTCGTACTCCCAAAGGCATTACTTCCGTCTCCCACAGCATGACCTGATCGGAGGATGGATTTTCCGGTCGTTTGGGCGACGACCGCTCTTTGGCGACATGGCAGCAGGGACGTGGATCAATTTTGGTGATGTTTTTGTTGGTTGTTGTTGTCTTTTCATCAAATACGAGGTCTATGGGAACTTGGGTTGGTTTGGTATGAAACTTTTTGCTGGTAGGATCAAGCAATACTTCCACACGAATAAATCCGGGCATCATTCGACTCAGCTGTCCTTTGGTCATGGGTCCCGAGAAGGACGAAGAGTAAAACTTGTCGTCTGGATTCCCTGGCAAATCGTCCGGTGCCTCTTTTTGGAGCCTTAACAATTCCTCGGACAATTTGACGTAGTGCTGAACATGGTGTCCCGTGACGAGCATGTCATCTTCAAAGCTGACAAAGACTGGATAATATATATGATATTGAAAGACTAGTAAGCTCCGAAGTCCAACCAATCCAGAAAATGAATGAATCCATCCAGATAAACAGAAAGCAAGCAAGCACTCACCATCATAGAGCAAGAAGTGATCCCGAATCACAAATCGGTGTTGACGAGCCAGTGATAGGAAACGCTCCCCAATTAAACTCGTGCCGTCGCTTTCTTGGTATTTCTCGGTATTGTATCCCAGAGCTAAACAAACCAAAGAAAGGGAGGAAACAGTGAGACAAAAAACCGTTGCAAAGTCCCAAAGGAATACGGTATGTCCAATGACACTCACGCATGGCATCATCCCAATACTTGAGCCCCACTCCGTCAGGAAGACTGTCTCGAATCAGTTGCAATCGCTCTGGTTTCAAAATGTAATGCGCCACGACAAACACATCGACTTGGTAACCCATGGCGACCATGCTATGAACGCCTTCTGATATAATTGGGATCATGGTCTCTTGCAAGCGGTCAGATCCCTTGACTGTGGCTCTCGACCCCGTGTTGTATTCGGCCAGGCTGGTAATGGTGTAGAGGATCTTGAGGGGACCATCTTCCTCCTTTCCCACGAGCTTTCGTCTGACATTCACATTGGTGGGATCATTATTCTCATCAGGAAGATTGCTGCCGATTCTTTTTTGGGACACCAGCAAAATGATACAGAAACCAACACACAGGCCTACTAGCAGCAACACGGATTTCCTTATTCTCTGTGTCGTCTCTGGGAGCATGGCTGATGGCGGGGACAGCCATAGACCGAGGGTCATGGTCAGCAGACAAGAGGCACAATAACGTGAGAAAGTGAGAAAGATCGTGGCGGGTATGTACTGCCAACAATAAGCCAGCAGGCTGTGTAAGGCGATGCTGGTCGAATGCGAAGCGAAGACGACCCAACGGGGAGTACATTCGTACTAGTACGGTAGATGTGAGGTCCTGTCTCATGGATCTGATGATTTTAATGTTATCGACCATCATTTATCCTTCATAGTATTAGCGACAATGGCCATGGAAGACTTGCTGAAGGTGGTTATGGCGGGGGTAGAAGACGATAAGGATATTGCTCCTAACCAAGCACACTAAGAAGACAAGCGAGGAAGAAACTACTGGTAGAAAATAGGAATAGGACTAAGTTAGGGTTAGGTTGATACCATGTCTGCTGTGGCATTCAATTGAAATTCATTCCCTGGAGTTGAAAACCAATATTGGCGCCCAGCTCTTCCTTGTAGCCAACGTGGACCGCAATGGCCTGCCCATTGTAAGGGTGATTCTTATCCCAAACAATCACAAGCGCGCCAGAATGTCCTCCCACGGTATTGACATTGTACTCGACGTGAGTTTCCCCTTGGGCGGCGTCGAGGGTGATCGTACCAGTAGTGATGACCAGCTCAAGATTTGGTACCGGGCAAGGGCCAAAGACATGTGGGAAGCATGACTGCAACTTTTTTTTGGCGATCTGCATCCAAAGAGGAAAATTCCCGGACAAGCCATCCAACTTCAACTTCAGAGGGTTGATAGTGTAGGCTACGATCGCCACCTTCGTCCCTCGAAGGTATCGAAAATTAGCGTCCACGACCATGGTTGGCTCCATCGCCTCCCGAAATTCCTGGAGTGCTGGAGCATGCAGCAAGGATCGCACATTGGCTCCTGGGCCACGACATACTTCAGGGCCAGAGGACCAGCAATGGCCATTTCGCAAAGGCTCAGGGGGTCCTTGGTAGGTATCGCCCTGACCAGGGAAGGGAATGGTGACTCGCGGGGTGTCGCCAGGCAAGATCTGAGATGTGCTCAGCACAAACTCTAGTTCGTCGTCAACATTCCATCCATTGTGGACATTGTGTTGACAGGTCATAAAAAACTGGTTTTGTTGGTTGCCAGGGGTTGAGTCCTGGACAATCGACATTTGTCCTTCGTAGGCTACTTCTCGTCGCTTGATCGGATTCCAAGCCACAATCGACATGAGAGAGCTCTTATTCATGAGTGTTTGAATGTCTTCTTCCGTGATGGATTCGTCATCGTAACGAACAACGACACCAGCCGTGTCAAATGAAGGTGGTGTAGAGCGCAAGAGTCGGAATCTCTGAATCGACTTCTCCGCCGACCGAGGCTTCCCAGGGGGTGTTCTTGAGGAGGGAGAGGGGAGCGGTGGGCTTCGAGTTTCGTCCTGATTGGGTGTGGTCTTGCCAAATGATGCTGATGAAGAGTCATTGGAAAAGGAGGATGTGATGGTTTCTTCTTCCTCGGAAGTAGGAGTAGCATGACCGTACACTGCGTCGCTCAACGCTTTCTTGTCATGGCATTGTGGAGACAGCAAAAATGCACCGTTACGAGTCGTCATTGTTGATGGTTTGATGCTTATGGCGATGGGATGCGCAAGAACTTGGTTGAGAATGGTTTATGGCCAATATATCCACGATCATACGATGTTATCCACGATCTCAAGCGAGGGCCCGCCGTGAAAACTGTCAGTGCTGTACCGGTACCGGTACCAGGTACCGGTACCGGTACTGGTACAGTCAACATTCAGATATATATACTGGAGGGGATTCAGGAATTCAGTAAATATAACAGCGAGAATAAATATTGATTTTATCCCTAACCCTAACTATTCCCGTAGAATTGTACGTGCTCTAGTACTAAAATAGGGTTAGAGTTAAAAATGTGGGAACTGGAGTATTCTTAAATATTATAGAGCGAATAAATACAAGATTATAAATATAAGCGAGCGTTGACTGTATGGCATATTTGACATCGTGAGGATACTGCCACTGATAAGCCAGCAGGCTGTGTAAAAAGGCGATGCTGGTCGAAGCGAAGACGACGTCAATGGTCCTCTTTCATTATGGAACAAGACAGGGAGAATAAAACTACCATCACACCCAAAGAAACCCAAAACCAAGAAACCAACCCTCCTTTTCCCCTAGCTAGAGAGCAAAGAATTATATCATGTCTGGAGATAACGATAACGAATCCAGTGCTGTCTCCAAGATCTGCTTGATGATTCTGGCAGTGTTTTTTCCGCCATTAGCAGTGGGATTGCATGGGGTTGGCGGTGGCGGAGACAATTGCTGCGGATTCCACATGTGCTTGAGTATCGTCTTGACGCTTTGTTTCTGGATTCCAGGGATCATCCATGCATTTTACTACATTCTCAAATAACAAGACTTTCCGAATACAGTACAATCCTACCAAGCCAAGGTTATCCTTATCTGAAATCCACCACCCTCCCATCTTCCATCTTCAAGTTCCAACAAGCTCGAGAGGATAAAACCCGTCCAATGAAATGGTAGCAAGAAGCTGATCCAATTGATGTACAAATCTATAAAAGACTAGCTAGAGATAACATGAAGATTAAACGAAGACGATAACAGCTCACAATCAAACGATACCGGTACCGTATCCTCACACCTGAAGCGGTGGCTCATCGGATAGTGGTGTAGACTAGTGGGAACAATCAATTCACCTACTAAGTAAGGCCACTCTCAAAAAGATTCTACATGTATGCCATGCAGATGTGTACGCATCTTTGGCTCGATCTAGTCTAATTTAAAATTAATGATGCTCCCATCGCATCGCTGTGCCAGTCTGCCTCATCTCTTGCCTGACTCGACTCTGGCAACACATACATTCAAGAGGCCAATCTCAATATATTTAGTAGTTGGGATTTGTTGTGGCGTCATTGCGAGCGAACAAGTACATGTAGGCATGCTCTAGTGGTGGGGCTTCACAGTACGCCACCTTTTCGTCATTGAATATCACCCATTTGTCTCCACGCTTCATGTGGGCCACGTAGTGTCCACTGCCCGTGTTCTTGCCAATATGAGACACAGTGCCAATCATAGCATATTCAGCGTTGCCATCTTCGAGAGGCAGCTTTGGAGCAGCAGCGGCTCCGGCAGCTTTGCTGTTGAGGGCGGCAATGGCACCATCCAAGTCGTCCATGTGACTAAACAACCAGTCCGCCGCACGATCGGCGGCTCCCTTGGTTTCCTTCAAGGCAGCACGAACTTGGTCAGGTGTGAAGCAGCCCAAGCTTTCCACAAGTGACATGACGACTCCCTCGTCGACACCCGAGTCCCCGCCGCCGGATGGTGCAGGAGCAGCCGCAGAGGGTTCTGGCAGAGGATCATTGAAGTTTTCATCCATATTGTGCTGCAAAGAGAGGAATAAAGAGAGGGATGAGGCTTTGGAGCTCACCAGATCGCAGCAACTGCCTCGCAGACTGCAACGACAGCATTCTTTCCTACTTACCTCAAAGACCCAGTTCATTGCGGCTTCCACGTCACTCCCTCCCACGGCTGTCAAGGCGCGTTTGCATCCGTTCATGCTGAACCCCATGTCCATGAGTTGACACAGCGCCCCTTCATTGATCTCGGATGATGCGTTCGGTGCTGCAGCTGGTGCTTCCTCTTCTTCTGGAATGATGGTTTCTCCGTCCTGTGGTCCTTTACTGCGTAGATTGTTCAGGTCGATTTTCTGTGGAATATCCAACTTGACCTCTAGTTTCATGGGTTGCCAATCCGGTCCCATTTGATACCGTTGGATCTGCAGAATCAGATAGGGTGGAAAATTGTCGAATCGCGTGGTTTGGGCCGCCTTGTGAACGGCATTTTGCAAATGAGGCCATCGAATGCCATCGACGTTGGTTTCGGCGGCCCATTGATCCAACAACGCCTGAAAGTCCACGGTGGGAACCGGTTTGGGTGGATCTTTGGCTCCCTCCTCGTCTGTTTTCATGCGTTTCACTTCGGGTGCGGTTGCTGCTGCATCTCCTTCTCGCACTTGTGCCTTGTCCATGGGAATGGGCAAGCTCCAAACGGTTTCGGCCCCACTGCTGCCCTTGTACTTGACACCTCCGTCTCCGCTGCAAACGAGTCGATCGGTCGTCTTGAAGGAGAACAAATGACTCGAGACATGCATGGTTTCCGATTTGCTAGCGAAGTAGGGTTCCTTACTGGCCTTGAGCTCTGCTCGATCGACCTGCTCGAGCATGTACTGCAAGAATTGCGCGGCATCTTGTTGTTGTCCCGTTCGAAACTCGACATGATCTTTTCCAATGAGATGTTTGAACATGCGTGGTGCCAATCGATATTTGGGATCGGTTGTTGTGTCAGCGTTGTCTTTTTGTTCTTCCTCTTTGGCGTCTTTTTCTTTTTCCTCTTCGATAATTGGCTTGGCAAAGACTCCACTCGTCAGCGCACACCCAATTTTGGTGGTTTGTGCCAGTAAATTGGTGGGGGCTTCTTTGGGTTTGACACTGTTGAGGAGTGGATGTTCGGCAACGTTGGCATTCGGCTTTGTTCCATATCGATTGGCCAACTCTGGTACGGAAAGTAGCATTTGTAAGATGGAATTCATGTAGCAACTATTTCCCAGGTTTTGCAATCCCTGCAGCCCCGGTCCCGACGCCGGCTCTAGCGTCGTTCCAGCAGAAGTAATGGCATTGAAATCATAATTGTAATTGAGCTCCACCTCCAATTCCGCCGTGGATTTGACTGTCTTTTGCCTGTAAGAGATATGGAATGGCACGATGAGATGACAGGAACATGATGAGATGACAGGAACATGATGAAGTTGGTAGATAGATAGAATGGTCACTTACATGCTTGCCACTTTGATGCCTCGTTTTTCGAGCAACTCTGCCAGATTTGGAATTTTGACGGGTCCATCTTCATCCTTGGCATAACTGTAACAATCGGCGGAATTCAAATCCGCCGTAATGGTTCCCAGTTTGACGACGAGTGGATATTTGGATCCGGTTTCTTCGAAATGATCCAATGCTCCATTGCTACCACCCGATCCATCCCAATTTTTGCGTCCACCGCCAATGTATCCATCACTGAGATTGAGCCACAAATTGTCCGTGGCACCGGTTTTTTCACATGCCCAAGACGATGGATTGGGATCAATCATGACGGCATTGTCCACAAAGGGTAAATCGGCGTAATATTTGGAGGGCAGAATTTGTTCGTCCGTGTCGAGTTGCCATGCCTTGACATCTTGTTGGGTCGTCATGCCGGCATGCAAAATGACGGAATCCACCAATTTTACCACGGCTTCGCTGAAAGAGGCTTTGGTGTCGTCATTGTACGGCTGTTCTGTTTCAATGGAAGGCGAAGGATTCCCGGATGTCATGACCACGACGGAATACGTCGTGACGATTTCAAATTTGTCGTCTTCCGCGGCGAATCCACCTTCGACGCCAATCCCCAATTTGGTGGGTGCTTCAGCAGCAGCCGTTGTGGTTTCCATCTTGTCGTCGTTGTCGCCATTCTCTTCTTTTGGGATTCGCTTCTTGACGATGCGGACAAAGAGTCCTTCTTCTTTTTGATTGGGAGCAAATGCCAGCTCTTCCATGGTTCCGACATATGTTTCCAAATTGACCACAATCCCTTTGGAGGATGTAAATGGAGAATGAAAGGTAAACGCACATTCACTGTTCAACACTTGGTCGCTCACCACCGCAGGACGACATTTCGATGCCAACCGGTTGATCGAGTCCATTGTTATATGCTAGCTAGTACGCTGTTGTTTGACTGTTTGGTATCAATGCAATGACAAGTAAAGGCTTGTTAGGTTTGGTTCAGGCGGAAAAGTGCTTGATGAGGAAAGGCCAATAGATCGAAGCGCGACGATGGTCAAAGATCCAACACGATCTTTCGTCTCGATGGGTTGGCTCGTGGAGGCTCATAACCGTGGATTCAATCGGTTCAGAGCGTGGAAAATTGTCATCCCCCGCGTACTTGCCATGCCAAGTGCCAAGCAAGGGCATGATGATGGAATGACGCAATCACTGCTCTCGTCCTTCCATACCGGTACCATACGGCAAATACATGTAGAAGCTGCACTGTACCGGTAGCAAGAGAGAGCCTTGAAGATCTAGCATCCGTCCATCCATCCATCCATCCATCCATCCATTTTAACCGGTAGCTATCGAACCCCAAGTAAATCTCCGTGCACAATTCAAATGCTCATCTGCAGCTTCGACTAGATCTACTGTACCAATAGTGAGTTTTCTATAGCATTTCTTGGATCATCCATTCATTTGCTTGTGCATACTGTATGTGGTTCCAGAGAAAGCAAGATCAAGCATCATGAGCCACCAGAAAGGGCCCCATAACAGAACCCTGTCCAGAGTCGACCTTCTCTTATGCCGGCTGGGCCCAATGCTGGCTTCTTTGTCCTAACTACTAGCAAATATTCCATCCATTCTTCCCTTCAGCCTTCGTGCAGACGGAATCTGCACTTGTAATCAGAGGTACCCCTGTGGAAGTGCCCCCACTAAGAGACCATCGAATGATTCAGTGCTGATAGCGGAGAGGTGCGACGGAAGAATCCGGCAAAGCAAGACGAATTGGTCCAACAACCCGATGACACGGCATCGACTGGTCCGACGACAGGACTGTCATACAAGAATTTGTGCTTTGAATACTAGCTAGCGCAACCGGCCAGGAAGAGTCGATCGAACGACCGAGTCTGTGGCCGACATATGACAAGGACAACATAGCAATAGCTAGCCAGATAGAAGGCAATAGATTTGATAGAAAGGTTACCTGATAAAAAATTGTTGGCTTTTATGCATGTAGGATCTGCATTACCCTACCCTACCAGGGGAAAAGAGCAAAAGCCACAGCTACACTACCCAAATCCAAACTAAATCGTGACGACACGTACCGTCCAAGCTCACTCTTACAGGGCACTGCTTCCTTTTTCGACTCCATGGCGATAACGATACCGGTAATACGGTACGACTGCAAAGTATCGGGATGCTCAATACCCAAAACGGACTCGTGAATAGCTAGTGCCTTTGTGCCACGCCGTCGTCCACCTTGCCCATGGAAACGAGGGCGGAACCAATTTTACCTCTAGTAGAAAGTAGGTAGTAATGTGATATCTAGTAGTCTTTGGTTGTTTGCTTTGTCTTTATTAGTTCAGGTTGGCTCAGATTGTGAGCTGATTATGCTATCTACTTTTGCTCCTTGGGGGTCAAACCTGCACTTGATTCCTTGTAGATCAGGGGCATTCAGTGGGATTCCCTTGCCTTCAGGGGGCTCAGGTACCACTGGGTTCTGGGATTGAATTACATTTCTACTACTCCCCTTGATTCATGCCCTGAATCCACCGTCATTGTTTCACACATATACACATCACAAATGGGGCAGCTTCCTCCCCTTACTTACGCTTGGCTGGTCCACGGAAGATAGATTTGGGTTTGTTCTCTTCAGTGTCACTTTGCCCAATAGCGTTGCTGTTGCTTCCACCTTCCTGGATGCCCTTGTCGTCCTTAGAGTATTGCTTGCCATAGTCAACAGTTTTCTCCTTGTTTTGGCGCTCCATAATCCATTGACGGTTTGCTGGGGACATCTGTGCCCAAACCGCATCGGGGAAACCATAGCTTTGTTCCTTGCTGGAGCTTTCCTTCTCTTTTTCTTGTGCTGGAGGATCCACTTCCTATTGGCCTGAGTCATTGACTCCCAAACATCGCTGGAAAATGAGCTAGGCCTTCTAGGGTCGTAATCTTCGTGTTCATCGCTGTAGCTTTCTTGTTCATCATAGTCTTCCTGTTCACTGCCGTGGTCATCATCATAGTCATCATCATAGTCTCCTTTTCTAGCCTTCTTGTTGGACCTCCTGGGATAGCTCCTAGAATTGGCCTTACCCAGGGCTATGGCCTTGGTGCGGAGTTTGTCCACCGCTGACTCATAGTCAACACTGGCACACGTATCCTTGACAGCTTCATAAGCCCTGTCTTTGATACCCTCCAAAAACAAGGTCTTCTTGATTGCAGAAGGGACTTGGATGCCAGCAAGGTCCAGCTCTTGGCATTTCTCATCAAACCGGTTGTAGTAGGTATCATAACCTCCACTGCTTTCAGGGTATAGATAATGCTTGGTTAGATCTCCAATCAATGAGGTAATACGGCTTTCCTTATCTCCCCCAAAGTCATAATAGTCACAGATATCCTTCCACACAAGAGCACCATCCATGGTAGCGAGGTGCACATCCACCTTGGAAGCTGCGGTTCCCTTAGCAAGTTTCTTGGATAGGATTGAGTAAAACTCTTGATTGCGGGTCTTGTAAAGTGGATCCGATATTGTCTTGGCCGTGTGGCTGGGTACATCAGTAAGCTTTGTTACACTGAGCAAGCTAGTCAACTGCAGGAGTCCCATTGTGGAAGTTACTTCCCTCTTGAATGGCTTCCAGTTTCTCTGGTTGCCATCGAAAGTTGGGAAATCAGATAGGGATACCTTGACTAGGTTTTTGCTCTTGGTAGTGGTAGTAGTAGTCTGGACTGTTGGGTTAGGGGCTGTTGCTGGCGCTGGCGCTAGCACTTGTGCTGGTGTCGGTGTCGGTTTAGGATTTGGGGGTGATTTCATTTTAGTGTCACAGAAAGCATCCCATATATCTTCAGTGAAGTCCTGTTTCCAACCATCAATGGTTTTTGGAAGATCATTACCTTCTTTCTTAATAGACTGCATCCATTGTTTGAATCTCATAAATTCACCGAGATCGACCTGGGTCAAGACGTTTTTGTCTGTGAGCTCGGCCAGCACTGAATCCTCTGCCATTAGAATTTTCCTGGGTGTGTTTAACCCTGTGGCCGCCAGCTCATCATAGTCATCCTCAGTAAGGTCAATTGTATTGAGGATGTACTTGATAATCTCTTCTCTCTCTCTCTGTTAGAAGCCATTGCTTTCTAGTTCTTTGTTTTGGTTGTTGTGTGATCAGTTTGTTGTAGAAGCTTGATCTTCCACTAAGCCTGTCTGGAATCTCTGTGTGCGGGACTTAGGTAGGCTTGAAGTGGGTTTCAATGTTCTTATGTCTTCTCTGGTGTTCTCTCCCCTTCAGACACGTTCTTTTCTGATCTGATGGGTAAAATGGGACTCAATCACTTAAGTGTTGCGGGTTTCAATGTTTCTGGAGAAGTCCCCTCACTCTTAGCTCAAAATTCTAGCTTTTCTTGTTTGTTTCGTTACTGGTGTGTGTGTGTGGCACCACCTCGTTTACTCGAGGCTTCTTCTGCTCACTCTTTGCTTGTGGCACCACCTTGTTTACTCAAGGCTTCTTCTGCTCACTTCCTGTGGTTTGCTTGTCTTCGTGGCACCACCTCGTTTACTCGAGGCTTCTTCTGCTCACTTCCTGTGGTTTGCTTGTCTTTGTGGCACCACCTCGTTTACTCGAGGCTTCTTCTGCTCTCTTCCTGTGGTTTACTTGTCTTTGTGGCACCACCTCGTTTACTCGAGGCTTCTTACGCTCACGTTCTGATTCAATGCTTTAGTTCGGTTCAGTTCAAAAGTCCATTCACTGTTGACTTTAGTTTTTCTTGATTTGGTTGGTCTATCGCCGTCAATCCACTGTTGACTACTGTTTTTATCGTTGTTGCTATCAACGGAAGCTCCCCTTTCGACAGACTGTCAATTGAGGGAAAGGTATTATGTGCTTGGTTGGTAAGGTGTTTTCGTTGAATTTGGTATGTCGCTTAGGACAGTAAGTAGCTGAACTACCACGCCTGATAAGCTAGTAGAAAGTAGGTAGTAATGTGATATCTAGTAGTCTTTGGTTGTTTGCTTTGTCTTTATTAGTTCAGGTTGGCTCAGATTGTGAGCTGATTATGCTATCTACTTTTGCTCCTTGGGGGTCAAACCTGCACTTGATTCCTTGTAGATCAGGGGGATTCAGTGGGATTCCCTTGCCTTCAGGGGGCCTCAGGTACCACTGGGTTCTGGGATTGAATTACATTTCTACTACCTCGTAGTGTTGTATTCAGCGGGTGCGGCTTTCCATGCTCGGATTCTTGGATGCCAGCGCCTTGCCACAAGGCTTCATCGTAGCATTTCTTCCTCGCCAACGCCAAACCAAAATGCTGATGCTAGCAAGCTACTAGCTGGGCCGCAACTCTCATAGTTGCGTTGGATGGTTGGATGCAATGATCCAGGGCAATGACACAACGCTCCCTCCAAACGTGATGATAAAAATAAGATATTCTTTGCAACGGTGAAAATAAACAAAAAGAACTCCGAACCGTACGGTACCGGTATCGGCAGGCTCTCTCACTGTCGTGCTAGCCAATCTTAATAAGGGCGAAACCGCAGCGGCCAACCTTGACGAACCCTTATATTCTCTCGATCGCTTTCCATCAACAAATACCTACTGCCGCAGGATCTAGAAGTACTACTCTATAGCTAGCAAGTAGCCGAAATCTCAACATGCCAGGCGAAAACGCTTCCAAACAGTCATTGTCGCCTCCTGCGGATACCAATCTTCAGTCGATCGTAGATCTAAAGGGGATTTGGATTGGCCAGATCCTCCCCCTTGTGGGTATGGGACAGCATGCCTTTGTTGGCAGTGTCAACAAGCAGTGGAATCAGCTCTATCAAGATTACTGTGACACAGTCGAGGATCCTCCTCTAGTCATGGAAGGATCGTATGAACGCTTTAGAATGGAGCGCTCAGCAACTTGCAAAGATACCTACTATTCAGCTGTGTTTTCCAATGTGACTTGTGCGGAATACTGGCATGGCTATCAATGCTCCAAGAAGTCCCCTGAAAATAAGTATGTTTGCACCACAATTGCCAAAGTGGGGTCGCTGCCAGTGGTGCAATGGGCCCATGAAAAAGGATTTCCATGGGACACATGGACAAGTGCTGCTGCTGCCCAAGGTGGTCATTTGGATGTTTTGAAGTATCTTCATGAACATGGCTGTCCATGGGATGAAAAAACCTTTGCCAATGCAACACACGGCTCTTAGCCTTATTCGCGACTCGATCCTAGATAGGGTTTGAGTTCGACTCATGACTGAGTCTTTCGAAACGGAGAGAATCCTTGTGGAATGGTCATCCTACTGTTCGATGCGATCTGCGAGATCGACCTCCGTTAGGATGAGTTGATCATCAATGTATGCAGGACATTTTCTAACATGCAGGCGTGTTTTCATCTTCTTTGGAAAGATGTCGGGATATTACTAGGCCACATTGGCAACCTTCTGGTACTCGTGCTTCCCCTTCGGGAGTGCAATGGCATAGTGTTGCTTCGAGTGATGTGACAGCTCGATGTGGTAGTGTCCCGTGTCCAGGTCTAGACTAGTAGCGGCACTTGAATCCATCTGGGTTTCAAGAGATGTCCTGTATTTTTGGGATAGGATAAAGGCTTCCGCTCTGATCCTTTTGTTCGGTTACCTGGAAATCAGAGATGAATCGTGCAGATTCCATTCTTTCTGGGAATGATAAAAGTTGGTGCCGCCAACTCGGAACGATTTACCTTCTGAGACTTCTGCCTCAGTAGAGTGTCAACCTCCTTTTAAGAGTGTTGGTAGGAACCCGTGGAGTAGGGTGAGCCCTAGTATATAGGATTTAGCGCGGGACGAAGTTCTAACCTCGTATCGTCCATTCGCAACTCTCCTGAAGTATCCTCGACTGGATCAAAGCACTTGGTTGAAAAAGGGCATGAGGCAGCTTCTTGCCTCTTCCTTATTAACGTGGTTTCGACTCTGGCACTCTGCTCTTAAGTCTATTTGTTCTGTATATTGTATCAAGAATCTTCTTGAGATGATCTGCAGTGTCGCTGACAGCTGCAGGATCGGGAAGGAGAAGTTCTCTTTTTATTGTTATTGCCCTCTTTCGCAGGGAAAAATGCGCGGTTCCACCCCAATGACATGGTAGTGGAATCAAACTTTGATTCTTAGGTCGCAGAGAGTGTATGACCTCATGATCACCTTGGCCCACCAAGCTTCTTTGGTGTCGTGTAAATTCCATTTCGAAATTCTATCATCGTGGAATCAGGAATCACGAGTGTGCCTTACACTTCGTGCGGGGTTCAATTCCTTCATAGAAGACGTCCGTATGTTTGGACCCCCATGATTCTTCATGAGTAAACTCTTAGCATGAGTTTGAGTACTTAAAGTTCCCGGATGCTTTGTATCCAGTAAGCAACAGAGTGTAACGGGTTTTCGTTTCCCTTTCTCTCGTCTGTAAATCTAACATAAAACGATAAGTTTTCGAAGGTCCTTTGTCTTGCGACGTTGATGAGTTGATTGCCATGGATGAAGCTAACGATGCGAACAGATCGTCAGCGTCTAGTGAGTAGTTGCAGGGAATTATCTAATTTGCCGTTGATCTTGTTAGTTGCAAACAAATCTTGTTATACTATTTAGTGAGATATCTTCATCACTTAGGTATGAGAAATCGGAACATGGTTCCGTTGAATCATCATCCTGGCCTAACCCTCAGACGGAGATCTCTCCATCCGAATGATTGAAGTCGAATTCGGCAAGCGCCTTGTCGACAGCAGCCATTTTCTTGTCATCATGTTGATGGATCCAACAGAGGAGTCGTCCTCGTTGTCGGAGTTGTCAGACTTGCGCTTGGCAACATGGTTGCATTCGCTTTTCTTCTTGCGATCAGCCTTGACGGCAGCGTTGGAACCTTTCTTCATGAGGACAGAGAGTTCTTCTTGGTGTAGGTCTTGGCGTCGTCGGACTTGCGTTTCCAATCTTGTTTTGTTTGTACGCTGGCTTGTTATCGTTGTCAGACGAGGACTGGAACTTGGCCTTGAGCTTCTTCAGAGTCATGCAGTCAGCAGTGTTGTGAGTGCTGGAGCGTGGTAGTCGCACATTTTTCTTCGTTCTTGGAAGAGTGTCGTTGTTGCGAGTAGACTTGTACTTCTTGCTGTTTTCTTCTTTCGAAGGAGCTTGCTGGGCATCCCGCCCTTGTCAAAGTCTCGGAGGATTCCATGCGTTCGCAGAATCCAATGGTTTTCTCCGATAGGAGCTGAGAAAGGATCGAAGTCGTGTTCGTCCATCTTCTTCATCCACGAGCGTTGGAATTCCATGACAACAATGTCAATGACTTCGTCATGGTTCAACGTTTGGTTGGGTCAAAAGGTGGTAGACGAGGGTTCATCTGGCGTTCATCCGACTGAGGTTGTTGACATAAGCCCGAGTAGACATATCAGCGGCTTACGCATCTTGCGGCCATGAAGCGTTTCTGCTTTTCAAGAGCCTTGTAGGGACAGACCGCTTCGACACAGGCATTGATGCCAAACGTAATGTCAGTGTCGTCCAAAGCAGGCTGAGCTGCATCCGTTCCAGGCAGCCTGAAACGTGCTTGGAAAGTGGCTTCGTCTTCACCCCACGTACGTCGCGTGGAGGATCGCGTTGACTGCAATCTGGCGCAAGGCATTCCAACGTATTTCACGGTGGCCTGCACAGCTAGATTCGTAACTGCTCTTGGCAGAGCTAGAAGTCATCTCCTTGGAGGAGGTTATGTTTGTCGGTCAGGCGTAGCAATGGCGAGTCCGGACGAAGACCTTCTCCATACGTCCAGCCCACTTGATGGTCTGACGTGGAGTCTCAGATCCATTGATGATTTGACCTTGAAGGTGTACTTGGCGCTGTTAGCAATCTGCTGGAACAGTGTGAAGTTTGTAGGTGGTAGAGCGAGAATCGTCGATTTTGCATTCATCGTCGAGGTCGATGAGAGGAGGATTGGTTTGTCGCGCAGCTTAGACTCGAAGCTGTGTATGCGTCTTTGGCAATCTTCATGGTGAGGAATAGGTTGAGGGTAGCTGAAAAGCTATTGTGTTTGTTAACAAAATGCACTACGCTAAAAGCTAGTGTAAAGATCTTCGAGTGTTTTGAGTTTGAGAGAATGAAAGTTATGAGAGGATTAGAAAGCTATGAAAACTAATCAAACGAGAGAGATCACAACCAAAGGATCGTAGATCTGAATCCCGCGGGAGACTGTAGAGTGTGATAGAGTAGGTTGCGGTAGCAATCCTACTCACTCCACGATCCAAAAACGGAACGCGTGGAAGATTCGTCTAGCATTATCTAGTAGCGTGGAAGTACTCCACGCTGGCTAAATATCTAGAGCGATGTTTCATCATCAACCTAGTATGACTAGAGCGGTCATTGAGAACCCTGTCTCAATGACTATTCACGTATGAACCTACGAAGCAGGTTCATTGATGACACCCAATGTCTCTAAATGCAAATGATTCACGAGAGACTTCAGTCATGAGATCGCGAACGCCAAACCCATACTCTAGAAGAATCGAGATCGAATAAGCTAAGACCGATCGATATTGCCAACTAAACAAGTATTCAGCAGTTCTTCCTCTTCGCGCAAGCCAGGACTTGTAGCATTATCTTAAAGTACC